ATAAGTATGGCTATATGTGTTTTACATGCACAGACTCACACGAATAGAAATAAATTGGCGAAATCCCTGCGGTGCAACCAATAAAACACATCGACGATGAGAACGATGAGGGAGTTATTTCAGGCGTTTCGTTCTCTTCGCTCGTTTCCATATTCTTCTTCTTCGCCATCATCGTCGTCGTCGTCTTCTTCCACTTTTTGCCACTGCTTCTGGTTTTTTATTCCGTTTTATTATTCGCCGTTATTGCCACTAAACTATATAGTGGATCATACAATACAGACTGAACTGCTTCCAGAGTAGCCCCATAAGAAAAATATTACCAAAAGTGTTAGACGTGTGCAAGTAACAATTTTCGATCGATATTGCCTGAGTGTGTGTGTGTGGAAGTGCCACGCGATGTCATTGTTGTTCGTTCTTTGCCGCAGAAGAAATAGATAAAGAAATGATATGCGTAGGGCACAAGCATCGCATGCATATTCAACGTTTCGCTTAATTTATTTCTTTTATTTCACACTAGGTTCCACGGGTGTGTATGTTTTTTTTACTTTCATTTCATTCGTTTGCTTTTTGCTCTCACCCTCTGCGAAATCATCATTGGTGTGTGGTTTTCTTTTTTGTTTTCACTGTTCGTTGGTTCACATAACATTTTTCGCTGATGTTGTCGTTTGCCATGCCAGTATGATGCACAAATTTATGGCAAGAAATATGTTTTTTCTCCATTTATACTGCTTTTTGAATCATAATTTGTTGAAGCGTTGGTAATTTTTATTTTTTCATATATAAAAAAACGACCGAAAGAGATGGAGAGCAAGTGAGGGGCCGAAAGAGGGAGTGAGAGAGCGAAAAAAATAACACAGACCTCTAAAATCTTTACCGCTGCCTTTTAATTGAACAGCAGTGATGCGCGAGAATGGCACTATACATGGTTGTATGCACTGTGAATGAAATCACAGAGCAAACTAGCGCGAAAGAGAGAGAGGGAGAGAGAAAAACTCAATTCATAATTCAGTGCGCTGTTAAAATAATAATAATTGTTGCGAGTTTTTACCACATAGAATTGTATCCATATTGAATAAAATCCGTTCATTAAGGGCTAACCATAATAATCAGCATGACTTCGTTTTACGCATTTACTAAACGATATTATATAGTTGTATTTAGCGCACTACCCATATTTTAATAATAATAACTGTCGAAACCAATGCCGGCCGAGTGAAAGAGAAACGATCGACAACAAAAAATTATAAGTGAATAATGGAAAAAGCAGAGTGCACGCATCACCAAGCAAGCACAATAACCACAATATATTATCAATGATATATTACTAGAGCATTGATGTTGGCGTTGTTGCATCGAAAATATAAGGCAACAAAGATACACAAATAATCGTCAATCGAACCGAAATCGCCAGAATTTTGTCTCTCCCTTTTTCTTTTCTCTTGAAGGCTCAAACCTTCTCTCTTTCGCAATCTTTTTCTATTCAGATACCGTACTTATCAACGCTATTCAATTGAGCAGGGTGATTTCTTAATTGTGCGACAATGCCACTTCATCATCAAGCATCGTTCGTTGACGTGGGTGTTCAACGAAAATGAAATTACCATGGAGGAAAGCCCAGATGTGACACCGACAATAGCAGCACCACAATCAACAGAATGCCAACCAAATAGATTTTATGTGTGCTGTGAAAGAAGGCGAGCGAACGAGAGCGAAATGATGAACAGAAACTAATAAATTACGCATAATTCATAAAATGTTGATTGAATACGTAATAAACTCTGGTATATCTGTCAATCAACACTGCGCAAATTCCGACTGAATCGCATTTTTTGAGCATATTTTCTTTTCGGAACAGTTGGAATCTATTGTCGCCAATCACTTTATATTTCCAGCACCACTCCGCGTTGCCTCATAAATATGAAAAAAACATACACACTCAAACTCATGCATAAACACAAATGCCAATCTATCCGGAACATCCGCAAAGTAATCTTCTCAATATATGTGTGTGTTTGTTTGAATTTTCTTCGGTGTGGCCATTTTCTGTCAATTTTATTTCGACAAATATCCCATGCTGAACAAAAGAATTCCATTTTAAAAATAAACAATCGATATTCTTTATTTGAAGACCGTTTTTTGTTCGTTTCTTTTTTTTTCTCGAAATGGTATTTTAATGCGGTGAACATTTGACGTTTAGAGCAACAGAGCATTGTTGAGAGAGGATAATGAATTCGTAATCGATTTCGTTCGGCACAAAAGTTTCACTCCTCCGTTTTTGCTGTGGGGAAATAGGAAAATTCTCTGTCTGACCATTTTCACATGTAGAGAATTAACGTCAATTTGACAGAAAGGGCTTAACATGACTCACACAAAACTTGCCCCGACGAAAAGAAATTGCCAGTTACACAAATTTTGCGGTTGTTTTGAAAGTAATGCTCAAATTTCATTTCCACATTTCATTCAGACAAATGCTGTTTTATATTACTTAAAAATAGACACTTTTACTGAAGCGCACAGCAAAAAATGTATTTCGTACTCATTAAAAAAAGAGCAAATATTCACTGAAATAATCATGGCAACAATAACAAGATGCTTGAAATGTTTGTGTGAATGAGAATATTGTATGGTGTTTATTTTCCAAGAAAATTGAATTCAAGCTAAAAAAAGCGTTATCATCATTATTATGGGTTGAGCATATATGCATCCTCTGACTATTTTGTGAGTACTTTATACGTAATTTTGAGCAGAACTAGAAAGAGAAAAGGATAAAGAAAGAGAAGGAGAGAAAGAGAAAGACGAGAGAATGCATGAAAGTTGGATTGTTTTAATTTTTGTATTGAAAAATGTCAGCAATACACATGCACAAATAAATACATTTCCAAAGCAGAGAGAAATGGAGAAAACGCTTAGATGGCAACATCCAATTAAAATAACTGTAAATCTCTTTTGAATTTTCATGTAGCGAACAGTGCCATCGACTTGGCACAAACGAGTGAATGCAAAAAGGACGAGCTTCGAAAAATATGCGAACGAAAAGGGTATGTTAATGTCTGTTTTTACATACGTATTAAAACCCGAAATGTTTGTATGAGACGACAGCGACAAAAGCTGTTGGCAAAACAGAGTTACAATACTGTGGTCTCATCTGCATGTACGCCAATGTCAAACACAAATACACTCTCACCGCGGCTTGTCTTAAATTTTCTCTTGCAAAATTTTAGAAGCAAAAAAAAAACGAAACACACGATGTGAAAGCGGCATCCAAGCCAAACCATAAATCTTTCGACGAAGGACAAACTATACAATTCGTAACGAACGCCTTTACACGAAAAATGGAACGGAGTGTCGAAGAATGAGAGTATGAAAAAAAAAACACGCACGACAGAAATCGATTAAAATTTAACAAGAAAATGTGTTCGATGTGCCCAAGATTTTCGGGGTGGCATAAAAACAGTTGTGATAATACGCGCGCTCACATCATTTATTGAAAAGTTTGCAGCCAAAAAAACGTGCCTTTACGATCCCAGTCGCTCAATGAATGTTGTGATACAAGTGAAAGAGATTATGGCGGGCAGAGAAGAGCGCCTTCGAAACGATAAAATCACAACCGGCTCTCACAAAATCCAAATGGGCATTGCCAGTTCTATATGCGAATGAAAGAGTCGGAGAATGAAAATATTAACGCAATAACAATATTTCAATGTTGTCAATTCAACACTTGTACACTCTTCAGACCGTATTTTATCATTATCGACAGTCGTTATCATTTTCATTTCCATTTAGAGACTATGCATTGCCATCTTAGACTACAAAATAAATTGATATTTTCCGTAAGCGAAATTCACGAAAAAATGAACGATAAAGACGAAAAGGAAAAGAAAGAGAGAGAGAGCGAAAGGACGAGAGAATGAAAGAGAATCAAGCATCTCAACCATATTGTTTAAATTACAATAGAAAAAGCTGCTCGGCACATCAAAATCGACATTCAATTGAGAACGAATGAGAGAGTGAAAAAGAGAGATATACAATTAGGTAGATGGAACGAGAGAGAGAGAGAGAAAGCGAAGATGATGTCGAAGAGATTGCAGTCAATATTTGCCTTTGTTGAGTACGAGATAGCGTCGAGCTGAATATCTCTTGAAACATGTTAGCACACAAAAAAAACCAAGAGATTTATACTCGTAAAAAGGATTTGCTCACTGAACCAAACATATGCAAGCATAAGTATGATGGAAAACGAAAGCTTCTGCTTAAACATTAGCGATGCAATGAAACATTTTCTATCATAGAAACAGTACATCCTTCGAAGAAAAAAATAGAATATGAAAAAAAACTTAGCGCAACAGACGTCTGTTTCTCTAACATTCACATCACATCATTCAGAAATACATATTTATATATTATATATATTTTCATGCACACTGCTGATGGAGATTGAAATGATTGGAAATTTTCATTCTATCTGTTGTCGAGAGAGATCGTTCAAAGAAAGCTCAAAATTATTGTAATATATTGCGACTCTATCATCGAACAAAGCAAAAAAATCCTCTTCCCTATACATTCTTTGAAATATTTCTATTATATATTTTAAAAAAACCTCTAATTAAATTTAAAAACACACAAGAAAAAAAAGAATTCCTTTCATTCCTGAATTTAAGAAATAATGAGTATGCTTGTATATTCAAAGTGGCCATCATCGCCGAGCTGCTTCTTTCGAAAACTTTGGCGAAATATTCATATAAAATTTATGCATTATTCTTAATTAAAAACGATGACCGCGTGCTCACGAAAGCAGAAAAGAAATGCACATTCCATTCAAGTAGTATATACCAATGAAATTACCGTGGAAACAATTTAAGCAAAAGCGTACTTTTATAAAATTCACCATCTTTGAGGTTATGTTTGCAAACCCCCCAAGTTTCAAGCACGCACACACACTAAAGGAAACAATAAGTTTTCATGTTTTTTTTTTGCTGCAAAGATAATTATGAAAACGTTTCAAATTTCATGATAATGGAGGTATATTTGCAGGTAGTCAATTATGAAAAAAAATCTTAAATATCAACGTAAATTCTCTATCAACATTTTCGCAAAAGAAAATTAAAGTAATGCAAAGAACATTTATGAGTCGGAATACATTTGGAATTCATAATGAATTCACTTTATCTCGATGTTTGGCACTGGATTCTTGAACAGGCAATATAGTTGGAATCGAATGTATATATTTTATATGTTCTAATTTATTCGCTTTTAAATATGAGAGTACAATTCTCATTTAATCTATCGTTTTATAATTGTTGTTATTTCTGTTATCGTTGTTATTTTTGTGTAAAAAAATCATTTCAGGTTAAAAAGGTTATATTTCTTTGACAAAAACTTAATTTGTTTGATTTTACAAACTATTTTCTACTAAATAACATGCACCATTCACGTGTATTTAAATTAAGTCAAGTTTTTCACTTGAGTAGTTATTCACTAAATAATGTACCAGTTCCGTACTCCTCTCTCTCTACATTTGCAAAGGGGACTGCCATTGAATGTACAATTTAAAAGCCTTAAATGTTTTTGGACGCAATAATCAACGCATATAACTTTTTCATCAGATGTGCAATCTCTGGGTGTCTCCCACAAAACATTTCTTCTTATAATATTGTGTAGCATGTTGCCATCGCGCGACTTGTCCCCATCATGGGGGGAGGAATCAGCATCATCTGAAAACAGACATTCCATGACATATTACCATGTAATGTACAAAAAAATATATTTACCTTTAGTCTTTATCAATTTTAGAGGTATGTCACGAAATTGCAACATTGATTTTTTTCCCCATTTTTGCACATGCATCGATCGTTAATGCATAAATTAATATCCGAAGGTGGACAAATTGCGCACTCATGATTATACTGGCACGATGCTAAACAAAGTAAATGAAAATAAATGATGTATTTTATTTGGTATTTAAATTGATTTTGATGGAAATATATATTACTGACTTGCAACATTACACAAGAATGCCACAAAAACAAATGTAGATAGTAAAGTGAACATTTTTTTCATGATTCAATTAAAAGAATGGACCGCTATGATTTAAGCACTGATTGAAATTGAAATTTAAGCCTACCAAAATCGCTCTTTCATACGCGGATTTTTTGTACGTTATCTTGACCTGTGCAAAAAAAGTTGCTTTATGTATCATTAAATACTGATAATTCTAATGTATGTAACGGCAGATAATATATTATTAAGCGTCTTTCACAATATTTATAACACCGTATTGTTGAATATTTCATGTATGTATTTTATGTGCACATTAAAAACGAGTTGTTACGATCGATTGATGTTTCAATGATGATAACAGGGTTGTATGTTTATGATGAAGTGTGTTCAATGTTGCATGCAATGTGCTTTGGTTAACCTTATCATTTTACTGAAGAGCTGTAATCTTTAATTCACTAAAACGATAATTCATGTTGGATTATTCAGTTGACTCTATTTCCTTTCCATTTTCTCTGTCTTTTTCTATTCTCCCTTTATATCTTTCTTGTTTGTTCGCTTTCCCTCTCGCCGCCATCCTACCTTCCCATTCTCTCACTCACTCTCTCTCCATCTCTATCTATTTGTCGTTCTATCTCTCTCAAATAAAATGTTTAAAAAGAAAATAATTTAAAAAAAATTCCAAGTTTTGTGTCATATTGCATTCACACAAATGGATAGTAGTCATAATAATTTTGTGGTAATAGCTAAAGCACGAACGAATATGCCTCAAGTGCTCCCCACAGATACGCTTTTGAACCTCATTTTAATTTCGAAACGTTTACTATGCTCGCAAATCGAGTGTATTTGGTCACAGTATAGCAAAAGCGATGAATAAACCACACACACAGACACACACATACACCAAAAAAGAGAATCGAGCACAAACGAAGACACCGAGAGATTGAATTTTGTTTTTGTGATGTTGTCATAGTAACGATTACTCAATCAACATCCTTTCGCAGTTCTCGTCTCGTCCTCATCAAAATGCGATTGAAATAACATTTTATTAATAACATTGTATCATATTATTGCAGTTTAATTTATGCATGATGAATATGTTTTCAAACATTGTGTAATACAGTCTCTATCTCTTTCAATCCGGTTTATTGTAAACTCCGCTCCTCTTTTGTCTTTTTTCTCTATCTCCTTCTCTCTCTCTCCGTATCCGAGCAATCATTTCCATTCGCATGTTTCTGTCGATAAATGATTGATGGTTAATAAATTACAAACAAATACATGCATAAAATGAATGTGTGATAAAGAGGGAACAATGCCAAGCCAGAACATGAAATGCATTTATGTGAGTTTCATGTTTACATTGGTCTCATGTTTGAATAATGCAGCCACAATTTCGCACATTCTATCTTCGTCTCTTTCACTCTTTTTCGCTCATTATCATCTCGTTCTTGTTATCCGTTACTTAAAAAAAAAACTCGATATGAAGCGCTCGTTCGTTCGCTTTTGAAATCGAATGTCAAATTTCATGCGTGGGAGTTTAATTGGTACGTTACAATGTGTTTGAATCGGTTTCGGGTGTATAAGTATATGTGTGTGCACGATGTATGTGTATGTTTATATGGTGTGCAATCAAAAGCAAGACAATACCAAATAATGGGTTCAATCACACTTATTCCATTTTATTATGGTAACCGCTTTATTCACATCCAAACTATTAAAATAAATCATTATATTTTGAATAGAGGATCGAACAGGCTAAAATATCGATGAACATTAATTTTTGGATAGGCTTTCAATTTATAATGGCTAAATAATTGGTGAAGCATCTTCAAGTATGCATTTTCGGCTTACCTATATACCTCGACACTGTCTATAGGTGAACTACACAGGCACTTCAATTCTAATCCCTTTACAATTCATCAATTTTTTTTTCATTTGTGTTATTGTTTTGTTGTTCGTAATATTGAAAGCTCACTTAATTGGAATTTGATTTTATGGATTATCATGTAAATCGCTTCATTCACAAATGAATAGATAGCTTAAATTCTATACATTAGTATATCCTATGTATATATGCGATATAAATAATAAAATAACGCGAAAATACGCCGATTACACTCTATTTTAATCATTTAATTGAGATATCAATGCACATCCACGAACAATCCAATGGTTGGGCGTGTTATTTTCGCCACATTTCAAATGAATGCATGTTATAAGATTGATAATTTTTCGATTTCCAAGTGTTACATTATGACGTTCCAAGGTTTTATATAATGGACATTTATAGAATTTGCCATCCTCTAAAATTAGATCCTCTTGCTTTGTTGGCTTCACATGAATCTGTATATATGTGTGTGTATGGAAATGTTTACATATTGTTAATAAAAATTTTAAATTGTACCATTTTGTGATGAAAACAAAAACCATTTTCCTTTCAGAACAAACTAATAATAATGATAATAATAGTCAAGGTGTTTTATGCTCTCGCCATTATTGAACACTACATCCCGTAAGCAGTAATCAATTTGAATGGGAGAAAATTGGAACGCCACCTCTCCAGACACATTCTCATTATAATGCAGAGATATTGGTCTATGCCAGAGAAAGAGCAAAAGGGGCAGAGAGGAAGTTATAGCGAAAGAGCAATGGGGAGAAGAGAGAGCAAGGGAGAAAGAGAAGTGCAACAATGAATTATTTCGCTTTTAGTTTACATTGTAGTTTGCAACACAAATGAATTAAAATGTAGTATCCAATCAGGCGACGAGAGCAGCATTTCTGTATGTATACATATGTTGTGCAGTGCAACTTGTACTCACCGTAACCATTTCATCGAAAAGGATACCGACTTTCGATTCGATCAAACGGTTTTTCGTACGACACCATGCAGCTCCGTCCAAATACAGACCATTTACTAAGCATCCAATATCCGGTACACATTTACTACTGTCATTCGGTTCAACCGGATCATCCGTCTGTACAAAACGATAACCAAATACGTCCAAATATATACACATAACAAAAATTGGATACAAACAAATGTAAAAATAAGAAGCACCAGAGTCAGATAAAGAAATAAATAAATTTACCAAATAATCGAATGTCAAGAGATTGTAGGCGATATTATGTTTTCGTGAATGGTTCTGTTGAATGGCCGCGAAAAATGAGCGGACAGAGAAAAAAGATGGCAACCAATAGACTCGAGGTGAACCCGTTTCAATCCATGCCTGTATTTGAACAATGAGAAAATGGTTTAAAAAAATTTAGAAATTCTATTTTGAACATCTTATCATCTTTGGTGTATCTTTGTTTGACTCCATGGGTCTTGATTTGAAGAACCGCATTTTTTGTCATTCATAAAAAAGCTTTATGGTGCCCGGAAATCATTTGACTCATTGTGTATACACAATGAGGGTAGTGTTTGTAAGATGGTTTCTAATAGAAATCCTTTTATTTTCTTCGTTCATTCAATGCAAGTAATTAATTGTCCCTTTGTGTGTTTATAATCACCTGGAAAAATGCAATCCTTTGTTTTAGATCCTTGACAAAAGTGGCGAGTGATTTGAGCGTTGGATACGATTTCATTAACCAAACATCTGGTATCTTCGAATTGGCGATTTCTATGGCAACCGTTTCTATATCGCGCGACAAAATTATTTGACCTGAGTGGTGGGTGTGTATATGTGTGTATATAGCAGAAAAACAAACAGAAATCGATTAATTTCACTCATATACAATTGTTATTGGTGTTTGTGTGTACGTGTGTTGTGCTTGCTCTTACGATTTTCGAAAATCAAATTAAACAATTTGTCATAATGCACGAACTGTGCTTCTGAATTGATAATCGAGATAAACGTTTATCTATATATATTTAGTTTGCAATTGATGTTTGTTAAATAGATTATGTTGCGAGGGTGAACGAGATTGAGACCGAGTACCGTTTTATATTTGTGTTATAAATAATGTTTTATAAAAGTTATCGAAAATCCGAAGCGCGCGCTTTCGACCATCTCTATGATCCGATTTATACGGCCGGTAACCAAAGGGATATTCAAAGAGAAAATGTGATTGCTTTGAAAAAAACCGCACGGATAAATATTTATACAAATTTCAATTCAATGTTCTCCGAATTACCACAACGACCACGCAGCTTAGTCGTAATACAACGAAATGAATTGCCCAAAACGCCCGAAAATAACGGTAACAAATTATTGGAATGTTCCTCTTTTCATTCACGTCTATGTCTTTTATTTTTTCATTACACAACATCTCTTTGATATAATATTATTAGTATTTTTCCATTGAAAAAGTAGGTGTACATCAAAGACGGGATAATGATTATGCGTCAGGACGCAATCGAGCGAAATATTTTAATATTCCACTTGTGACAAAGAGCACTGTACCTAGCATGGATGAGAGTAAGATTGTGGATAATAAGAAGACGTTGTCATCGTCGATGAAACCGAAGGGAAAATCACGATCAGTCAGTTGTCAAACAATTTATCGTGAACAATCAGCTCAAACGAAACCCTATTTGCCGCAAATTCAGTATCGTCCGGGCATTGAAAGGAGCGAACTCTTTCAAGTCAACGATGTTCTGAATGCGGCTGTTGATTCACCAACTGGCCTCTCTGGCATTAAGGCGATTAATCGACGACGAAAACGTATCGAATGCGAACAAATTCTTAAACAAAACGTTAATCCGAGCAACGACGAACAACGGCTCATTTATGAAACACTCGAGTGGGAAGAGTGGTTGACACGAGAAAATGATATTGAAAATACACAATTGCTTCGGTTTCGCAATGTTCAAGAGATGCTGAAGCAACGCGATAAACTATTCGAAAGTGATTCAATCAAAACAATCGATCATTCCATCAGTCGTCTTAATAACGAACACAAATTGAAAATTGAAAGCATCAAGTACGTTCTAATTTAATCATTTGATAATTTTCTCATGTTGATTGCTATCTCAATCTATTTTAACGTGTTGAATATTTTATGTTTCATGAAAAACGCACGCATTACATAGCAAAAAATATGAGCGCTCAATTAGAAAGCTACGGAAGTTTGTGTACAATCAAACGAAAGATAGTTGTTGCAATGATCCGAATCTCAGCGATACCATTCAGAAAGTACGTCATGGGAATTTGAATAATTCAATAATGGCAGCTGATTCACGGAAATATGAAATGGCATTAAGTCGAATTGAAAAGGTTGGCAATTTTACGACGAATTACGAAGCGGCATTGCAGATGAGAACGCCCATCGATAAATCGAAGAATGCCATTTATGAAATTATGCCCGGATTTCTAAAAGATAACAATCTACGAATCGTTTATGAAGCGCTCAAGGTAAGCGTTCACTACTTTATGATAAACTAAAACATTCCGTTTATATTTTCATTTTTGTCTTCGTTTCCATTATCTTTTTTATCTGTGTTTCTTCTTCACCTTTTTTTCCGCAGGCTTATCGTTTGCGTCAAACAATTCACCATGAGATTTCCAATAAACTGAAATCGATTGACAAAATTCGTGCTACCATTGTATCAACGAACGATGACGACAATGCAACTTATGCGAAAATTATCGAATACAAAAACAAAATTGCTGAAATGCTGAAAATCCTGTCGCATCTAAAGGAATTACTCCAAAACATTCAACACATTTCAATTGATTCATTTTTGGATTTGCTGACGCATAAATTCAATGTAATTTTAACGGAAAGCTCACTCAATGACTTATTATTGAATGTCGAACAACAGCAGCAGCTACAACAAAAAATGTCATCATTAAATTTCGGATCGTTGCGATCAAGAGATGATATTTCATCTGCATATTTGAATGATATATTACGACGGTGCAATGAATTTATGTCGGATGAAAAATCAAATGAAAGTGTAGACGATGAATTGGAAAAGAATGTAATGACCGATGAAGTCGTACGGAATATTTTGTGGCCAGAAGTAATGAATCGGTTGGATAATTATTTGGATAATCATCGTACAAAAATAAAAGTGGATTTAAAACGTCTTACAACCGAAGAAGAGGCGATGGTCGAAAGTATTGGAAATGAATGTGTTGAAAATATCATCGACCATTTTCTTAAAAGCAAACATTAATTAAAACATATTAAATACCTTGAATTGCATTCAAAACCTGTATTGAAGTATTTCGAATGCAACGCAGTAATTGGTTGTACTGTCGGAGTTCTTGGTGTAAAACCAAATTCAATGGGTCTGCATTCAATGTTGAATTAAATTCATTTAATTTTAGGTCAAATTCAGATGGAACAGCTTCGAGAATATCCTTTACACAGCTTAGTAAGCGCTCATTCTCCGTTGATGATGACCTCAATGAGTAATCCTAGTTGAATTGGGAGAGAAACCTTTTATTTGAACAAATTGAAATTAAATTTGTTTGAAAAGTACCTCGCCACCTGGAATGCCAAAGTTCTGGCAAATAACAGAGATCAAAGCATCAATAGAACGGAGAAGAGAAAAAAATGAAGGAAAGAATGAATGAATGAATGAAAGTCAGTGAAGATTGAAAAGAACTGTAAGAATATAATCTTTTGATGAAGAAATTAAAGCTTTGAATTAAATAAATGTTGAAAAATCAAATAAAAGTCCAAATACCTGTGCTAATCTAACATTCTCAATCAGAAAATTGCTTTCATTTCGTTGTCGTAACGTGTTCGCATTGTAATGTAATCCACAGATTTCGGCATCGCTTTTACCGTCTAGACATTTTATGTGACTTACAATCGAATCAATGGTTGAGTAATTATGCGGAAAGTAGGCTTCAACATTCGCCAATGTCGTATCATTAGCCAATTTGCCATGTTCTAAAATCATTCGCGAACAAAAATGTTCGGTAAAGAATTTCAAGCATTTTCGATCGCTAAAGTCATTCATGTGACCTCCATAAATACATTCTGCTATTAATATTTGTAAAATTTCAAATGGAATGCTTTTAAATGCATTCAAGTATTCATAAAATTGATAAATGCTCATAAAAAGATCGATGTCATTGAAATCGTACGGATAATTCCAACCGATTGAATTGTAATTGCGTCGCTCCAATATGATGCCATGTAAAAAACTCAACGAATATATCAACGCTTTCAGTTGATTTGAATGCTTATTTTCACTTATCCAATTGTCATCGATGACTGGTTGACTGCTGAACGTTCGCATCAATGTTGTTCGCAATGTTTTTGGCGGTTCGTTAACTAGTTTAACGCTACCATGAATTATTGACAATGGAAATATGTGCGTTGAATTTGATGTAAGCCATAGACGAAAGTCTTGATTGGTTGTGTCCGGTGCAAGATTGTCACAAATTCGCTCTAGTGTACACATAAAATCGGTAGCCAAATGACAATTTTGTAAAATGACCCAATCACCCGATTTTATGCCATCTTCGATCAATTTTATTGCTGATGAATTTTGCTGTTGTCCCATTGACAGTGATGTCAATCGATTTGGATCGATTAATTGCGTCTCAGCCAGCTGTCGTATGCTTTTTATTGGATCGTAATTTGATGATAAAATGAATAGCAATGGTTTGCAACATGTTGAATCGGCAAATGCTGAAGTCAAATCGAATGGGGGTGATTCGATAAATTCACTGCCGCCCAATATCTCACAGATAAATGGCAACAGTGTGTCAACCAATTTTGATGGTTGAAAACAAATGAACAGCAATAGTTTCTGAAATGATGTCAAATCGCTACGATAACAACTACCATCAGCTACAATATTAATTTCAACCGACTCCATCTGTTTCGCATAATTTTCCCATTGCGATTCATTTTCCAAGAGTTTTTCAACCACATCAGCAAATGCGGACACCATCGATAACCTGACAAATTTAATAATATACTTAGAATTCAATGTATACACGATTTTTTTATACGTATGTATTGACATAGCAAGTACAGTTGTAGTAAACCAAGTATGATACATCATTTAAGCTAATGTAGGGAAGATGTGAATTTCTTTTTTACTTCAAACTACATTCAAATAGAATATTGAATGTCAAATGAAGAAGACACACCGACTCCGAGTTTCCGACTCTTCATGTTTTTGGTTACACCAAAGTGTTGTTTTTTTCTTCACAAATTCCCATGAAAAATGTATATCCGAATTGTTACCATTTTAGAATAAGCTCAAGAGAAGAATTATATTTGAAGCATTCTCTCTCGATTTCGATATTATTTAATATTTGATTTAAGAACACTTGAAAATAAAGTGAAAAAAAGCAAATTGATTTATTCTCACCTTTTGATTCTCGCCCATGCATCACTGGATATCCAATTGGGTTTATTTTCGTCATTTTCAATGGAATTTTTCATATTGCCACATGTGAAAAGGAATGCCCATTCTTCTTTTGTTGCATGTTTCTCAGAAATGCTGATATTTTTCGTCAGAAGTGTTGAAAAGACAATTTTTTCCTATTTCAAGAAAAAGAATTTAAAAAAGGTATTTTTTTTTTTTTTTTCATTCAAGAGATAAATTTTGAGCAGTGTAAAAGCTGTAAAAGCAAGGAAATTGAATGACATTTCCCAAATGCGTGTTAACATAAAAATGTACAGTTGTGATACACCTTCTGGATTCATCGGGCCATTTGTGCTAACTAAAAAAAATATATATGGACATTTGAGTGGCCAATAAATCCACAGGAGGTGGAATAACAATATTGAAAGGATTCCGAGAACGCTGTATTTACAATTTGAAAACGTAATTCAAGTTCATTGTAAGAGTATATACCTTTTCTTCAAGACTTCGGCACAGTTTGGTGTAAATGAAATAGGTAAAGTATTTCTTCAAATCTCTAATTCGCTGTTGAATATCATCGACTTTATCTGTATTATCTATGGCCGATGTAAGATTACCAACAAACCATGATAAACTGTATTGATACATTTGATTAATATTCATCATTTCATCTAAACGACGATTCAAATGAGATTGATTTGGATCAATAACAGACGCACACCCACAATGCGTAAAAATATGTTTTTTGTGTTACCAATTGTGAAATAAATAGTACTGGCATGGGCGGCCAACGGTTTGTATGCGGCACGTGTTGTATCAATTTGTTTTTCAGTCATTTTGGCAACATTGATTTTCTCGAGCAATTCATTGATTTGCATTTTTGATGTCGTAATTAATTGCACCGAAGTATCATTTTCCAGTAAATTATCGTCAGTTGATAGAGTATCAAGGATTTTTGTTTCTTCGTTCAGTAGTGTTCTAATGCGAGAGTTTCATATTATAATAGGGGCAGATGAGAGAAAACTTAAATCGAATTTGATTTGAATTGTTATATACCGATTTGTGTCAACTCTCATGGTGACAATTTGATTTTTCTCCGCTTCGACATCAGGACGATCTCTCGATACGGCCACACCAAGCAAATATGATTCCATGCCGTCTGTTGGCACTCTGAAATCCAAAATAGCCACTTTCGCCGATACTTCAGCCGGATAATGTGGCCTCGTCAATTTTGTGGTTAAGTAAATTCTACGAATCAGAGAGATAAAGTAATCAAAATTAAAAAATATGAATCGAAATGAATAAGATTAGATTAAAAATCAATTCCATCGAATCAATTTCATATTTTTAGAAATCTGCTCACTTGAATGCATCATTGTATTCAACAATGCTTTCGCCCAATTTAATATGACGTGATCCACTCTGCCTGAATACCTCCTTCATCAAAACCGACTCGAGACCATTCGCTTCGAGCTCAAGACCAACATTTTCCAATAGAACAGGCAATCCGTATTGAATGGCATTCTCAAGAACGCGCAAATAGTCGGGCTGACTTTCTTGAATGCAACACAATCGATTTTCTTTTTCCAAATTTTTAATCCACTTGTTAGCAAATCCTTGTGGATCTATTATTAACGTCCATCGACGAGTGTTCCTGCGTAAAAATAAAAGAACCAACGTTCAGTATATTACAATTTAATTCTCAATACATAAAACAATTTCATCGCTAATCACTTAACTGCAAAATAATGGCACTTTCAATGGTAAAGCGATTGTCGGGCAGACCATAAACATTCCATGATTTTACTTGAATTTTATCGGCAAAAACATTTTCCACTTTAAATTCGCTGAATGAAGAAAAATATAGATAAATTGATATCGAACGGGAATTGTTTGTTTTCTTTACTCACGGATCACAGTATAATCCAAGTGAAGTGCATTTTTCAATCCAAATTTGGATCAATTTGCGTCGATGCGTTTCCGTAAGCTGTCCCAAATAAGACACAATGCCACTCGAAATGAGCACATCGCCGATGAGAGTTTTCGATTTTATTTGGATGCGTTCCATTGATTTGTGCCAACGGTCTCGTTCACCGCCAAGCGAACCGACTATTTCTGTTGCACGTTGTAAACGTTTGGTGCATCGTTCATTATCCGATTTTAAGCCTTCGAAATTATCCTTTTCGATTTTCAATTGCTTTTGCAATTCACTCAAATTGTCTTCCAACAAGCGAAGCTCTTCAATTTTCGAATTTAATTGGGCTATCGATGCGTCACGAATGGTTTCCGCCTCTTTCAATTCAATGCGCTTTGGCAATGCTATTTTTGCTGCTCGATCATATTTTACAATTGCAATCACCCATTTGCACAGCAATTCACATGCCACCGATATTAATTTAATTTTTTCAACATCGAATGCATCATTTGACAGAACTTTTTCCTGTAACTTTTCACTTATGTGATCGGGTATCATGTCTTTATCAAATGTCAACAAATATTCGACGTATTTTGGATCGGTTAGCATCTTTTTTGACAACGACCAAAAATCTTCAATGGTTGTCGTTGCTTTTTCGGGTTTTATGTCACGCAAAATACAAATCGTTTCCATAACTATTTTGACTGGCATTGGGGGGGCTTTTCATCGTACGAACCGATGCCAAATCGGCTGGCGTTAACGAGGACAGTGCTTCTTCGGCTTCTTTCATTTGAGGCAAAACGTCTTCCATTATATTTTTACAATGTTCGAATAAATCGTTGGCTTGAGCCATTTGATCGGAAACTATTAGTTCGTCTTTTTTTACAAATTCACGCTGCTCATCGACGCTTTCCTGTGGACAAAAGAAATAACTCATTTGAAAAAAATAAAAAAATTGATTTAAAGAGAACCACTATTTTCGATGAGCATAAGTGTTGACGCCCAAAACTAATGCAGATTCGGATAAAATTGAGAGAGAAAAGTCTGTTTTTGACAAATTGAAGTGCAAAAAACAAAAGCTCTCAGAATTTTAAGGAGGTGCTGTAATCGAGACCATCAGAAGCTTCATCAACATTTATGTCGAAGAGGGTGCACTCCAAAAACTGTACATGTACTAAAAAGATTGTACCTGTGCTGTTTGTACATCAGACACTTGCTTCGCCACTTTTTCAGCGGCTAATTTGCATTCTGGTTCCAATGCATCGATTGATTCTTGCATTTCTACCATTTGTTCAGACGATTCCGCAACACGTTCCAAACTAATTTGAAATTTTTTCTCTTGTTTCATGAATTCCTGACGTTTTTTCACCAACTTATCCTTGAAAATATTGATTGATTCGACATAGGTCCACATCGGAATATAGATATGTTGATGATGCTGTATCCAAATCTCTTTAGTTAATTGCATGCTGCTTTTAAAGAATTCCATAAACATTTCGGTGGCGGCTGTTTGTTGTGGTTCGGTTAACTGTTCAAATCCTTCTTCGGTCAAGAAACGCTCTGAAACAGCCTGTAAACCATCATCGGGCCACATATGAAACCAATCCAATGTACAGCAATTAATAAACGATGGATAATCACGAAGCATATCATGAAATTTAGCATTTTCCGGTGATGCGCATATAATCACATGTAATTGTTCACGAATCAAATTAACAAAAAAATCGTATAATGCTTTTGGTGAACCATCCGTTTGAAGTGTTTTGTCGCGTTGTTTATCAATGACCGACATTTTCTCGCAAATATCTTTTATTTCATCCGAATCAAAGAGACGTAAAACTTCGCCTGATTGCAATAAATTACTGATATCGTCCAAAAATCGAATGTCTTTCATTTGAGCATCGGTGATTAAGAATACACCATGCGATTCAGTTGAGCTTACTTTCAATAGCATTGCTTTTAAAAACTCCGTCCATTCGTTCATCGAGTAGTTGCGTGTTAGTTCAATTTGAAACAGTTCATAGTCCATAATGTGTGCCGCGAGACGTGTAAGTGACTGTCTACCCGAACCACCGATACCAATGAGCAATAAATGAGATCGCGGCTGTTTTAAAACGCGACAAATTCGTGACAGATGTTCAACAGTGTATCGAAACATTGTCAAATTCATTGGTCGCTTTGACATGTTATTGAACTCAACCAGATAACATTCGACTACGTAGCGTAATTCTTCTAAGTCTTGCACCTCCAGGTAGTTCCGGGTGTCGGCTTTTGGGTTTGTGTAATCGCAAAACATTAGCTTACGCAAATCATCTTGCTGTATTGACTTGCCAGCTTCAATGAATCGGCTGAAGAGCTCTTGCGGTGCGGTGTGCAGTTGATTTTCTACTGTTTGGCAAATCCGTTCGAATAGCCACTTTTGATCAGAGGCTGTAATCAAGCGATCACCATACACACGACCAATTTCGTGTGCCCACAGTCTTCGCATTGTATCAATGCCTTCGATTGCTTCGGGTACGGAGAGTAATACACCGTGTATAACTCGTGAAAAATCACGAACATTGAATTGATAATGAGATTTTAATGGTGTTGGCAACAGTACTTCGCGCACTTCATTGTAAATTGATAGCGTTCCAAGAACGATTTCATCGATGCACGGATCAAATTCTTTGGAAAATCCACTGAAATGTAAAAAAAAAAAACATTTCGGAATAACATTTAGAAAATGAAAAATCAAAAGAAATCTATTTTTAGGAAAAATAGCTTTCATTGAAAATGTTCAATTACCGTGCATCCAAATGCCACAGCACGATTTTACTGAAAATACATCGAAGAGTTTCGTTGTCGAATTCATCAATTGAAATTATGTTAAAATGACGCAAAAAACGCGGACTAACACTTCGTCCACAGAAACGAGGTGAAAGCATGGCGCACATAATCTACCAAATAAAAAATGATAACATGAAATGGACGTGTTCAGATTGAGTTTTTTTAATAATTTTATTTGAAGATTTTTTTTCAAACAAATTTAATTATAAACGAAAATAAAACAAGTAAAAAACCCAAGTTGTTACAAACCTGTAATTCAATCAGTTTGATTGGCACAAAGTCTTTCTGTTCATACCACATTGAATGGTCCATCCACATGCGTAAAAGTTCTACGGCCGATTGTGAGTGGTTTTCGGTGTCTGGTAATGATAGGTCATCAACAAAAATGACGCATTTCTTACCTAACGGTGGACCTTTTCATAAAATAAAATAGCAGATTGGTTAGTACTTAAAGTATGTAAAAAATATCGCCAAGACTTTTGTCTTACCAAACACTCCCTTTCGTCGTTTCGTCAATCGTCCCATTATAATTTCTTGCACTTGATTCGCCGTTGTGTTTACTGTAAAATTCATACTGATTGAAACATAAGCGTGCTGATCGATTTTTTTCGCTAAATAATCGTGAGCATAAATGGTTTTTCCCGTTGCAATTTGGCCAACCAATAAAGTGGCCTTATCATGACGCAACAATAAATCGAGCAGTGCATAAATGCGAACAGTTCCTTTCGTTGTAATTATAATTTGATTGACAGGAATATCGCGGGATAGTGACGGTGCCAGAGCGATTTCGTCCGACCATAGTTTCCATTTACCTTTACCTTCACAAATGAAGCGGTAATCAAAAACCGTGCCAACTTTTGGTATGGTAAAAATGTATGGTTTTTGTAACGCAGCCACTTGCATTTTGTCGGGTATATTGAATTTTTTATAAAGTTCGGCTGGAAAGTCTTTCAACAATAAACCATGAAATAGCTCTGAAAATGACGTGCGACTCATTTCGTTTAAGGCACCACCCAACGACCATATGCATGAAAAGAAAAACATCCCTTCAAGTTGAGCCCGAATATCCAGTTCGGTCAGTGTTGATGTGGTTTTTTCATCGTAGTAGTCATCAAAAAAACATTCGAAAATGTTCATTAACGATGTGACCAAATTTGAATCTGTCGTCGGTAGCATTTCAATCGCCTCATTTCGAATGAAATGTAAAAGGATTGGACAGAAACGCATGAATAAATTTGTTATTTCTTGCTTGTTTACGTCTTCAAGGATTTTAGGGAGTTTTGCTTTCCATGATTCGAGCAATGGAAGCCAGCCCAATGATGATGACGACATATAAATGACACCACATCGTGAAACCTGAAATTACCAAATAAATAAATTTGTTTAAATGAATTCGATAAAATTACGTGAAAACAGAGAGAAATAAATTGATGAATTTTACAATTGCTGGTGATGCGTTTGCCAAATCCATTGGTTCGAATATGAGATTGGAATTATTCAAATAAAATACATCGCCCGATGTTAGACAAAGTTTTCGGTTATCATCCAGCACACTATTGATCGACTCCATCCAAATCGTATCGACCGGCCCATCGAATATTAACCACATTCGTCGTTTACATTCCACATTTGCATTATTAAAGTGTTTGAAATTTATCGCTAAAATGCCATCTCGCCATTCCTGCGATTTAGCATCGATTCCACCGTACAATTGTCCAATCGTCACACTTTTCGGATTAATAATAACACAACACACCGGATGGCTCTCTTTCAATTCGGTCGTTGTTTGTTGTTCCTCTAAAATGGCAAGCGCCTTGGTAAGTACGCGGTAAGCTGTTGTTTTGCCCGAAAATGAATCACCGACAACCATTACACCCGTCCGGATGTGCAACATTTCATAAAGTTCGTAAACTTTTCCCACAAAGTATTTCGTCGCATTTATATTTTGTGCAATGCAAGCGTCGTAAATGGATTGGTGTATAGGCGAATTTGACGACATGGCATTATTACATTTATTGTTGTTGGGGAAAATGTCGCTTAAAATAGACTTTATAAAATGTATATATTTGTTTAGTACTTTATCTGATATTGTTTTTGTTGTTTTTTTTTAATCATACATGTGAAACAGATGTTTCAATATAATACAAAAACTCTGTGCTTTTTTTACCTCAAATATGCACAGGTCTTCATCGTCTAGCGTGCACATAATGGTTTTGCGAATAATTTCAATAAGGATTGCCTCTTCATTTTGTATTTCGGTATCGGCGGCACTGTTTATTTTGGCTCGTTCGCTCATTTCCAGCACAACTTTAATGGTTCTCATTCTAAAATCATAATGCGGCTGAGCTATTAGTTGCTCCTTACATAATTGAAATAACGTTATGATTTTAGTCCCTAATGACTTTGCATTCTCGTATCCATGCGACAACAATTCGATTTCGGCTATGCGTTGCAGATCGGGCAACATCATCGATATTGGACGAAACAAGGTCTTGAGATTATCGCTAAAAATATATATAGAACAAATGAAACTTTTAAATAAAACCATTTCCCCATACGCTTCGTAACTGTTTTCGAAAATACATTCGCATAGATTGAATTTTAAATATAAATTATGCATACTGTAATTTTTCGTGACAATTTATCGGTTTCAATGAACTAAACGTTGTAAAAATAGCGCAACTCCGATTCAACAGCAACGATGTACCATCAATGATGAAATTCTGCTGCTTGGACGAAGACTTTAATGCCATTTGTATTGTTTGCATGTAATGCGCAACAACCGACAAGACACTCGATTTAATATGATTGAAGTTGTCAAAGCAAACCCTTTGAATTGGCAGACAAAATTGGCAAATATTTTTCGACATTGTTGCATATGTGTTCGACAAGCGGAAGAGATTCAGAGAGGGGAGATGGAAAAAGAAGGGAGGGAGTGGGAAAGATGGAAAGTGGTGGAAATAGATATAAATTGCATTTAGTAAATAACTATTCGTTACAAAATTGGAAAAATACCTTACCATGAGCCGCATGCAGCCAATCCTTTGAAGAATTTACTCATTACAATGTAATCCAAATCGTGTGCACAATTAAATGAAATGCAATATGTTGCAATTGCTTTTGCCAAATCTTTGACCATCTCCGTTTTTCCGATACCCGCCTCACCCTTTCAATCAAAATTTACAATCAAGATCCACTCATTCATCAAATACACGAAGTGATTGTTTCGTATCGATTGAAATCGGTGCATATTTACCTGTAAAACGAGTCCAAAATGTTGGTTGAGTGCAACAAAAATGGTGCGATAGCAACGATCCGTAAGTGGAGTAATAACCATGCGAGATTTATTTCCAATGTACTCAAAACCATAGAGCCATCTTGACAATAATGTTGCAATTTCGATTTTATTTCCATCAAAATAATATCGCATTTGACCCATCCAATCAAAATCGTCTGGCGTTTGTACATCTTTTTCAATTAAGCGATTTAAAATATTTTGCGCTTGAATAAGCAATATCAACAAAGTTCGAAAATTCAATCGTTTGCCTGACGATACATCGCAACGACGCAATAATGAAATAGTTTCTTCAATATGATTTTCCAATTTTCTTGCGATGCCATCGAAATGCGATTTTCGACTGGCGGGCACCACCAAAGCGCTATCAATTTCTTTGGTAAAATTGATCAAAAATGTTGCATGAACCTGAAAGCCAGAAAAAAATAACAACAACAACGAAAGATCAAAAGAAATAATATAGTAATAATAAAAATGCTTGCTTTGTAAGTGTACAAAAAGATTCAACAAAAAAGTACAGTTTAAGAATGCATACAAATTGTCCCGGCCATTGTGAAATCCATTCGCCAAATTCTTGCACCGAATAACTTTCAATCGCATCGAAAATTTGTGCAAAAACCGTTTCTTTCATTATACGCTCCAATTCGAGAAGCCATTTTTCGACTTGACCGCGTGCCTTTGCCGTTGATATCGTTTCTGTCAGCTCAACCTCTTCATCCTATATTTTCTCAAGAATGGAAAAAACCGAACGGACGAAAAAAGAGGAAAAATGAGAAAGAGAGAGAGAGAGATACACAAGATGATGTTTCACTTAAAAAATGTCAAGATTTTCATTTACATAAGCCGATTTCATAACTGCCACTTCAAGCGTATCTGTGAATGTCAATGAGCTAATACCATCGAAACACTTTTTTAAATGAAGTTGCACTTGGGTTGGATCTTTTGTTTCGGCCAAGATTTCCAATAATCCATCGTTGGACAGAAAATAAAAACGCGGAAAATACAAACGTTTCTTTTCGAGATACTGAAAATATGGAGCGAGAGAGAAAGTGAAAAACCAATTATATTTTATCTTGCCGTTGTGCAAAACTGTTCGGATTAAATTGTTCCATTAAAAAAATGACAAAAAAATGCATACGGTATGGAGGCCTTTCTGAATAATTTCCAATAACTGAAAAGCTTTTTTCAGCTTTTCCGACATTTTATCAATGTCAACGACTGACATAACAGCTGGATCCAAATGTACTTGTTTCATAAGTTCTTTCCAAATTTTATCGACCGCTCCAAAGCGTCTGCCTTCTTCGGGCATTTGTTGTTGAATATCTGGACTCGAGAATATTGGTTCCAAATAGATCCAAGTCGTCTGTACGCGCAGCCATTCGTCCAAAATTTCCTGAAGCAATACCAATTTTGATTCCCATGATCTGAAATATAAATAAACTCATGAAAAGAACCAATTTGAAAATGCTAAAAATGACACAAGTCTTACAAAATTTCCGATTCAAATGGTTTGATATAAGGTGAGTTTTTCATTGTTTGTGTTTTAATGATGTGATCATCGAGCAGTGTTTGTATATCATTAACGCTTGCCAAAATGTATGTGCCAGTGTCACGATATTCGTGTATCGAAAATTCGATGCCCTGCCATTCGACAATCATGTTGCTCATCGCAAGCTCGAGACCATTTTCTTTGGTTGCACTTTGGCTTATCTTTTCGAACCGTGCCAAATAGTCGTCCAATCCGAATTCGATAATCTTTTCAAGTGTAAGTTCGGGCGATACAACGATCGGAAAGCCCACCATTTCAGAAATTTGCTCCCAATGACGTAGTTTAAGGCCGGGATTGCCGAGTGTTTGTATGATTGGTAAATTCAATTTAAATTCATCGATGATTGTCTTTATGTCCTCTGCCAAACGTTTTGAATGTGGATGCTCATCGAATCCTTGACTTAATTTCAATAAATCATCATAAATTGTTTCGATACTTTTGGCTATATCGACCGGATCAAATGAACCAACTTGACCATTTTTAAGCCATAAATCACGTTTCTCAATAAAATCTTGACCCGCATCGAATAACTTTTTATATGGCATCAATTTAACATGGGTTTGATGGCGCAATGGATAATCGGACAGTGGCCAACCAAATGATTTTTCCTCTTCGTTGATGCGTTCGATTTTTTCCAATGCAGCTGTTAACCGAGCGTCTAGTACATTTGCTTTTCGCTTGTATTTTGCAACGATCGTTATATCACCCCAATTTTCGTACTCCAACAACTGTTCCCAATACAAATCCAAATCACGGCCAAATTGGTCGATGCGCTTTTTCAAGAGCTCTTGATATTCAATGGTTTTTTGTTCGACAATTTTTTGATTTTGAAGAAACACCGATGGCATTTTCAAATACCATTGAAATGTTATGCTATTTTGTTTGATTTCTAACGGTGTGTAAATGATTTGATCCATCAACCAAAGAAAGTGATCCAAATTCTATCCGGAGAGAGAAAAATTGTCTTAGATTGAGATAACACTCTATTTGCAGTAATGTAAAAAAAAACACTTTTTCATTTAAAATTGGGAGGAAATGCTTTTTTGTGGAAGAAGCAATTTCTATCGCAAAACAAATCTTTTTTGGTCAAAAACATTTTTCTCCTCAATTGAGAGAGTGAACGACAGAAAAAGAGTTTGTTTCATCATTTGAAACCATGTTACACTCACCAATTTCAGTCGTTTTTCCATTTCAGGAATGACTTCTTCTTGTGTTCTCTCCGCATACGCTTTCGAATTCATGAGTTCAGCGGTATTTTTTGGAATGGTAAGTGCTTGCTTTGAAATCTCTTCATATTCACTTTGCAATTGTGCCATGTCGGCCTGTTGGTCGGCAACCATTTTCGTAAGCAGTTCAGTTTGCATAAATTTGGACAATATCTCCAATGTTTCAATAAGTGTGGTTCGATGAAATTCATAGAATCCAATCGATATAATACCCCAAATATTCACCGAAATTTCATATTCCACATCATTATAATGATTAATCAAATCACAATACTCTTCAAATGCCGGGCTTATATTCATAAAATTATAGATTTTCTCTGCATCCGATCCGTTCATGAGGTCAAAAAATTGATCAAAATCTTGTAGCATGAGTTCGGGAACGATTCGTTCTTCTTCTAAAACCGCTGTAATTTCCGCTCGACATTCATCAATTACAGCGGTCGAAATGATTGGTTTCAAGCAGTTGCTTCGCACTCTTTGCATATCATCGTAAAACATTGGCATTGTCGTTTCGATGCGCACAAAATTTTGTACCGCTGCCAAAACGTTTTCGATAATGTGCAAAATTTCGGTGTGAATTTTCACAAATGTCGGACTAAATACGAGCCGATCTTCGTCTTTTAATAAAACATGCAACCGGATTCTTGGATTCGATCTATTTTTCATGAATTGCACGAAATGCTGCAAACTACGAACGGCAATGTCTTGCAAACACGATGTCATTTGGGAAGCCACACAATCGAAAAATCGATTCAATGCTTTCGGTTTTGTTGCGTCTGGCATCACTTTCTTCTTCATTGCTGTGCCAAATATCAACTTCAATGCATCATACCATTTTGTGCATAAAATCTCTCTCGCATCCTCGATTTGCTTGTTTATTGTTGTCTGCAATTCAAGAAGAAGAAGAAGGGAAAAAACAGAACAAAAAATATGATTGAACTTAATTACAGTTAAGCATTTAATATTTCATGGTGTATTGCACACAATGGTATTTAATATATACTATTTATTATTCTTCTGCTGTTGTTATTGAAGGTGTTTAGTAATATTAGTGAAGGCGGTGCTGGTGGTGGAAGTTTGTATTTATACTCACAATGAATTCAACTAAATCAAATGTACCGACATGACGAAGCAACTCATCGGCATTGATGAAACTCAATTTTGTATATGTTGTTTGCCACAACGACAGCATATGCCTAAGACATGGAGTGATTGCATAGAGGTTGCGACTAATTACTCGACGATTCACATGAATTCTGAAATCGGAAATTATTAAAACATACAGTTATATCCCAGATGTGCATGTTTGTATGTGTGCATTGTGCATATGCATATGAACGGAACACACATAAAAATTGTATCATCATCATCATCAACAACATCGTCATCAGTAAAACAATCTATTATTACATATGTGCATGATGTTTTCCAATTTCTTTTATTTCATTTCGTTCTCGAGATGTTTTTGCATCGATGGCATTGCTGTTGCCGCATGAATTATCCAGTGATTTTCCCAGCACAAAATCAATGACTGCTTTTTTCGAAATAAAAATATACTCGGATTTGATTTCATCAACATTCGCATCGATGATATCTTGCCATTTTATCAAACGCTTTGGTACCAATCGTAGAATTCTGTAAATTAGAATCAATATTTGTTTTGAGAGCAATTCAAAATGAAACAAACATTAACTTCTTTTTTAATCCGGTAAATCAATATTTTATATCCTTTTTCCCTATCTCTGTATTCTTTCCATCTCCTTCTCACTTTCCCAACACCAACTTACTTGTTTAACATTCGCTTAGTCATTGGGGCAATGTGATTTGTATCTATGCCATGCTTAATATAATAATAATATCTTAAAAGCTGACGCTCTTGTGAATTGGGAAATGTATCATCAGTCTTATCTTCATTCTCTTTGGCTACGATTAACGATATCAATGTTTTGCGAAATTCTTCACGTTCCTCGCGCATTTTCGTGTAGGATGGAAATTCTTTTAAGCAAATGAAAAAAAAAACAAATACACGAACAATCAGTATTGGATTATTTCTTGGAAACTCAATAAAACACATTCCAAGCTCATTTACTTCGTTTTCTTGATTTTTTTGGATTCGATTTAAATTTAATTTGACGACATTTTTGCAGTTCGGCTGGCAATGGTCGAATACACGTTGCGCCTTTGCAAAGTGGACGTGCTGTTGTCAACTTATCAAATTCCAAGCGAAGCCGCCTCGTTAAAAATTCCGCATTGGCTTTTCGATACTTTGGATCACGGTGTATTGCTGTAAATACTCGTGGCTCATCACTCGTCTCGGCGTCATCAACTTTTTTCGATTTTTTATCCATTTTGCTCAAAATAAACACACTTTTTTTTTGGCTCTCACAAACGAAGAAGCTTGAAAATTAGTCACAAAATTGTGCTGAAGCGAAGCTCAATTGTTTCAATAACATATCCATAGATACGGCCCAACGGATGCGTATATTGTGTTAGACAATTTGTTTTTTGTTTTGTTCAAACAAAAAAATCTGCATAATTTCATCTAATAAAATGTTCGAAAAATTGAATTACATTTGAATTAAAATATGTACCCAAAAAGTTATCGCATGAGAGTTCATTCTAAATTTTCTTTTAAAAAAAAAGTTGAATGTAAAAAAAAGAACGAAAGCATTGAATGCACGATGGGCACTGAGCGCACCCATCAAATGTCATGCATACATACACACATTTGACAGCTGGTGTATTCATGTTTTCACATTTCCAGACTAACCACACATTTCTGTTGCTTTGCACGGTATTTCATAATTCATTTCTGTTATTGCTTGGACTAATTTAGTGTAAAAAAGAATTGTGTTTTTTCCAAATTAGTAGCCGCTTCGTATAAAATTTGTAAACAAATAAATAATATCAAATTGAAAAAAAAAAAATGTTTTGCCGACAAATTATATGTCAATCGATGAATAATCTTCGATATTATTCGGTTGCAAAAAGCCCTTTGGCCGAACTACGAAAAAAGACCGGCTACTCACTTCTCAATTGTAAAAATGCATTGGGATTGCATGGTAACGATGTGGCGAAGGTAATTGATTGTAATTCGTTTATCGTCAAATCGTCAGTTAAATTTGATTCAAACTTTTTAGGCCGAACAATGGTTGAAAGATCAAGCACAAGCGATGGGCTGGGAAAAAGCGACCAAATTGGAAGGACGTGAAACTGCACAAGGTCTCATTGGAGTTGTTTTGCAGAAAAATATCGGTGCATTGATCGAAGTGAATTGTGAAACAGATTTTGTCGCTCGCAATGAAAAATTCCAACAATTTGTCGATTTAGCATCGAAATCATGTTTGAAATATGTCAGTGATTTGCCAGAAAGTGATTTAATTTCACGCACTGAATTCCAGAGTGAATCGTTGAAAAATTTGGTCAGCAGCAACAATAAAAAATTGGCAGATGAAATGGCATTGATGATCGGTATGACTCGTAAACTTTATTTTTTCATGAAAATCTCGTATCAATTTTTTCTCAAAATAATTACATTTTCTGACCACTTTAGGTATGGTTGGCGAAAACGCATCATTCAAAAGAGCACTCTGCTTCAAAGTTCCACAATCAATACAGTTGATCGGAATGGCCTATCCATCGCAAACAAATACCATTGTAGCCGACAGTGAAGTACATACCGGAAATATTGGAACCATTTTGGGCATTCGCAGCGAAACCGAAGTCACAGATGAACTCAAGAAAAACTTGTGTCTTCAAGTGATTGGAAGTAACCCGCTGAAAATTGGCAACAAAGAAACAGATAAACCAGCCGCTGATTCAGATGATGAAAAATGCTTGATCTATCAAGAGTATGTATTTGATCCGTCAATCAAAGTTGGACAATTACTCGAAGATCGACAAATCGAAATTATTGACTATCAACGATTCGAATGCGGTGAAAAAGTGGACAATGAAGAAAATGTTAGCGCTGCTTCAGCCAAAAATTAAAAATATCAAATAGCACTCAATATAATATTCGTTAATATGAATCCTCTATAATAAAAAAGGGCAACTTAGTTGATTTTTATGGAATGATGTGTATATTTACTTAAACGATTTTTAGAGTCAGGGAGCAAGGCCATTAGAAAAGAAAACGCGAATAAGCTCAGCAGCGGTTTACGGTTTGTTGAAATATTCCGATCTATTTCACCATTAAAACCAAGGTTACCCTGTCTCATATGCTTGTTCCTTAAAATATTAACAATTATTAGTCATGCTTCTATACAGCTAAATGGCATGATAAGCATAAAAAATTATCTTATTGCCAGAAAATAAAACAATATTGCAATAAAAATCCGCTCAACATGTCAATTGTTTATTCGAACATTTGTACAAAGTTAAGCTAATTGAATTATTTACAAAACGGGCAAAGTAAATAAAAATCAATCGATAAATGTTGTTTTGCCAATGACTGCATATATATAGTTTACTCTATTTGTTTGGTTAGCAAGTAATTCATTCATTGAAATATTCAGCATTTATTTTGAGTCGTGCAGCACGCTATGCTCGTTAGAAATTCAGTTGATCAATATGGAGTTAAAAAATTACACACAAAATTGTATGTTTAAAATGCTTTATTCTGAAAAATAGGATATGCTTATTGCCGATTTTGGAGGCACATGTTTTTATTATTTTGAATTTCTTTGAAAGACTGTGTTTTAGAAGCACTACATCTGTGCGAAATATTTTTTAATTTTTTTGAAAAATGCTTTTTTTTTTTGTTGCGTCTCATATTTTATGCGCCGAGTTGCTTGTACAAAATCGGTACATAATCGTCCCATTGGGCTTGATAGAAGTTACCAGCCACCGGGTTGCCCAATTCGTACTTCTCGGCAAATTTAGCAATGGAAAATCCTCCTCTGTTTTCACCACTGGTGTTCGGCAGGCGAGGCTCATCGAAGCTAAGTTTACCCTTTTGCTTGTAGATCAAAAATACATAACGATGTAATCCGGTACCTTCAGGTGGTCCCGATCCGACGTAGTCCGATAATATTTCACCTTTGCTTACATCTTTGCCTGGTATATTTGTGATCAACCAGTGGTGCCACTAAAAATTATACCGAAAAAAAGTGATGATATTTAGCGATGTACTTATTAATTTATAAATAGCTTGAAGATTTGATTTTATCAAATTCGTGATAAGACACAATGTGATAAAAATAACAATAACAACAAAAAGAATTTTAACAAAAAATTACCTCACGGAACTTCGGGTCTTGACGAGAAGGCGCATCTGGGTCTGTCATAGCTAGAGTGTAAAACGTATCTGGATCGGCATTCCATTCAACGTTTGGGCGATCTTTAACTTGAGTTGGTGTCAATTCATTGCCTTCATTTGCCGAAACACCACTAACATAGGTGACTTTGGCCACTTCAGTCGGTGCAAATGGAATGACGTCGGGAACAATAGCGTGTTTATCCATCGTGATATTTACTGCGTAGTTTCTGGTCACAACTGACTTGATCAAATTTCTCGAAAGAACTGAAACACTCAATAGCCGGTTGGCAAACATTTTACCTTATCCAATGAAAATAGTAGAAAAAAATCAATTCTCCACACTCTCAACGAACTTTGTCATAATAATGGATGAACAAAATCTACACAACAAATGGCACTTTGAACGGTTTTCTCTTTTGATAGGTTTATGCAATGTTTCTTACTAGTAAATGTTGAGAACAAAAATTGAATCGAATTGTGATTGAATTTTATCTCATTTTAAAGATATTTTGAAATAAAACTTAAAAATTATCTGAAATTCAAGAGAAAAATGTCTTTATTATATTTATAAAATAGGGAATAATAGGGATTTTTATGTTTTTCAAATATTTGACAGAAAATGTCACCTGTCAACATCCATAGCAAAACAGGAGAGTTAACACACTTAGATTTTTGACATTTCATTCATTAAAGCTGTGTATTTAGCGCGAAATATCTGTATACAATAAAACAGATCGTTTACTTTGATCAATTACATTCAAAATGTTGTTCTCAAATGAAAATTCAATAAAAAAAACTACAGATAATTATCAACGATTATCTACCGCAACATTTGTTGATTCATCTGTGCGATTTCAATTGAAAGACAAGAAGACTGATTACAGCAAGCAATTTGCGCACATATATGCTCAACGGCTAGATCAAATGCGACCACTTCTTCAAGCAAAAGCCGCTGAAAAATGGGGTGAGTAAAAATACTTCACAAAATGTGAAAATTATTAAAACGAATATCGAATGGAATTTCCATAGGTGACAAATATCCAATAAAAAAGATGGCAGATTTGCGTGAAGACAATCCAGAAAAATGTGTTATTCTTGGCACCACATTTGTTCATCAAAAATTAAAGCCGAGCATTTTGCGTGAGATTTCAGAAGAGACACAATTAACACCGCAACCAGTTCGACAGAATTTCGCCGATGAATCAGACATGGTTATTTTGGAAGATGAAGTTCAACGCATTCAATTGCTAGGTGAATTTCCAGTTCATCAATTTGTTACTGGTATTGTTGTCGCTGTTTTGGGTAAGTTTATGTCGATTTGCAGAAAAAAAGCATTGAAAAAGATTTGACCGAACAAAATGGCATCGAAATAATTAAATAATTTTTTTCCAACTATGTTCACTTCGAATATTGTAACTTATTAGGAACTGATTGTAAGTAAAAGTCGACTTGAGAGTTTGAAAGAGTTTCAATATTATAACCACACACTATCATCAATCGATTTTTTGCAATTTGTTTTTCACCAATTTTTAATCCGTTCATTTTTTTGTCTACGTTTATTCTTTGGCTTGCTCTCACGTAAAATACACTCTCACCCTTTAAAAATGTACTATTTTTTGTTTGTGTTTGTACTCATCACATATGAAATTGTTGGTGTCTGTTGTGATTTCACTCTGGTTTTGTTTTTCATTTTAATTTGCATATATGACTTTTGTACATATAACATTCACGATAAATCACAAAATCTTCGAATATATTCTAATCGTATATTTAATTTTAGGTTATGAAAACGACGAAGGAAAGTTCGTGGTTGAAGATCATATGTTTTACGAATGTGGTCCACAGAAACCGCTGAAAGAGTTGACGTCGTCACCGTTGCTGGTCTTTGTTTCTGGACTGGATCAATCGGCCACGCATGATTTTACGATGTCACTTGAACTCTTTCAACAGTGGTTGTATGGAAATTTGCCGAATTTCGATAAAGACATGGATTTTGAGGCGTCGAATGTGGTTCGTGTTATTGTGGCTGGTAATTCGGTGCGTACAACAATGGAAGTGCGTGCAAAAACAATCTTAATGCGTCAACCCGAGTCGACGGTTACACTGCAAGCGGTTAAAGCTGTCGATGATCTTCTCTATGGATGGTCACAATCGGTAAATGTCGATTTGATGCCTGGAGAATTTGATCCATCGAACTGCATGTTGCCGCAACAACCCATGCATCATTGTATGTTTCCAAATAGTGCACCATGCGGTGCATTTAAATGCGTCACAAATCCGTATGAATTTTGTATTGAGGATCGCCTTATACTTGGCACATCCGGCCAAAATGTGACCAACATTCAAAAATATTCACACATCGAAGACACGCTTGACGCCTTGAAATCGATCGCCAAATGGAGCATTTTGGCACCAACCGCCCCAGATACTCTTCCATGTTATCCGTACTATGATGATGATCCGTTTGTCATTAAACAATGTCCAAACATACTGTTTGCTGGCAATATGCCCGAATTTAAGACTGGATTTTTTGAAGGTATACCAAATGATTTATTTCGACACTTTGAAAAGTCGTTTTCAATATTTTTTATATTTATTTTACAGGACCCGATGGACAGAAGAGTCGATTAATTTGCGTCCCATCGTTTTCTCAAACCGAAAGTGTGGCCGTTGTTAATTTAAGAACCTTGGAATGTAAACAGTTGTGTTTTAAATTAAAAGGTTTCGATGAAATTGAAATGTAAGCTAAAAATTATGAAAGTAAAAAACTGTTCGTTCTTTTTATTAAAATACTTTTATTGTTGAATACAGTTGTAGCTATAAGTAAGGTTAACTCATGGAATGAAAACAAGCTATAGAATTTCGAAATAAAATATGAAAAAGCAAGCAACCATTGATATTTTCACTCTAATCGCCTAATAAAATGAAATCTAATAAAACATATCGGCATTGAAGTAACCAAGACTAAATGTGAAAATGAAATATGACATGATTTTGATTTGCAGCAAAACAATACTAACTAGTCTATTCAAATGTATTTTGTTTGTTTTTTTTTTTGTTCATTGATAAATATGTGTAAATATGTTCAAGTTGGAAGAAACGCAATTGCTTAAATCTAAAAAATTTGTCGTCATTGTTATCATTTCAGCGTACAATCATACATAATAGCTAGTGTCGGTCAATTCGGTGATTCTTTTTCCTCTTCTATGATATATTGTATCGCCGATGCGCGCCATATCACTTGAGTTCTTTGTGTCGAAAATTTTCTATATAATATCTTTGGCAAATTTACACGAGGAAACAAATAAAGATTCAGACTTTCCAAACGTTTCACAAAAAATATAATTTATATCAATCAGTTTGACTGCTGTTAACAAGAATAAAATATATTGCTTTGTTTGATAAAATATCGAAAACAAATAGATTGACTGTTGTTGATTTTTTTCTTAAATCTGAAAAAACTATATTTTCTTTATGATAAAACTGAGCAATAAAATTCTATTCTGATTTCTTCTTCATTTTTTTTAAAGTCATTTTTAAATGTGTTTCATAAATATTCTTTGTTTTTTTTTTTTGTCTTTTTAAATATAGTACTTCTAGATATCACAACTACACCCCCAAGATATAATCTGAAAAAACGGTTGATTTTTTACCTCTCACCAGTATTACATGAAATAGAAATATAAAACAGATATAATTATATAATATGTATGTTTCTGAAGAAATTCTATTGAAATTTATTCTGCAGGCAATGGATATGAATTCTAATGTGTCTCCTTCAATTCACATGGTATTGTAATGACATTTCAATTGAAACAATGAGGATTAAATTGAATTGACTGAATTGTTTAATTGGGTGTGTGTGTGTTTATGTGTTGGGCCGATTTCTTTTCTTTGATATACTTTTTTAAACATTTGCTTGCTCTGGACCACCAACACAACTTGGAATCGCATTCGACCATTTGGCATTACGCAAACATTTAATGGTTCGTGCCCCTTTTAATTCTAACCCAGTATCACATGTGAATGTTATACTCTCGCCGATTGAATAATAAAACTTAACTGATGACATTCGACCAGATATCGCAGTGCCTGGATAACTGCAGGCCTGTACACCTGTTCAAAAAAAATGATTGAGAATAATAATTTGAAGTGAGAAGTCAATTCTATGATGCTTACATTTTGGTAGAACGCCAGACCATCGTCCATTGTCCTGACACGCAATTATCGGCTGGCCTTGTATCATATATTCCGGATTACAGTTGAATTGAATGACATCACCAGCTCGATATGGAGCTGATCCTTGTGCATAACCGTTTACTGGAGCGCCCGGATTATCGCACTGCACCTCTGTAATGTTAAATGGATTTTTAATTGGATTTTTCCTCATATTTGTTTCATTTGATTTCAAACCAGAGCACGATGGGAATGGTTGCGCCCATTCACCACTCGATAGACATGTTGTTTGTGATGGACCACGTAGTCCATAGCCAGTTTGACATGAAAATGTTGCACGACCGCCTACTTCACGGGATAGGATTGTTACACGTGGCACAGATCGATTCGATGACGCCAATATTGGAATGTCACCACATTCAATGCCTGCAAAGCAAGAAAGTCGTCGATTTTTTTTAAGAGTGAAGTTTAAGTTTAATCTTTTTTTTTGTATTCGGACTCACTTTCACACACCGGCAGCGCGGAACTCCAATTACCACTCGGCATGCACGTTAATTCCGATGAACCGATCAATGAATTTCCATTTATGCAAGATAACTGGATCTTTGATCCCATCTTTGTATCATTCACATTTACTTTGAGACCACGCTTGCTTGGAATCTCTGGACAATGGATGGCTCGTACAAGAACCTCAACAGTGTGATCGTGTCGAGCCGGTGTTCTTAAACGACAAAAAAGAGAACCTTTTGTATTACAAATAGCAATGGTAAATTTAAATAATGTTTTCGAAATAAAATATGTTATTGAATAAATTTCTTTTGTCTTTTCTCTTGGAGCCACCCAGCTAATATTCCCTCGTTTTTTCAGTAACAATATACCGACAAACATTTTATAGTGTTTTATAATTATTAAAAAAACTGTATCTTTATAATGCCTGTATACGTACTCTATAACAGTTATATAGACAATTGATAAAAATCACTTACGAACATGTAAAAATTCCTGTATCCTCCTCAACCGCATGGAAAATGCTTTTTTTTTGTAAAAAATGAAGATAGATAGTGTCATTTTTCCTTATTGGAAAGTCTATTAAACCCATTATTACCTCAATCGATATTCCAATGTATTATCGCGACCTTCATCGGTGACCCATCCTTCGGGATAGTTTCTATACGTGTGATTAACCGACCACTTCGGGTTGCCAAAACGTCTCATCCATAAACATTCCATATGCACTGTTGTCCCCGGATACACGACCAATTTCCCATCATTACTTTGTGCAATTGGACCATTGTGATGACGAAATAGAATTGTTGGTGATTTTTCCACTGTAGAAAAACGATTAATTGACCGAAAAATTCAAACGAAATTTCCCCATAATGAAAGTGAAAATGTAAATATGAGTCATTGGGTCAAAATGGATTTTAATGCAATCCATTCAATGTGGAAAATGTAAAGTAAATTTGAAAAATATGCTCTGAATTTTCCTTAAAAGTGACATACTTGCGTAATCATTTTCCTGATTCAATCCCAAACACGTAGGCTTAATGCCGTTCCAATCTGAATGAATGCACGTAAGAACATTATTGCCAAGCATTTGATATTTGCCAATATCCACACATCTGTAAAAAAGGATACATAAAATGAAACATTTAGAGCAAACCTTCGTATCAATCAGTGTAGCGAGAAAAATGTGTTTAACATGATTGGAAACTGTGCGTTATCTCAATTTTGCAGATGTTCAATGCTCTTTTTTTTCTCTCGAGCTATGTGCTTTCAATTTTATGGGATTGATTGAGCAATTTTCCGCATCTGTGAACACCATAATCGATTCTGAGCTTAGAGTGAAGCTCACTCAATCGGTCCCATGGGTCGTTTACATCAGTTTATAAATTGTATGTGATGAAATAGCACACGCATTCAAATCGCTCCAGTTTTTTCCACATATTTTTCCGAAGAAGAAAAATGTCAACCGAAAATGTATTAAACAAGTTGAAAGCAATCATTGAAAAAGCCAACAAATCAAATATTAATATTCAACAACTGGCATCTCTTGAAAACCATTCGGCAATATCGAATTTATCATTTTTTCGATGTTTTTTCTTCGTTCCAATCGTATTGGGATTTACTGTATTTGTTCACAACAAATTGTGGATAAATGGGGAAAAGTGTTTGATAGCATTGCCTGATTCATTGTCGCATGCATTTCGTCCGCCAGAAAATTGTAACTTTTGCCGAAATATCACGCAAGCTGATCGTGTTTCGAATATTTCACCACATGAATTTGAAAAATATTTTGCATACAATGCCAAACCAGTGATTGTCACCGATGCAACCAACAATTGGACTGCTTTGGATGTATTTGATTTTTGGTATTTCAAAGATGTATATGATTCTTCATTTACCGAATCGGAACAAATGAACTGCCAGTTCTTTCCGGTAATATTAGTTTTTGTTCACACAAACAATTAAGAAATACTAAAGCAGAAGAACATTTTATTTTTTATTTCTAGTATAAAACTGAATTCAAATCACTTAGAGAGGCTTTGAATATTCCATCAGAGCGTGTGAACTATGAAAGTGGTACCGACCCGTGGTATTTTGGATGGAGTAACTGCAATTATGAAGTTGCTCAAGAGCTACGAAAACATTATGACCGTCCATACTTTTTGCCAGACACGTCGGAGAATAATGCTATCGACTGGATTTTTATGGGAGGTCCAAGTCTGGGCGCACACATGCACGTTGATAACGTTAGATTGCCGTCGTGGCAGGCACAAATTAAAGGCCAAAAAGGTATACAGAAATTATGCTATTTTGAGGTCAGTATGCATGTGCTTGTGCATACTGCACTGAATTTCAGATAACAATTTAAATCACATTTAAAAAATCAGTTTTAATTGAATACGCTTGTCGTTTGTAGAATGGGTCTTGGCGCCACCACCCGAATGCTATTATGAATGCTCAACTTTTTCAACAATCGTACGAACCGGAGATATTAGTAAGTTCTCATACATTTTTTTTTGTTATAATTCAAGTCATGCACAGTACGAAAATAGAAGGAATCATGTATAAAGACAATAATAAGAAAAGTTCAACAAATCAGAAAAGGTTCACAGTGGTCAATAATATAATAATTTTTCCAAATTTCTGCTGTATGTGAAGAGTAAAGGGCAAATTAATACTAAAATACTTAAAGTAGCTACGAGTATTTGTTTAGTACTTTCGGTCATATATTTCAATAATTTTCAGTATGTTTGGTACTGATTCGCCCCTTACGACTCGGCAAGTTTGGGAACCTATATGAATCGAATAATGTAAAATGTTCAATTTCAATTGCAGTTGTATTGGACACAAATAAATGGTATCACAAAACCATCGTATTACCAGGCGAGATTAGCATTACCATTGGTGCAGAGTATGATTAAAAAGAAATAATGAAAATGGTGTTTTACGTTAGTCATGCTTTATTTAAATTTTAAAGCTTATTTTATTCAATTGAAGAGATTTTTAAGCTATGTGTAATTTCAAATGCTATTCATTCAGTTTACAAATAAATTTCTATTTAATTGATAATTGCTTGGAATCCATTCAATTCATGTAATCTCAAAATCATTATTATTTCAAATACTAATCTAAAATCAAAATTTCATTCAAGTATAAAATGCTAGAAAAACTAATCTAAAATAGAATTTATTGTAATATTTGCAAGCATGCATCGAACCAAATCTTTATCACTATATTCGGTGGTTTTATCACTATTTCTGTATTTTAAATTTATACAAAAATCGTTTGGTGAATAGGTGAGTGTGAATTGTCCATTTGGCCGCAAATAAATTTATCAAGATGATGTTGTGTATCAAAAATTGTGTTGAAAATGGTAAACCATTAAAAAAAGAATAATCATGCTCATGAACAAAGTTATGTTTTATTATATAAAGCCATTGCATACCTCGACACAATTGTGGCACCAGGTGGAAATTCGACAACTCCTTCATCGATTCGCAGATCATTGTAGAAGCTCACAACATTCGGTTCATCATTGTAAAAGATGCAAGTTCCATTTGCTGTATGGCAATAAATCACAATTATTATTCGCTTGAAATATTGTACTCTATACTGGAAGACTTACTGCAATCAAAAGAGCGACCATTCCATGTACCATCCTCGCATACGATTTTCCATGTTGTTCTTTCTCCCGCTGCACCTTTGATGCAATTAAACGTAATTTCTGTTCCAGATTCGAATCCTTCATCGGCATCAGTGACCGGTTCTCCGTTTCTGAAAACACATGTTTCTAGTTAATACCACTAAATAAAATCGATTCAAACGTAAGTATTACTTGTAAAGAATCGTCTCTTCAACTCTCGTTGGCATTCCGCATGGTTTTCCCTCGCCAAAAGTGTGTTGATAGTAACTGCCACTGTTTTCTGTTTTCATGTTCAAGATTTTCGACTTGCCGAATTTTTCATTGATTTTATTGAATCCAGTTAAAATGCTTGTCACGTCTTGATTTGAACTAAAAAAATCAACTTCGCCCAAATATTCACTTTCGCGAGTTTTTTTAGCAATTGCCGATATTTGAGCCGGTTGACACTGAACGGTTTGCGGAGTTAAATTTCCCAGTGAACATTCTGTAGTATTTTTTTTGGATTAAATCGAAATAATATGAAAGAGCAGGAAGTATATGTAAGAAGTGAAATAATAATTACTCATTTGCACCGTTTCCTCGCTGCCTTCGCATTGAACCGAAACTGAAGCGGCATGAGCGATGGTTAATCCACCACGATATCCTTCCTGAATGAAATGAATAGAGTTTTAATGTGAGACAAGTCTCGTTTCAATTGAAATTCGATCAGTTACTTGATAAACAGCATTCGAAATATTTGGCAGAGAGCATGGAGCTGGAACACATTCTGGTAAACCGTTGACATCCCAACTACCCTCTTGACATTTCAATCTGTTTGGACCCTGTACGGTGTATCCTTCATCGCAATTGACTTGAACAATCTCGCCACTTTGTACTTCATCGAATGCGTTAAGTGGTTGCATTGTTGTTTTACCATTGTCGTCTTTTTGATCAACAACCAATGCCACATATGCTCCGTGTGCAGTGGAAGCAATTGAGCATGGCACTAAAGTGCATTCTGGTTTCAATGGTTTCCATCGTCCTCGAACACATTTTGCAGTTCCATTTGGATTTTGTAAATTCAATCGATATTCCTTTGCACATGTTGCACGAATTATCGTTCCAGTGCCAAATTCGTTGGACGGATCGCGTCCTTCACGTACGATGTCAATACGAATGTATGGTTTCATAGCGATTGGCTGAAAAAGTTTGAAAATAACTTAATGCATCATTTATCTACTTGCAATACCCCTCTCTTTAGAGGAAGGGTACCCGATTTTATGTAAATTCAAAATTAGTCATTACTAAATTACAGCTCTCACCTCACATGGTTCCTTTGTTTTTGACTTCCGTGATCCTTCTGTATCACTGCCATTTCCATCCTCTTCAATTGGGTCTTCACTTTTCTTCGGCGCGCGTGGAGCCCGTTTTACACGATGAAACAACTTGCCATTATTGTGTACACCTTTGCTTCCAAGAAGAATTCTCTTCCTTCGTCGAACGATCTGTGACTGTAACAAATTGACAATATCGCTAACATTCTTCTCATGTTGTCGAGAGATTTGTGGCAAATAATTTCGATTGCCAATCTGTCCATTTTCATCGTGCACTGCATCACTGTGGCTGCGACCAACAAATGTATTGTTTACAATGCCATCATTTATTTCCTTCTTCGCGTAAATATTTCGATCTTCGTTGATATTTGGCAATGGTATTGGCATCGAAGCATATGCATTTATTTCATCGAATGGATCTTGAGCGGGTGTTTTATAATCATCATCATCGGCATATGGATCTCCTTTGTTATCAAAAACTAATGGTTCATCATCATCAATGACACGTTGACTATGTGATGCTCGCAGTAAATTATTGATGTAATTTCGATGTTTTTGTCGAATTTTCTCATAATATTTATTGTAGGCGCGTCGTTGTGCTTCCTCAAATCTAATTCGTTGTTGTTGCTGTTGAAATTCGTTGCGCAATGGACGTACAAATTGATAATCAATTTCTGGATATCGTTTTCGTGCAATATTTCGCTTGAATCGCATTATTGCCGGTGCAACGAGATGCCATTTATGATTGATGTTATGATTTGGAATTATTCGTCGATGAATTTTACGCTGACCACCTCGATGATGAAGTAAACTTCGCTTTTGTCGTAATGGAAATGGATCTTCGATTACTGCATTTCTTCGAAGAACTTCACTGATTTCCCGCTTAAAACGACCAAAATTTCGCAAAATTTTATGCTTTTGTTCAATTTTTGCGGCACGCTTACGACGATTCCATCTTAAACGCGGATGCAAACCAGGACTACATTCGGGCAACTCAGTTGGCCGCCAAACACCACCAACTAATACAAATACAAAATGTTTTTTTTTTTTTTTTTAATTTAGTTAACCTTTGGGCAGTGTCACATCGTGATTCTTACCACATGTCGCACCAACTGGACCCTTTTCATTTAAAATGTAGCCTTTATCGCAATCGTACATTATTTGCTTATTGTTCATTATCTGGAATGAAAAAAAGTTCACTAAACGGTTTTTGAAGAAAAAAACGAAAAAATGTTACCTTCCTAACATAGGGTCGATAGTCATAAAGTCCCATATTTCCAATAAGTAAAACTTTGCCGTGTTCAACATAACCAGGGAATGCACAAAATAATTCTTGACACATTGGTGTCAATCCCGTCCAATTGCCAAACGCACAAGTACGAACGTATTCATTTTCATCGATAACTTCTTTTCCATCAGGTCCGGTTAACTTGAAACCATCTTTGCATTTAAATCGTGCTTTCATACCATGCTCTGTCTTTGGTGCCAAGACCATTCCTGGAAATATGAAGAAACCATTGAAATGTTTGTCGCCCGAATCACGAAAATATATACAAAATATCAGCTTACCAAACTTTGGTGGTTTAGGAAGAGTTTTGCATCGAGCCGGTGTACAACGAGGTATAATTGACCAAGTACCATTCATACAGGTGGGCGGAGCTGAAGATATTATTGGAAATTCATATCGATCTTCGCAAACGACCTCCAGAGTCGTTCCATGAATGACTTGATTAGATGTTGGCGGTAGTGTTGGAGTAACCGGAGTTGTGGCATTTGGATCAAGCTCTTTTTCCATTGCAATAACTGTGCCTTGTTGAACCGTTGGTATAACGCATGGTGCTAGAATGGTTTATATAACACATAGTGGAAACAGATTTACGCCCAATTTTTTTTTAAATAGTTACCTAAACATTCTGGTACTGGATATCTCCATCTTCCATCAACTTGACAAACGGTTGACGTATTTCCAGCAAGCAACATACCCGGTTGGCATCGAAAAATAATGCTGGCTCCCAATCCTGTTCCGGCGTCAATATTTTCCAGCCATCCATTGAACAGAACCCCCGGAGAACCGCAATTGATTTCCTTACAAGTCGGCAATGAGCCGCTCCATTTTCTATCGGCACCACAACGTCTCGAACTATCATTGACCAGTGTATACCCATAGCGACATTCATAAGAAACGATTGAATTGTACGAAAGACTCGTATAAATTGCTTTTCCATTTTTCGGGCTCTCCGGTATCGGACAAACGACACTGGTTACAACTATTTTTTGTTTGTAGAAATATAGAAGCAAAGAAAAGGCAATTTTAGTTTTTGACCTTGAAGCTGATGCGTAGAGACTAAACAAGTAGTACACAAAAAACTATTTTCAACCATTTGTCTATGTGAATGTTTACCGCAAATTTTTGAATCAAAACGATTTTCATGGCCGATAAATAGTGGTTGTTTCAATCATGAGAGTTGAATTTGGTCTATGGATGTGGCCAGCATCTAAGGCGAATTTATGAAAAAAATAAATAGTCATTGCATGAAGCGAATAAAAACAAATCGGTTTGGTTTGGTTTTGCGGTAACGATACACATAATTTTTATTGTTGAAAGCCAAAATACATTGTTTAATTTGAAATAGAATTGATTCTACACATTAACTACATAACGATTTAATACAATTTCGGATTTGATAAAACGATGACGGTCAAATGTTTGAAGCGATTTTTTTTTTTTTGGCAAGTGGTTGATGATCTTTGACCGACTCCAGAAACGTTTGAAGTTTTTATTCGATTTGGTCATCTCAATTTTAATTAAAATCACGAATTTGCGACACAACATCAAAGTATGGGGATCAATTAAGGAATTAATGGTACACTTTTTAAGAGCAAATACTTCAGTTAAATCGTTTCTCTACGGCTAGTGTATATAGTGTATGAACTTGAAGTGCTACTAAATATATATTGACGTGGCATGGAAATTTTGTTACTACTTTTCGTAAATTTGTGAGAAAATATTTACGTTTCAGCTACTTAAACGAGAATTTATGATTGGTTCTCTTTTGAATTGAGCAAAGAAGCAACAGGAAAGAAAACATTAAAATACAGTCAAAATTAGATAGTCGAATCAACACAACATTACAGATTAAAAAACATACTCGATTTTTTCTTGTTTTTTTTTTTTTATCAAAATTGGATAGAAATTTACTTACGCACACATGTAGGCATTTCTTTTGGTGACCAATCACCGGTGGCTTGACAAAAACGCTCGGATTTTCCAACCAATTCATAACCTTCGCCACAGTGGTAGGTGATACGACATCCAAATGTATAACATTCGCCTGCATGCCAACCATGAGTCGGATCAGTCGGTTGACCTGTTTTGAATAAAATGAACAATTAATTTCTATCGATTTTTGCAGATATCAATTAATGTATACAATTTATATAGATTTTTGACTTACCACATGAGCGAGGCTCACAATTTATATCGGGACCATACCTGAAAATGGACATAAAATCAATTATGGTTAAGAAATCATTACGAATGGTAAATCATATAATTCTTACCAACTTGCATGACCATCAATCGCCAAACATTTTGCGCGTGGAAATCCAGCAGTAACATAGCCAGTATAGCAATGATATTGAACGGCTGAATCAAGCTCAAATGTGGCTTGTTCCGGTAATGCTGAGTGACGAGCATGTTCGATGACTGGCGGTGTCAAACAGAAAACTATAAAAACACAAAGAGCAAGACATGCAATTAACTTCGGTATGAAAAATGGTGACTTTAAATTAGCAGCAATGAGAGGCTAAAATTTACTATTCTTTGAGCAAATCGGTTGCGATCCTGTCCATTGACCATTTCGGCACAGTCTTTCAGCAAGCTATGGTTGGAATAGTATTTATCTTAAAACATGCTTTTTTCTTCAAAAACATTGAAAATTACCCCAACAACATTGTAGCCAAGTGGACATGTGTAAACAGCTTTTCCGCCAAATTCCCGACCGGATAAAGTGACCGTTCCAAGTTCAGGCTGTGGCAGCTCTGGGCATTCACGATCTGAAAATTTATAAAAACGAATGTTAAGAAGTTCGGAATTCAAAATAAAATTCAATAAAAAAATGAACCTGGCTTGATGCATGACATTCCGCAGGTTCCGTCGCATAAGCACTTTTTCTTTTTACTTTTGCAATCTTCATGCGATGAGCATTTTCTTAAGCATTTTTGACCTAATAAAGTTGCTTGTTCCTCGTCCCGTGGACAATCCGATGATGGTGAATTTCTTGAATTTTTTATTTAATTTTAAATTTTTTTTTTTTTTTTTTTTTTTTATTTTTTTTTTCATTTTTACCTTGGATTTTTGTAAATTCGACCATCGTCATCAGCTTCGGCCGACTCTTCCGAATCGTCAAAGTCATCTTCGTCCTCATCGTCAGGAACATCAGTTGCAGCAGACGGTACAGACAAAACTGTAAAAAAGAGCAGAAATATATTAAACGTCGAAAGAATTCATAGAGAATACCTAAAAAAATACATATTTGATGTGAAGCGCTACAAAAACTCTTGGGCATTATATCAAAAAGTGAGTCGAGCTTCATTTCCAAAGATTTACGCACATACATATGAAAAAAGCACGTGGATAAAAAAAAGTCATAACAAAACGGAGTAAACGAAATTTGTTTTGACAGATTTTTGATGGAAAAGCTGACAAGTGGTTGTTGAATTTGTACAAATCATCTGTTGTGCCGGATTCTCATACTCCGATGCTACCAACACTTGCGCACCAAAGCTCTCATCAAACACCAACACAACACAACCAGAAAAGTAATCATGGTTACTACCCATCACCTAGATTGACTTTTTTCATGGGTCGATGGAAGAGCGAGAACGAGACTTGGATAACATCAATACACAAGAAAATCTGTAGCTTTTTTGTGATTTTTCGAATGGTTTTTGTTCCATCACAAGACGCAGTCGTTCGAATTTGAATGAAAGAAAATTGCAAATCACTGACGCAATGGAAAAAATGCAAAAAATTTCATGCTCACCCCGTTGAACAAAAATGGCTGCCATGAATAATATCCACAAATAATACAGGCGATTCATGTTTTGTGTGTTTTTTTAATTTGTTATTTTCGCTAAATTGTTTTCGAATTTTGCAATTAATGCATTATATGAACATAGTGTAGCACTTATTCAACACCACGACACAATTGTCAGGTGAAAAAAACAAAGTTTTTCCACTGAATTTTCACTTTTTCACAGAGCACAATTTTTTTACCACAAACCACACAATTGAAATGATATGCTCTACGGAAGCGTTCTATTGTCTTTGTTGCAGCATCTCCGCACTTTGGCATTGGATGGCAAATTGATGCGAAGCTTTTTTTATGTATGCACATATACCAGCTAAGGATAAGATGGAAAAACTGGGTCGTATTGTCAAGGACGACACCTATGGAGAAATATTTAAAGTTTTCAATTAAATTTGGTAAGAGTATGTACTATCACTATCATTTTTAACCTGGTGTAACTGTAAGGGATGCATGCTTTGGTAAAGAAAATCTGTCGTCTGGTATTATATTAGTTGATTTGTTATTTGTTGGGAAATGTCTATATTTTATGAAAACTTCCATTTATATTAGATTGACTAGATTGATATTAGATTGAATAATACAAGAACATTCCAATTTCAAAAGATAATATGAAAGAAAAGAAAGAGGCTTACGTACGCAAGCTGACTTTTCCGCATGGAACCGAAATTTTGGGAATAAACTAAAATTATGGTCTATGTATGGTTGCAGTAACTTAAATTACCGTGAAAACTTGTGAATATTATTTTCTTATCAAAATAAATAACCACACCAAGTCTAAAGAAATTTCAATCAAAAATTACCTGTTCAAAGTTTTACATCATTACGGTACCACAAAGGCATGTCTTTCATACAAATATGAAATTTTGTGTGGATTTTTGTATGAAAAGTCTATGAAAAATTGATTGCAACTCAAAACTAATCTTAGATTTGAGTTTCTCGTGCCAAAAAACCCCCACTACACATTCTTGTTTAAAGCCAATACGACTTTTACTACCCGTATTAGAAGAATTCACGCTTCGTGTACACTCGGCACATCTTCGCTGCTTAGGCGAATGTCAGCAGTAGAATTCACTGCGACATGTTCAAAAAACATCAAGTAGCCATATGTGAATGTTTCATCCTCTTTTGTGCGAACTTTCTTTGACTGTGTACGGCTGTGAGCAAACACATGCATTAGATGCACGACAGTTCGCAGTGAACTCAAGGGCTGATATTCCATAAAGCAGCGACGATGTGCCGAGTGTACACAAAGCGTGAATTCTTCTTAATCGGATAGTAAAAGTCGTATTGGCTTTAAACGAGTTCTTTCAGCGTTCAAATTGAAAGAATATCATTTTAAGGCATTTTCTCATAAGTGCCTCTTCAGAGTCTAGGTTTTACACCGATCGATCAATGTTGTTGAAAATTTGACCAGATCCATTCCTCGTAGTGCCCAATCATCCCGTAAAGTCAGATTTTGAATTTCATATCTGAGCATGAAACCATCGTGTCAGCAAAATGGTTGAAAAATGATCAAAAAATGTATGAATGTGGGTACTCCATTCGGACCAAAAAAAAATTACACCGGTCAACAGATATTGCTCAAAAACTAATCAGCACGTCTCCTAGTAGTCCCAAAGCATCCTGCAAAGTCAGAATTTGAATTGAGTTTTTGGAAGAAGACTTATCGCGGTAACGAAAAAAAGGAGCCACAGGACACAGGACACATCACACACAGCGACGCACATTAATATGCCCCAAAATCATCTCCAATCGTGTTTTCTACATGAAATATGCATAGAAAACATGTTTTGGGGTGACTTTAATTTTTTGGCCTAATACAATACCTTTCCTACACTAAGTGTGCGGAAAAGTAAAACTGGTATGTTTCAATTTAAAGAGCATAAAATTATGCTTTAAATCGTAGCACTAATGTAAAGCACCGATTGATATTGACTACATCGAGAAAAAGTGTTAATATCGTCAAAGGTTTGTTAGTAGAGATCAAAGCTGTGAATACTCGGGGATTTGTTTAAGTATATTTGTTGTTGTTTTTTTTTTTAATATTTATACATTTTTTTTCTCCTGAACTCAAAATATTCAGCCAGTTTTGGCGGTGAATAAAGATTATTATTATATTATTATAAATTACATTATCAATCAAAGAAATGGATGAAAGACAAACTTTTAATAAACATGCATAATAAATCAAACAATAAAATTACATCTTCACTTAATCATATTGGGATGAAATAAAAAAAAATGATACGGAATTTTGTTTCTAGTTCAAGCTTGTTGTATTATATTGTTTCGAGTCTCGAGACAGTAAATAAATAAAGAATGTATGGCCACTAGTCCAGCAAAAATGAATTGAATCAAGGTGTTTTTTCCTATCAAACTCGATTTAATATTACATTGGCCATGTTCCAAACAAAACTTAGTAATGGAAAATATTTCAGATCAAATAGCTGTTTGACTTTGGAATTTTCCGAAAGTGTTTGTTTCTAGAAACATCCATTAGATTAAATAATATAAGAACATTCAAATTTCAAGCGATAGTATATCTGAAAAAATGTCAATTTCAATGTGTGTGTAGAATATTTCAAAGCTGATTTCGTCGGATACACCCCAATATTGATGTAAAAAAAACTTTTATCTAGATCTTTTTGTTATAACATGAAATTATATATTTTTCAAAAAATGCGGAACATTATTGCATGTTATCATCTATATTTTTGATTTGACTATTCCATTTATTGGCTGGTTACTTTGGCCGAACAGCTGCCCCATCCATAGTCATCACTACATGTGTTAACTGAACATTTGCCCTTCGGACCTTTTCCAAACTCAATCCAATATTTACTACCACCTCCATGAGCTGTCAAGAGCAAGAAGATTAACAAAATATAACATATAAATTAAATACATATTTGATACAAAATTACCGGCGTAACTTGATCCTAGTGTCTCACTACCCATAACGTACGTTCTTCCGTCGACCTTGACACATTTTATATGTTCCTATTGTGATGTGAAGTAGCGAAATCAGCATTTAAAAGGTATCAATAACGAGAAATTATCTTGTAAAATTGAATAAATGTTATTGTTATGCTTCTCATAAACTTACCTAACCAGCAGTGACCATACCCAAGCAGAGCAATAAAGTAATTGCCAAAAAAGGGAATAGCGCGATTAAAAATCATTTCGACAGTTTATTAATTCGGGTGAATTGATCAATGGTATATTTTGTGATATCGATCGTAGACTGAACATAATAAAAAAATTTGCTCCTTATAAAGGGTGAAATTTTGCCGTTGTTAAAAATTGTTTTTGAATAAAAATTCATTTAATGTTTAACTTACGTAAACATTTCACATTATTGATGCAATTTATTTTAATGTATGAATTTTTGTCATCAAAGCAAAAACATTTGAATAATTAATTCCTCAATTTTCAATAACACATCTCATTATTGACGCAATCAATTTCAATTTATTTATTTATTTTTATTTATTCACCGTCTGATCACAGACTGAATTTATCACAAAATTAGTACAATATCGTTCACAATGAAACACCACCCGATCGTATACCCAGCCACCAGCCTTCTCGACTTCGGAGCAGCAGATATCGATTGTGTTCACTGTTTTAATTTCTATATAACACATAAAAGTTCAAAATTAAATTTTTCACCGAACAAATATCACATTTTCCAATTTGACAATATTGTTCCTAAAGATGTGTCTTGATGCCGAATCTAAAAATATTTCTCTTATCAATTTAAAGTTTCTACAAGCAACGTAAAACGGCCGATTATGTGCGTAATCCGATGAAAATGCCCTAGCTCTAATCAGTTCTGTACTTCTCAAATTTCTTTGGTTCTCATTATATTGCAGTCTTGTATATACAATTTTATCTCTAAGTGAGCTAGACACTATTTTACTTAAAAGCAGATCATAAATTAAAAATATAGAGGCATTTATACGCCGTCTCCAAAGCGGTTGAATATTCAAAACATCACATCTAAACTGATACGGTGGCAGTACATAATTCTCATCTCACTGATAACGACCAAATAACAAAATCTTTTTGAATTGATTCTATTTTATCAGAGTGGATACGATGGTATGGAAGCCATACAATTTTCGCGTATTCCAATTTAGACCTGACTAGTGCACAGTATAACATTTTTGCAGATTCATGTGCACTGGCTGTAATCGCATCGATGTGATCGGTGAATGTCAATTTTGTATCGAAAATAATGCCGAGATCCTTGTGCAGTTTGGTCCGTTCAAATGTATGATGGCCGTTGTCGATTGTATAGTCGTAGTTGACTACGTATGGGTTTCAAGCAAGTTTTTTTAGTTTCAATATTTTATGGCAGGAATTTATTTATATGACCACAAATCATGACCACATGGTTTTTCAATGTTTTACGGCATGATTTTATTCATATGACCACTAAGATAATCATAATATGATATATATTCACAAATTGGGTTTATGACATTATTTGAAACAAACATGTTTACCTGATTAATAAACAAAATATTATAGATTAATGCGTCAGTTTTTATGAAAATTGAGCTCTAGAGGAATAATTTATTCAAAACATTTGTTTTTGCTATGATGGCAAGTTATACTTCAAGGTTATGTCGTTAGTTGAAATAAATATTTTAACCAAAAAATTTGCTCCTTATAAAGGAGCCGTTGTTAAAAATTGTTTTATAATAAAAAAAAAAATCCTCTAAAACTCATAAACATTCCACATCGACATATTGTAAAATATATTCAAAATTTGGGTTTATGACATTATTTGAAACAAACATGTTTACCTGAATAAAAAAACAAAATATTATAAATTGAAATTAATTGCGTCAATAATGAGATGTGTTATTGAAAATTGAGGAATTAATTATTCAAATGTTTTTGCTTTGATGACAAAAATTCATACATCAAAATAAATTGCATCAATAATGTGAAATGTTTACGTAAGTTAAACATTAAATGAATTTTTATTCAAAAACAATTTTTAACAACGGCAAAATTTCACCCTTTATAAGGAGCAAATTTTTTTATTATGTTCAGTCTACGATCGATATCACAAAATATACCATTGATCAATTCACCCGAATTAATAAACTGTCGAAATGATTTTTAATCGCGCTATTCCCTTTTTGGCAATTACTTTATTGCTCTGCTTGGGTATGGTCACTGCTGGTTGGGTAAGTTTATGAGAAGCATAACAATAACATTTATTCAATTTTACAAGATAATTTCTCGTTATTGATACCTTTTAAATGCTGATTTCGCTACTTCACATCACAATAGGAACATATAAAATGTGTCAAGGTCGACGGAAGAACGTACGTTATGGGTAGTGAGACACTAGGATCAAGTTACGCCGGTAATTTTGTATCAAATATGTATTTAATTTATATGTTATATTTTGTTAATCTTCTTGCTCTTGACAGCTCATGGAGGTGGTAGTAAATATTGGATTGAGTTTGGAAAAGGTCCGAAGGGCAAATGTTCAGTTAACACATGTAGTGATGACTATGGATGGCGCGGCTGTTCGGCCAAACTAACCAAACGAAAAACGTTATAGTCAAATCAAAAATATAGATGATAACATGCAATAATGTTCCGCATTTTTAAAAAATAAATAATTTCATGTTATAACAAAAAGATCTAGATAAAAAGTTTTTTTTACATACATATTGGGGTGTATCCGACGAAATCAGCTTTGAAATATTCTAAACACACATTGAAATTGACATTTTTTCAGATATACTATCGCTTGAAATTTAAATGTTCTTATATTATTTAATCTAATGGATGTTTCTAGAAACAAACACTTTCGGAGCTTGAACTAGAAACAAAATTCCGTATCATTTTTTTTTATTTCATCCCAATATGATTAAGTGAAGATGTAATTTTATTGTTTGATTTATTATGCATGTTTATTAAAAGTTTGTCTTTCATCCATTTCTTTGATTGATAATGTAATTTAGGAGAAAAAAAATGTATAAAAATTACAAAAAAAGAAATAAAATAAAAACAACAACAAATATACTTAAACAAATCCCCGAGTATTTACATCTTTGATCTCTACTAACAAACCTTTGGCGATATTAACACTTTTACTCGATGTAGTTTGGAAATCGCTTTCAGTTTAAGTGAACTAAAGATAAGCTATTGATTTTGATTTTTTAGATTTTCCCTAGAAAATACATTGGATTTCGTTTTCGGTTTTCTCGAAGAAAAAATATTTTGGACGTTTTACGTTACATAAGCCGAGCATATAATATTTTTATTTTCGTTCAAGTTATAAACATAAATGTTGAATTTTTAATTATCAAGAGAACTGGAACATTCAATGCGATTTTTTTATTTCAAATTTTGCGGTGCAAGGTCATCCTTCATTTCGGTCACTTATCTGCATAATGGTGCTAGTCGTCAAGCGTTAATATACTAGAAATAATGGTGAACACAAAATTTCTGATTAAGATGTACATTACAAATCCATGAATTTTGATCATTTAATTTTTTTTGTCAAGCGATAACAGCGAATCAGTTCAGACAGCTAACGTAAGGTGCTGAAAGGGAGTGACAGCAATACAAGTAATTGTTATATCTATAAAAATACTCGCATTGTTACAATCAATATAAAATTTCTATTTTTTTCACTTCATTTTAGCGTCTGCTGCCAGCTGCCTGAAAATATCTCAATAAAATGCCTGAATTAAACTCTTATTGGCGACAATAAACTTTTTTTTTTATTGATTAGACTGCAGTTACTATACAAAATGTAATATACGTCATGCATATGTGATTTTTTACTTATTTTCAAGTTTTTTTTTGTTATTTTGTTGTGATAACATATTTTGTACAAAAATAAAACATTGATATACTGTTGACACAAATCTCAGAGAGTATCAAAATCGATGAAAATTTGTCGGATTTAAAAAGCATTTATTCTCGTTTCGTTGAGGTGAGTTACTCGCACGTTTTCTTGAAACAAATCAATAAAGTTACTAACACAATAAATTATAATTTATTGTCTTCTTGTTTCAGTGAATAAAAATGGCATTGATTTCGTGTGTGTTTATGTTATTGGTATTGTGCGCAATATTGGTGTTGTGCGCAATCGAACCCACAAATCGAATAGCAATTCATCGTGATGATTTAGAGGCATACATTCAACGACAAAACAATTACGGTTTTATTCAAGAATTTAAAATGCTTCCACATAAATTCAATGATCGTACAACAAATCACTCCGATGCCAAAGAAAATTCAAACAAAAATCGGTACAGCGATATTAAAGCATACGATCAAACTCGAGTGAAATTATCACAATGCACAACGAATGGAATGAACTCTGTTTCAGATTATATAAATGCAAATTTTGTGACTGGATATAAGGCACGTAAACAGTTCATTTGTTCGCAAGGACCGTTGGAGAGTACGGTAAACGATTTCTGGCGCATGGTTTGGGAACAAAATATCGAAATTATTATCATGTTAACGAATCTAGTAGAAAATAATTGGATAAAATGCACCAAATACTGGCCAGACCTTATTACTGATACCCAGAAATTTGGCGAAATCTCCGTAACACTTACGCATGAACAACGTTACGCTGATTATGTTGTTCGTGAATTGAAACTCACGCGAAATGGAAGCTCGTGTCTCATGGGCGGTGGAAAAGACGAGAAACACATCACTCAATATCACTTTTTAGCTTGGAATGATTATATGGCACCGACAATGAGTTTGATTCGATTTATTCGCAAAATTAACGATTTTTATTCAGTGCAACGCGGCCCGATTCTAGTTCACTGTTCAGGTATTCAATTTTTCATTTAAAAAAAACTAACATTTCATTAAAATATCTTATTTTAGCTGGCGTCGGTCGCACAGGAACATTAGTTGCATTGGATTCTTTGATGCAACAATTACAAGATGAAAATCAAGTATCTGTGTTTAAAACGGTTGCTGAGATGCGTCATCAGCGCAGCTCTTTGGTACAGTCACTGGTAAGCGATGTCATATCATTCTGAATTCTTTTGTATATTTGATTTACGTTTTATTTTAAGGAACAATACAAATTCCTGTACCAAGCCTTGCTTGAAGTCGTGAAGAATGGAAGCAATGGTTCAAAGTGATCAGTGCCAATTAAAAACGGAATTATTAATTCGAATTTTTGGAAAACGAACGAAATTGAACGAGAAAATCATATGAACTTGTGTAAAGTTATGTTTTGCTTTTGAATAAATGTAATGCAACATGTTAAAGAGTGAGCTGGTCTTTTAAATGTGATTTCGATTATTAGTTATCAAAATGAGTTTAAATTGCATCATTCCGTAGATCGACTATGACGAATTACGTAATAGACGTCACACACAACGATAATAAACCGAAACTTTTGTGATTAGTTTTTGTGTGACTTTTGATGAATTTTTATATGTATCTATCGTTCTTGCGACCATAATTAATCTTTATGAATCCTCAAATTGTTTGACATTGTTCTTACCAACATTCAAAAATTCCAGGCGTCTGCAACAAAATTTGCAGCAATGTAGATCTAGCGATCGTTTCGGGAACGCAATGTTGCACCCTATACATCTGTACACAAATAATTGAAGATTTTCTTTATTCGATGCATTTTCCATTTTCACTGCAAATGTATTTTGTAATTTAATATATTTTTATGTTGAATGATCAACCACGGTGTTGTAATGAAATTGCAAATATTGATTGATATACAGACTTTAACCAATTTCTGTTTTATATGGCGGTTGAATAAATGCTGTTGATCCTTATATAAGTGTGAATCAATTCAGTTTTATCAATTTGTTTATCCATTTAAAGTATTCCCTATTAAACAGTTTATCTTAACGTTTATTATGATACTGTATTGCAACGTTACCAAAACATCATTCACCACTGAGAACAGGGCTGTTATTTTTACTCTGTCAGTGCACGCACAAAGTAGTGTGCACACTCACACTCAATGTGCGTCGCACACAGTGCTTGTATTTTGAATGTGCACGCACACTTAGTTACAAATTTGCCAACCGCCAAAAATGTCAAACTTGTGACTAAGTGTGCGCGCACATGCAAAATACAAGCATTGTGTGCGACGCACATAGAATGTGAGTGTGCACACTACTGTGTGCGTGCACTGACAGAGTGAAAATTACAGCCCTGACTGAGAATAGAGTCATATTTGAAAACAAATCAGAAAATCTCGATAACATCATTTTATTTATTTGCGCTATCATATAGGGGATCTTTTAGCATATGTAATACAAAATAAAATATTGAATAATATGGTCACAAACAAAACTAATAATGGAAAACTGATTGCAAGGGCGTTTGAATAAATCATAACCTAAATTGATTGGGTGATAGGTTAGATATTCATATCAAGTAGAAATGAATTTTATTCTTTCGTTCAATTCCCGAAGTGATCAAATATAAAATTGGGGCAAGCCATTTTTTGGATCGTCAAATATTTGTCCATGGTTGATGCTATCCATTTATATGCTGGAAATGGAAACATAGTATGATTAAAATAGAAAATTTCCGATCATGTTTTCATACACTATGACATTTTCTTACCATAATATGGAAGAATATAAGACGTCTTGAACAAATGTTGCAGTAATGCAGATCTAGCGATCGCACCACGAATGAAATGGAACAGTTTGTACATCTGTATATGTACAATTCACTACCTAATTGTCCGCTAAAGTTTTGCATTGTGTTTTCACTGAAATCAATATGTGATTTATACTGATATATTTATTTTAATTGATGCTGTGTCGTTTTAGCGATCGCAAATGAATGTGAGGATATTAACATATATTTAAGAACGATTATTCTGTATTTTGATGATCTTTAGAAAAGTTATTACTTCAGCTCATACTGAATCAACAATTGAAATCAATCTACTTATCTTTACTTTATATTTTCATACAAACAAAGTGCTCAATAATTAAACAATTATAGTATGTTGCACAAAGTACATTGTTTGCAAATTAAAAAAATTAAATTAAATCGACCAAGCACTTTTAAAGATAATTTTTCTTATTTTGATGCGCTTTCCATTTGCAAAACTAGGGCTTGATGTACTGAAAATGAAAGTGTGATTACAAATTGAAATTAAACTGATGGACATTTTCTTACCGTTACATTCAAAAATGCGAGGCGTCTCGAACAACCCTTGCAGAAACACATTCCCAACGATCGATTTGTGATCGTAGTGTGACAGCTTGGACAAATGTATACGTATAATTGAATACATTGATGTTTTGATAGATTTTCCATCATGTTTTTTCGGTGAGAAAAAATTTAAAATCAAGGAAATTTAGTCAAAAATAAGATCCAAAAAAGTATTACCAATTTTATGTTGAATAATACAGTACTAGTGCTCAATTGAGAGTGCTAATATAAAATTCATATCATAAATATAAGTCATTAATTTGTTTATCAAATTTAAGGCACGCATGAATTAAACTGCAATATCAAGTGTACAAAAAAGTGTGGAACGATCGAAGAAAGTCAATATTCAAAACAAATCAGCCGGAAATAAAGATTTATTGGATTCAAATATTGATTATATATCAATCTTTTTTGTTTTCATTTTCATTGCATTTTTGATTGCAACTGCCAATTATGTTTAAATGAAAAAAAAAAGTGTTTGTATACATTTGCAAGAATTAAAACTGAAATATCGGTTGAAAGAAAACAAATACAGAATGTATGATTCACGAATGAATTAATCACATTCAAACTGTTTGATATATATCGCTGATCTTCAAAAATCACCTGAACGATTGATCAAAACTTTCCAATCAAAAGTCGATGCACCAACGCATTGGAACCAGGTATGAATTTATTTAATACAAACACAGCTTAAAAATACAGTTTACACTGCTATTATTGTTGTCTTCCAATCGCTATGCTTATATTACTCTTGTAAATATTGAATTCAGTATCTTCAAGTATGATTCGATAAATGCCATGAGTTTGGCCCATGTTGTGAATGATTTTAGAGAAAATTTTGGGGCTGAAACTTGGACATAATGTCAGTGGGGCAAGTACCTTTCTAACGCATATAATAATCAGTAGGTGGCGCCACTGGTATCTATTATTTTTTTTAAATTTTCGGTTACTTTTGGATTGGAGGGTTTGTTAGAAACATAGTCACCAACATTAATATGATGCGAGAAGAGATTAATATACATTGAGCGTAGCATAGCAAATATCCGAAAGATCTTATCCAAGAAAAACCCAGAAAATTCGGAGTTGAAAAAATACCCAAAATTCACGGGATACTCTGTACTTTTTATTGTAATTTGAACAAAGACATATATTGTTATAATATTGTTAATGTATTTTGGAAACTTATTTAAACATCCTTGATGATCATTGCTGCTTCAAACGATATGTTCAATTAAAAGGTAGGATGAAAGAAATTGAACGCCCGTTGTTTCTTGGATTATCCCGTTGAATTGCCTACCAAATGTTAGAAATTGTAAAGTATATTGAGACGAAAATAAACTTAAATAATCTTTGATTTACCTTAATATTTGTAAATCGCATGCGACTTCCACAATCGCAAAAATGCGTGATGGATAGATTCACTTTAATCTCACTTTTCACGCATTGTGGACACATGTACAAATATAATGCGGTTCCATCGGGTATCGGTTGATTGAGCCCATAAGTTTGACCCATGTTTCATTCACTTTTGATTTCAAATTAATATTTTACTGGCGTTTGATGCAGTGTCCAAACTCAAATGAAAGTGCTATATTTAAATGTGCAACTCGCAGAACAGTTGATATTATCAATTTGTTTATCCGAACCTATAAGCAGCTCAAGAGTTTTATAAACATTGACAAATAACCATTGGATGCTTTCGGATGTCCTCATTTAAATTTCTTCTTAATGAAATAAGTTTTGAAGAATTAACATGCATTGACAAGAGTAGTTTATTGCCATTTGACAAATGTACAAAACATTTTTATTGAATTTCAAATCGAGACTTTATTCACTGTTGGCATTGTTAATGATTTTTTGCTTCTTTTGAATGTTTTGGATGTTGTGGTTAAGTCCGATTTCGATGATTCACGGCCATAGCTCAATCTTTCAATTATATTCCCTAGAAAAATAAAAAAAAAGTAAAATAAATAAAGAATTTCTAAAAGTAATTTGAATTAAAAAGTAATACATTGACAGAAGTGTATTCCATTATGCGGGCACACGTAGGACAAGGATAGTAACTGTATAAAAACAGCTTAATCTGGTCGATGGAGCAGCGTTTGCATCGGTACAAGTAAAATATATTTGGCTCCTGAGATTCCATGCTGTGGTCCAAAAAATGACTTTTAATTTCAAATTGTTAACTTAATTGAATCAAGAAGTGTTTTCATAGCAGTTATTCGAACTCAAATGAAAACCTAAAATGCAACCATTGAATGTCATTGTGGTGCAATTGCTTTCAATTGATATTGAATTATCAACTTGTTTATCCTATTGATAAAATATGTGCTGATTATTAAATTGAAATAAGATTCAAGATATCAATATATTATGAATCTAAAAGATTTTATTCAAGAAGAAATGAGAAAATCTAAAGGAAAAACAACATTAATGTTTGATATTTTTGAAAATATTGATATGACATAAATTATGCAAAGTACACGGCTTATCTCGATTATTTCAGGAACAATATCTAGGTCAGCAACTGTTGAGTTGATTAATTGTTCATTGTGTTATCGATTACCAAGACATGAGAATTTATGCGTCGAAATCAATCGATTTCTTGATAGCAAATGATCTTGATAAATTTAACTGCAACTAAAAGTATTGAAAATATTACCTATAATACCAAAATAAACATTGGATACTTTTCGATAGTTTTTTTTCCATGCAAGTAAAACAAATGGAGAAATGTTGGTAGAAAATTTTCTATTTTTATTCAATTCCAGACCGTTTCAAATACAAGATCTTAACATTGAAATCAAATTGTATGTTATTTTCAGCTTTCATTTTGGTTCGTCATCGTCTTTGGAACTAGGCCACAATATACTAAAAATGGGGACATAGAACATCACAAAAAAATCAAAATTAATTAAATTTCAATTTCTTACCGTAATATTTTGAAGTTCGAGTTTCTGGTAACACATTCTGCAGAAGTACACATCTAGCAATGACAAAATGACTTGTACTTGGCATCTTTCGCACCTGTATACATAACGTTGGCTACCTCGAAACATTGTTGACATGATGTGAATCAAATTTTTAATTTTTATACCAATGTTGATGGACGTGTTGTTCGTATTGAAATGAAAGCATACGAAATCTTTTCAAACATTTTGCTCAATATGAAATTTGAATAGTAAATAAATTCTGATGAATTTCAATTTTTAAATTTCATGCCTCATATACATTTCCGTAAAGATCTTACACATGCAATTTTTAAAATAAAATTCTTTTGACAAAATTTGTGCCAATTATTGAATTCAATAACCTTAGTCATCAACTATTAATTTATCAATTAACAGCTAATTATCTTCTTAAACAGATAGTTATTGATGTGAAATGTGTAATAAGCAAAAATACTTTTCTGTTTTGACATGACTCATTCTGAAAAGTTGTAACCACAAGCAATTCCACTAAATAAATAGCAAAAAAAAACGATAACGCCAATGTATATGTAGGTGCATGCCGATTTTTGTTTATTGAATTTTTGAGATACATTTCAATTTGATTCAATTCTTTTTCTCCATAATGTTCGATGTTATACGGTCTCCATTTCGAGTTATCGGAATGACAACCATTGGCCATGAAGATGAGTTATTATTGCCCTTCAAATTTCAATTCAAAATTATTAGATAAAAAATTAATGGAAATTCTAGTTAAAAAAAAATGGTTGAATTACTTACCGTGATATTTGTGTGTCGTAATGTCAAGCCACAACTATCACATGTATACAATTCAGATGGATGTTGCGCAAACTTGTTTCTACTGCAATTCGGGCACTGATACATATGCCAACGGGCATCATTTGGCATAGATGAAGAGTTTCCCATGACAGTAAAGAAGACAGACAAATACTGGTGATTTTTAGGAAATATTTTAATTATTTCTGGCGTAGCGTTTAAACTAACTAAAACTGATACTTATTCGCTGACAAGCAATCTAGAAATAAACTCAATCCAGGCTTGATTTTGTCAATTCAGTAAATGACACAGACACCAACGAATCCAGTGTCAAAAACATAGATTACTGGGAAGACTCTAGAAAATATTGTATACAAGAGAAATTGTGATTGTATATAAGATACGGTGTCTTTCTTTTATTTATTCCCAACATTGTAAGTGTTTAATAAACACTGAACATTTTATCCTACTTGCAAAAGTAGCTCCATGTAAAATGTCAAAGTAAACAATGAAAAAATGTGCGGAATATATTGGCATAATTGAGGGATTAATTGATAAAGTAAGAATATAATACTATAAATAAATATTTTTTTGAATAAACAGAAACGTCGAGAAAGAAATACATGCAAGAAAGAAAAAAATGAAAAGAAACTGGAAAGTATTTTTTTATTTTTTTGTGTTTATTCGATTTAATTGACTGATCAAAAATAAATGTGAGACATCTTTGGAAATTTCATTAAAGTATATCGCCGCCATGGAAAAAATCCAGTGAATACATTGTGCTAAGATATTAGTTGTCCTATGCAGTAGCTCCTACTTTGACAATAAGTATGATTCAAACATTTAAAAAATATTTTTAAATGAGAATAATATTTCATGTTCAAATTACCTGCGAAATAATCAATTGGATTGGTGACGTTAAGTTGATTAATTTGGCATCATAATTATAATTATTGAGTTGAATATACTAGTGAGAGTAGTTGCCATGTTATTTTTAAATCATTCTTCTTCAAAAGAATGCTTTGTCAACACTTGAAAAATATGTTTTTTATTGAGTTTTTGGAAGATTTTCAAATTCTTTCATTATCAGCTACTGCCAATTTAATTTTTACACGCAAATAAATCTCTCTATCAATGGAAGAGGGTAAAGGTTAGAAGTAAAATGTTGAATCTAAATCGATGTTCACGTCGCAGATAATGAATTATTTTATTATAACTGTTTAGCTTGCGTGGCCATTTAGTCTGATTTACATTAAGACCCGTCATTCTTAGCACATGGGATTTTGTTTATTCGTATTTACTTCATTTGTTATCAAATGACTAACATTTTAAGTTGTAATTCGAACAGATTCAAAGTATAACTCACTATTTGTAACTATTGAATTGGAAAATTAAATATATTTTTTGTTTGGTAAACGATCGCATCTTTTGTAATACATTTTTCTTAAATTACCTTTTACTAGGAATTCGATTCGAGATATTTAACTATCGCTTTGTGTCAGAAAACAGTAAAAAAAATTTATTTATTAAAGGTACAAGTAGTATGACTGTAATTAAAAAGGATGTGATCTTCAGAACAAAATGTATCATTGTGTTGACATTGATATTTGAAATACTTATCGTGAGCTCACATGAATCACCTTCATCGTCCAAATCATTGAAAATAGCCGTCATTGGAGCTGGACCAGCAGGTCTAACTAGTGCAAAAAACGCTCTCGAACAAGGCCATAATGTAGTGATCTATGAAAAAGGAGAGGCCATTGGTGGAATATGGTTTTACACAGATAAAACTGGAAAAGATGAGTACGGTGTTGATATTCACACTGCAATGTACCAAGGAGTCAGGTATGTACGCCTGTACAAAATTTCTTGCAGAACATATTGATTATTTGTCGTCATCGAATAGAACAATCGTGCCTTATCAATTAATGGAATTTCCTGGACACACATTTCCAAATAGTACCCCCTCGTATCCATCACATGAAGATGTTTGGAAGTACTTGAACTCTTATGCTGACCGATTCAGTTTGAGAAAACATATAAAACTTCATCATTTGGTGGAGAAAGTGCATTCGATTGAAAACAATAAATGGAACATAACTGTTAAAGTTTTGCCTAATAATGATACTGAGTCTGTGATTTATGATGCGGTTTTTGTTTGCATTAATATTTATTCTTCGCCAAATTATCCACAAATTGAGAGAGCCCACGAATTCAAAGGAAATTTTTTGCACAGCCATGATTATCGCAGAGCTGAAGTCTTTAGAGGTTGATATAAATGCATTTTTATCGTACAAACAGTTTGAATATACTTGGTTTTTTACTATCGATCGAAAAGGTGCAGATGTTCTAGTCATTGGAAATGGAGCCAGTGGAAACGATATTGTACTTCAACTATCAAAGACTGCCAATCGAGTAACGTGGAGCAGACATAAGCTCAACAAACCAACAGAAGATGAACGAAAAGAATATGGGAAAAATGTCACATTTCAAAATAATGTTAAATTCTTAACAACAAATGGAGCTGAGTTTTTGGATGGCATGCAGCAAAATTTTACAGTTATTATATATGCTACAGGTCAATGATGGTACTTAAACACACTGCGCAGTTTTTTTCATGATTTTCTTTTTAATTTACAGGTTATAACGCTTCGTTCTCAATTTTGGATGCCGACACTGGTATTCACGTTCATAACAATTATGTCCAACCACTTTATAAGCAAATTCTGAACATAGAACATCCAACAATGGCTTTCATCGGTCTATTTGTGACATTTAACCTGATGGATTTACAGGTGCATGACATAGCAAATAAGTTTAGTGACTGCTACTGAAAAAATCTGTATCTATAGGCACGTTTTGCGCTGAAATTTATTTTGGGGGCCAAGAAACTTCCATCAAAATCAGAAATGTTGAAAGATATGCAAGATTATGCCGAATCTCAACTAAAAAAGGGTCTTAAAGTCTATCTAGTGTCCGCAGGCGATCGCAAGGAGTACTATGGGAATTTGGCTCGAATTGCAGATATTGCAAAAATTTCGGATGTTTACACAGAAATTTTCATCGATTCACAGGAAAGTTGGCAAAAAGATCCATTTGGCTATCGGAACGATAAATACACTATAATTGATGATGAAACATTTATAAAAGAAAGAGGAGCAAATGGAAGTCTAATGTCATTTGTAAAAGATAAAATCAAATCCATGTTACAATCATTAAATAACGTTGAATGCATGCGAAAAGAAAGAATGCAAAGAAACTGTATTATTTTTGCTTTTTTGTATTTTATTAGATTCAATTACACACAGTTAAGAGTCACAAATTTACATTCATTCTTTGATTTAAATGGAACAAAAAAGAAATTCGAAATTATCAAAAAAAAAAAACCAATTCGTAACACAGCTTATATCATAATAACAAATTAGAATAGATTGAGCGCATTATATTTCATGAATGACGCGACACTTATATGTTGAAAAAAATTGAACAAAATGCAGTCAAATTACATCTCAAATCCATGTTTGTACACCAAATGTTTTCGTTCAATTTGTATCACAAATTATACCAAACCTAATGATTTTTTTCGGATCTAATGTGTACGAATTGCTTGTGTTTAGCATTTTGAAAACCAAAATACTTGAACACATAAGAATTTTAGAAAAAACTGTCTTTTCATCGTTTTGAAAACCAACAAAAAATCTTCTTTTTTTGCTTTTGCGTCATTTTTCAAATGCCTCTTAAGTTAATGTATTTTCAATTTTGAAATTGTATGATTTATTTGTGCCATTTTCATGTTTTAATTTAAATCAATTGATTTGTATTAAAATCCATGTGTGTGTGTGTCACTGTATGCGTTTTGTAAATATTCGTTAAATGTTAAAAAGGGCGTTTTCAATGTGAATAAAGAAGGAGTAGACAATTCATGGATTTAGATTTCTTGAGATTTGCGTATTTTTTTGTATTTTTCTTGTTTTAAACTAAATTATATCGAACAAAATGAAAAGGACCAGCCTTTCATCCTCATAACCAGATGAGTTGATTAAATATGATTAGTTTTCTTCATTTTTTTTACATGTAATAAATAAATAAATAGATTTTCCTCTTTCTCTCTTTTTCTTATGTCATTGTTTGTTCATATTTGCACTTTTACCATGGAGCTGTTCATTTGAATAGTTTTTTTTTTTTTGAGATTACACAAAATGGTGACTTTTTGAATTTCCAAAGAATTGGCCTGACATATTCCAAATTCAATTGTAAATAGATGTTTCATTTTGTACAATAAATCTTTATTTTTTTTCATGGTTTGTTTAAATTTATGTATATGAATCGAAAAATTGTGCAAATAGATTTCATTATTGTAACTGTGTTCCGTTTTATTATATATTTTTTTTCGTAATTTATTTAATTTTCTTAAATAGAGATTTTGTTTTGTTGATGTATCATATTACGGCAATTAGTCGCTTCGATTGAATTGACTGGGGATAAAAGCGCAGAATATTTTGTCACGAAAAAATCGGCTAAAACATACATTATTTGAATATTGAAGTTGCAATAAAACATATTTGTTGTGAATGAAATTCGTCTGTTTTGATCTCGTATGTTCATGACTTTGATTGGTTTTTGTTTATATCATATACGATGCCTTTAGTTTGTTTGCCATTTTTAATGATGGCATGTCCTGTATTCTTGGAGGCCAGCCCAAGACTCAATTTAAGAAGATTTCTTTTTAACATGAAACTTTCATTTTTTTTTCTCTGAATGAAAAATCAACTTAACTGAACAATATTAACAAATACTTTATGTAATACGCAAATACGCTATAGTTTTGTGTGTATGTGTATGCGTGCCCAAAGGCACTTTGAGCTCTTTGTATATATATATGAGTGGCTGCCAATTTTTGCAAGAGCCATCTTTAAATTTATGCAGGATTGCGCCAGAAAAGTAAAGCGGCAACAAATTTAAGATTTAAAAAAATAATATTTAAAATACACTTTTTTGTAATTTATGGCATTGTTATGGTCTTTTTTCATCAGTAACTGTGATTTTTTGTATTTTTCTCTCTCACACACACATTACCTGCTACATTTTTGCTGAACATATATTGATCTCACACTCTAATTTACCAATATTGCTTTTCAATACAATAATAATGAAAGAATGCAACAATGGTGAGCACACATTGCCAATGTTTCTTCTTGAAACGGTTTTCATATCTATAACTGTCTCATGCTCATCAGTGTGTCTGTGCATCAAAGAATTATAGAGAAAATGATGAAAAAAATAAATAAATCAAATTTATATAATATCGAAGATTAGAGTTGTTTAAAGTATTTTTTTGTGATCATTTCATAATTCGATTTCAATCAATCGACAATTGTTTTTGGTATTTATCAACATAACAACATAAATAATATCGTCTAACGAATTGTTGACTAATATGTATTTTTTTTATATATTTAGATTTGCGATTTCATATATCATTATTGTGTCGGGCAATAGTTTTTTTATTTTTCATAATAATTATCTAATGTCCTGTTTTCTTTTTTCTCTGAGGACTATACAAATTTAATCCGAGCATTGGCATGTGTACTTCTTTATCTGATGCTTTCTGTATTTAAGTTTTGAATATGATTTTGGAGCGTCCTCTGATGTCAATCGCGACTTTGTTTTTGTTTCTTTTTAGTTTCTGGAACTAACTTTTTGTGATTCACTTGAATGTTTCTCAAGAGATATTTAACGAAAATCAATGCAACGTTCAACCTGAAGTGTTTTCTAGATTTGTTTTTAACATTGACTACGTAATCACATAATTCTTTCATTAAATTCAAACGGATGCGAACTACACCTAAATCGTTCCAATAATAACGTTACGAAATGTAATATAATGTTAAAATCATCGATTTTGAAATTCTCATTCTAAAATTATCATCGTCCAAATGGACTTGTCTATCCATGTCTATCTCTTTTTCCTTATAATCAGTAGATGGTAAATTGGTAGTCTCATTCAATTTTGGTGCAATATTTTTTTAAACGATTTTTCAATTAATTTACATGAGTTTTTCACAGTTGAAATGTTTTGCCATTAAATTCAGCATCTCCATATATTTCATCTCCATCATTGTTGTCGTCAGCACCGATATTATTTGAAATTTGATTAATTTTGCAATTCTTAAGTTCCAATGTGACTAGATTTGGTTCATTTTCTAATGCTAATACGATATACTTGCCCAATGGCAAGATTTCACATGTGGTTATTTTCTTCGGCGGCGTATGAACGGCGATTGATTTACCTGTATGAAAAATTTTAAATTTTGTATTAATTTATCCATTGGTTCAGAATAAAAAAAACTCTATTGAAATATTATGATGATTGATGAGTGGAGACTGGGGAATCTCTTACCTGTACTTAATTCCCACAACCGAACGGATCGATCACGGCCACTTTTATCCGCTGATAATAAGATGGATCCAGTTGGATCCAATTTTAAGAGCGTCACTGGTGCTGTATGACCAACAAGAACATATTTACAGTTACCAGTGACTAAATCCCAAATTAATATGCGCGCATCTTCTAAACCGGCAATGACACACGCATTCGTTTGAGAAATTGATAATGAGACGGTATTGCATGACGGTTTCCATTTTTTAAACAAAGTTCCACTTTGTAAATCATAAACAACAATAAAATTCGGTGCCGCTTCATTTAATTCCTTTGTAACAACGGACACATACGCTCCCTCATGTGTTATTGCACTAAGCGATGTTATAAAATCGTGATGAGGTATACGTAAATCATACAATAATTTACGCTGAGATAAATGCCACACCAATAATGGGAACGGTTTTTGGGTTTCATCGCCACAAACGAGAATTCTGCAAAGAGGTAATACAAGTTATTTACATTAATAAAAATAGGTCAAGGGGACAATATACCAAAGAGTACTGCAGTAATGCGAAGAAAGATTATTTCAAAATAATTAAATACAAACCTTCCATCGCCCGAAACAAGTAAAGAGTTCAAGAATCGATCTTCTCCTGCTTTGAATGTTGTGATACAATCGCCCGATTCTAAATTCATCAAATTCACGTACATCCGATTGCGCGATAAACAAACCAGGTGTTGAGCATCGTTGCAGTACGCAAAGTACGGCATTTTTTGATTCATGACGCCTTTAAGTGTGACCTGAAATATACCAATCGAATAATTAGTACCTTTGTTTGGATCATAAATGGTATGTATAATCTGTTAATTACCCGAAGTTCGCCTTTGTTCAAGTCAATAACTTTGATTTCGCGACGACACAAAACAGCCGCGCCATGATTAGCAACCGGACACAATGCAGTGGGTTGAGGAATTCCTTTCAAAATTCGCACTTGTTTCGATCTAATTAAAGAAAATAAATTCAAATGTTAAGACAAATATAAAAAAAATCAATGTGGCGTATTCTCCTCCATTAAATTTCCATTTTTTCTATACCTTGGCACATCCCACACGCGAATCTCTTCGCTTTGCGTATTCAATGATGCCACAAAGTAGCCATTTCCACCTAAATTGCAGATCAAATCGTATCCAACGTTGGTGTCCTCATCGCCAGTTCCATCGATCGGATTATTTAGAATGTCCAAAAATGAAATGGATATCGCGTCAAAATCTTGAATCCATTTCTTGCAAATGGCATCCGCCTCGATGGTGTTGTCACTTATTGCACAAGTCGTAAGATAATGTTTGAATAATGGATAAAATTGGTCAGCGTCATAGTTAATCGGTTGAATGTATGTTTCTAGAAAATGTTGCATAATATCTAAATGCTTGAGTTTTGTACGTGAGGAAGGTTCGATCAAATAAATGTCATTTAGAATGCATTGAACACATTTGGTGGCTTTTAATTTCGTTTGAATCCAATTCAAATCGGTGAGATAGAGCGATTGTGGATAGGATGATGCATCAACAATAAATGCATGATAAGGCAATTCATTGAATTTCTGCTGATTAAACCATTGATATTTTCCTTTTGTATCGATATATTCATTGGGTTGTGATTTATAAAATTGATACAAAATGGTGTGGGCGCTTTGAATATCATTGGCATACCGTGTGCATGCAACTTTTTTTAATTTGTTATCCATGAATCGAACACGATTGATTTGAAGTAAAATTGGCCCACGGCTCATTATCCAACTTATATTTGTCCACAATCTTTCCACATTTGGATCATCAACAAGTTTTGATTGTTTTAACAATTCAATGATTTCCGTTTCGTGTAAACCGTCACGCGATGCAATCAACAATGACACCACATATTTGATTATTGCTTCACCAAATTTACATTCCAACATTTGGAACATTTTATTTGATGTGGCTGTCAACGATGTGTCGTTCAAATTAAATTCACCCAACCAAGCGAACCACCAAAATAACTAACGGAGAGGAGAGAAAATATGAAAATTATTGATACAAAATTGCATAAACATTTCAAAATTGGCACTTACTTTGGCTTGTAATGGTATTTTCTCCATGCATTGCTTCCACGCGTCTGGCAACTGTAGTTGTGGATTGACGGAGAAGAAATCGCCCCCACCATAGCTCGTACTTAACACTTCGTTCCATTTTTGGTCTGAGAATTGGTTCAAATGGACGAAGTTCAATTTCGAAATGCGATCCTTAAGATGCCATAAAATCGCATCGCTGCTTTCACATTTGTCAACGCTATCAACTTTTTTACTGCTCGTCGCCGTCGTTATTATCACTTTCACTTTGTCATTCAATTTGGTTGGCAACCAGTTCAAATCGTCCAATTCTAATGCTTCATCCAGTGAATCAATCAAAATAACAACTTGATATTTACTTGCATCGATGCACTCTATCAATGTTGTTGCATAAGCTTCCAATGTCTATTTAAATGGAATTAATAAAACAAAAACATTTTTTTTAGAAACTCATCCACCTTGCGCACAAAATATGTGATAAAGACGAAAATTGCAATTTATTGTGCAAAAATTCGAATATAAAATATGTCTTACATGTGGTCCATTGTATGGTTGAACGTTTGTGTAGTAGTAAATCTGTTCGGTGACTGAGCCAACAAGTGATTTAACGCTTGAAGATATTGCTGTCAAGCCGGCATAACGTAGAATGAAACAGCATTCCGGTGACCAAGTGTGAATATAATGCTCGACTTTTGCTGATAGCACACTTTTGCCACAACCAACTGGCCCGTATATGATAAGTGGTTCGGATGATGATGATGTTGTGATGTATCTGCATTCAAACAAAATCATTATAAATCCGTTGAATTGAATATGACACTAGGTATATACTTACTGCTTTATTTTATCCATAATTTCAAAATTGGCGCAATTTCGGCTGAGATATTGTGAATGCTGTTTAACTGCTTCGATTTCGGCCAAAAGATTTCGATCGACGCCATATGTACAATATGGAATTTGAAATTTGGCATAATGATCGCTGATTATATTATCAATATTGGCAACGATTAATGATTTCAATGAAGTGGCCAATTGGTCATTGGATATTTGTACAGTTGGCGGTATTCGAATTAAATTCTTATCATTTAATTGATTCTGAAAAAGAAAAAATGTTAAAACATTTGTCACACAAACGATTGAATGCGGCTATTGAAATGCACCTTTAATTCTAATTGAATATTATTAAGTCGACGATTCATTTCAACGGCAATCGATGATTCGCTGGATGTTTCGTCAAGATTTTTATTTGGCAATGCTCCTGTATGAATCCAAATGCATCGTTTCGATAGCTCTTGATTGATGAACACCATATTATTGATTTCTTGTTCAATAACTGTCGTCAAATATGAGTCTCGTAGCTCTTTGGAGAAAATGTCCGTGATTATTTTATAGAGATTTTGTAATTCAGTGGTTGTATCATTGTTGGCAGTGACATTTTGAGTTTTTAATCGATAACACATTGGTTCGGCTTTATCATCCAGTATGTACCATGTTTCGAGCAATTTCCGTTCATCCGATCCTTCAGCTGTTGTGCTGATTGCACCGGCAAAATCTTGACTTTCAATTGTCAATGGCAATAGCGGGCTGCCCAATGATGTGCCCAAAAATAGAACGGGAATAATATACGCTGTGTTTGAGTATCCTTTGAAAAAAAAAAAAACATAATTCCATTATAATCGAATAATCGGTGCCTACCTAATAGCTCCATGAATAATAGATCAAACTTACTTGTTATTTCTGACAGACATTCGGCAGCCAAATGATGGCCACCTCTGGCTTCAAGTGGTTCATTCACCCAACATGTTGGATCCAAAAAGTTCTCTGACTCTTCGTGCAAATCACATAATTGCAATTCAAAGCCACGCGATGCACAATATCGTTGAAGTTCAGCATACAGACTTTTCAATACGTTTTTCTCGCCTTTATGCTCAGTTGCTGCCAACGCGTACAAAACAATTTTGCAATCATTTTCCGTTCGACGGCTACTTAACGACGTTTTACCATAAATTGATATCAAATTGCTTGGTAAATTTTGAGTTTTCGACTCAGCGGGCAGCTCACATGGTGCATCGGTTGTCAATGGGCTGCCTGATGTTGAATCTAAAACGAAATATGTGTCTACATGAACGACGAATGCATGAGAAATTGCAAAATCAATTCAATTACCATATGTTGACAGTGTGTTTTGAAATGCTTTCGCTGTTGGTTTTGTTACGTCACTGGTGATATTAATTCCATTGTTTGTATTTTGTGCGTTTGGTGGTGCATTGAAGTTTGATATATCCGATGTCGGCTCTGGATCGACTAACGGCGCTTCTTTTAAATAAGTTTTTTCCTTATTTTTCTTATTTTTACTCCCTTGTTTTTGATAAGTTGGTGAACTACAGTTTGAAATTGAGGAAAAAAATTAATATTGTAATACAAGTGAGATTTCATTGAAGTGTTTCATGCACTTACTCTTCGGATTTTTGAGAAAGATTATCTTTATCCTTTTTATTTTGTCCAGAACTACAATAATTTCCCATTTTAATATGATTTCAATTACTCGGTGTGCAATTACTGTACGAAGACCCTGTCTTTCGTTCAACTCTTCAAAGCGTTTCAAATTTATTTCGTTAAGCAAATTTTACTCTGCGTGAATTTAATTTTCCCCAACAATGATACACTTCCAAGAATTTCACCGACCGACTGTCGATCGAATTTTGTTCCGCTCGTACATTTGTCAACGATTAGTGTGCCCAGCGGCATATGTTCTTTGAAATAAGGTTTTTCTGTTTGTACTGAATAGCTCTGGTGTATTTGTGTGTCACTTTGTCAATTTTTCAACTAGAATTGGCTCATTCAACACAATTTTCTTATGCAAAAGTCTTTTCCTGCAAAAATAAATAATTCAAACGTTTAAATTAGTGCACTAATATTGCATTCAATGTAATGCGATCGATAATATAGCAAAAAAAAAAAAAACGAAACGGAATTGGCCGTATATTAAAGGTCAAACGATGACACAGAATACATTCCATTTCATGAGTGGCACACGGCTGTGTAGAATTTCTTGGCATGTAACCGAAACAAAAAACAACAACATTTGTTTTTAAGCCGTCAATCAAGCTGAGTGGTAAATAACAGCGAACAACATTTCACATACGATCGCTATCTATGATATGAAATTATGCATATGTTTTGAATTTTTCTTTTGTTGTCTTCGACAAACACTCAAACCACACACGATTAGCGTTTGCTGGGAATGTGCCTGATTCTGCTGTTTTTGTTCAACTCAAGCCAAAGTATACAGTCTGGTGAATGTGTTAAATGCGTCGATTCAATGAGATAGACATACTAAATTAATGGCATTAAAAGGTGCTTAAATGACCGTGTAAATTACATATGACATTAGATATCACGTTAAACAATTTGCGCGCGCTTATATGCTGTGACGTCGATCTAATTACATACTGAAAAAGAAAAAGTTCGAATGCTGTTGACTGATTGCAATTATGAATTTTAATACAATTGAATGTGCGTCTTGTTTTAACGGTGTTATTCATTTTTTTTAAACGATCTGATCGAAAACCAAAAATGGAGCGCAAACACAATTGACGCGAACAAATTTCTTCGCATGTACGTAATGCAAAGTGTTTTTTTCTTCTTCTCATACGTACTTGCAACAAATATGTTACCATCGTCAACGGTGTGTGTGTGTGTGTGTTTTTTTTGGTTCAATTCTGTTCTCCTGTTCAAATTTAAACAAATACGCATTTGAAGATATCGCAAAAAAATACACAAAGTGCCACATTTAACGCACATGATATTTAGCATATTAATGGCTTTTGTATGGTTGGCTTTTATTTGAACATTCCTTTTGGCATTCTTCTATGCTTTGTGTACATAATTTTCATTTCGATTTTTTTTCGCTCTTTCGCGCTGGTTGTTGTTTTACTCGTCAGTCACATTCCTTTTACTTTGTTTTCGTGTTCGTTCGTTCGTTCAATCTCTCTTTTGGGAATTTTGAATAATTTTTGTTCTCAACCACGTAACAACAATACGTTTTTATTTGAAATTTAAGTAATTTCATTGCATACATGACATTTCACGTAATTTATGTACATTTTGGCGGCGACGACGATGACGAGAGATAGAAACATTCAGGCTTTTCGTATGTTTGTTTTTTTCAGCGCACTGTCACTCTATCTCGTATTTTTATCCATCAAATGAATTTTCAACAACCGATTTTTTTTAACCGCACTCACTCGATAGGTTGAGATGTGAAAAATTGTCCTGATATATTCACGAGGTGAAAGAAAAACTCTTTTTTCCACGGACTTGACTGTTTGAGTGGTTTTTTTTTCGCCGCTTTGTTTTATTGCTCCAATATTTTCCGATGTATTTTTAGAGAAATATTCATTCTCACGCTTTTTTCTCTTGGGCTACAAACGCTCAACAATATACACACTCTGTGCATTATTCTAAATTTAGCGCCATTCTATCGTAAATATATAGAACACTCATATTATTTTATCCATTTTTTTCTTCGTCTTTCTGTTTGTCTTTCTCTTTCGCTCATTTTTTTTATTCGTTCGAAGCCGAAGTCTTTTTTTTCTCTCTGTGTATTATGTATATTATACATACATTTACTATACACGCGTTCTCATCTACACATATTTTATATGCGCTCACGTATACACAGTATAGGGTGAATCGATTTGTCCATATTCAAATGAACCGATTACAGAAATTGAGAGTGCTCGGGTTGTTATTCTTCTTGCATGTGATTTCTTTTATGTCACCAGAGATAGTGGAATTGATAATCGTTTTGACCACAGAATAGAATTCAAGAAAAAGGTTCTTAAATATAAGATCAAGTTGTTTTCATTAAAATTGAATAGCCAGATAACGTGTCACGTTTTTAATGAGAATTTCATTTGAATTTGCACTTGTTTTCAAAACTCAATTGAACTTTAAAAAAAGATCCACCCTAATACACACCGTTTAAAATATACACTCTTTTTTTAAATAATGTATATTTTATGTTATTGATCGCGAAAAAAAAAGAACACAACTTACAAAGCAAACAAAATTTCAACAGCAACTAATATTTAATTATTCGACGCGTTGAGTAGAAATTATTAATGAAAAAAAAGTAACGAGAGACAAAATCAGAGTCGAACGTAGTACGTGAGCGATAAAAAAAAGGCAAACGATATATAAATTCACACACCGTCGACCCCGTATCGTTGGAGTTTTATCATTGAACTAAAAGTTATTTTATATTTGAACGTAAGAAGAATACGGCACGGCAAAACACGCTGTGTCGTATAGTGTATATAATACAATACAAATATTGAGATCGAAATTTTGTTCGGCTCTTTCTGCACATCAGACAGAGCGAGACGGGGCATTACTTGAGTTTATCGCTCTTATTCATTCCGACTACCTTACGAACGGTGATGCTCTGTATGAATATGTACTTTCGGTGTGCACATGTGTATAGCATTCAAACACTTTGCAAGCGAGCATTGGTGTGAAAACGATAGATATATATGTAATAACAACAACACTATTGCTATCGACACCGTTGCTGCTGCTGCATAAAAACAAAAAAAGTACTTTCCGTCGTCGTCGTCATCGTTGTTGTTGTGTTTGATTTCAAAGATGTCTTTCTAATACAAATAACGAGTGTAGTGAGTTTGATGGTAGTTATAATTGATTGTCGTCACTGTTGTACGCTTTAAAATTTACGATATACACATCGCACTACAGATACAAAAAAAAAACAGTTTGATATGGACACTTGTGTATTGAAAGCGATTGCATTGATGAACTGTGCTCAGCGTGAACTGTTTGATAAAAGGTTATAATGTCATGTTGAGCCACTTATAATTCACAATAAATGCTGACTATGCTCATTTATTTACTTGCATATGTACCTCGTAACGCACACACACTAATTGCGATGACAATGTAAACAATAAAAATACGATTTTATTTTTTGGAAAAAAAGAAATTAGCATTTATTATGCTTAAAAAAGCAATGCAAAAATCTAATGATTTTTCTCACGCGCCAATGACGTATGAGTTCACATGATACAATGTGTCATTGTTGAAAATGTGACCCGTATTTATTGCGTGTTGAAGATTATGTTATGAGAGCGAAAGAAATTATTGGAGAAATACAAATAGGCTCCGTAGAGCCAGTCGCCTTGATATAAAATAACGAGTGCACTGATGACGACAATATTGTTCCATTTTGTCAGCATGTCATTCTTCTTCTCCTTCACATTGTCCAATGTTCGAACTTTTTTTTTCACAGACAAAAAACGATATTCTTCACTTTTCTCGTGTTTTTTTTTTTCAATTCAAAATATCAAAATCACGAAAAATATAAGTATGCACTTATTTCTTTATAGAAGATTTTCACTTTGAAGAAGACAGAAAAAAAACTTACTTTTCAAAACTTTCAAGTGTCCTGTTTTTTCACTGACTAGATTTTTTTTTATATCCAATGCAAAAGCGACTTGAAGTGTTGCTTTTCACATGAAATCATTCGAAAATTTCGTTGGATTCACTTTGTTTTACACTTTTTTTGATCATTATTTCTATTGTGAGTTGAGAATGATTTTTTTTTTCAAGAAAATGATAGCACAATGTGTGTATGTCCGTTTGAGAGAGTGTGATAGTCTGTTTTCAGTTTCAATCGAAATGAATAATCGATGCGAACACACATTTTCATTTCCAGGGAGGAAAATCATACGTTCTACGCATGTTCATTGAAAAACACTCACACATACACACACACCGCGCTACCTTGAGCAGGGCCGCATTTAATGTGCCAACTGTGTATATGACAATATTTATATTACCTGTTTTGACTAGGATTTTGAGTTTTCTTTCTTTTTAATTTTCTCCAATCGAGATCTCTTCTCAATGTCAATTCAAAGATGCAAGTTGATTTTCATTGAAATCTTTGATAAATTTATTTTAACCTCTTTACAATCACATCAAATGTTCCTCTACTTAATCAAACGATGAACATCTTCCAAGACCGACAATTTCTTACTTGTCATTTACACTAAAGCAATATAAATAACGGCGGGTAATTACTTTTTCTTAATGACATTTTTTTTCTTTCATTTTACTTATCAAACGGTTCAAATTCCACCGTCTTTGCTGTGCTGAGAAATGTGCACTTTTCATATTATTACGAATGTTGTGTGTGTTCATCAAAAAGGATGTTTTGATTTCGGTCAATCTATTTTTAGAGTTTTATCCAATTTGCATAAACAATTCTCCACTTTATAAATGATGAAATGTGACGCAAAGCGAGCTTCGACGGAATTTATCAAAACAAAAGAAGAAAAAAAAAAACTTTATTAAACAGTCTGTTGTTTTGTTTTATTGGTTCAATCAATTTTCAGACTTTACACATAGCTTACATATGAGTTTTTTTTTAAAATGTTGCAAATCCGATTTTTGTAATTTTAATTGTGGTAAAAGGAGTCATATACAAAGGTTTTTTTTCTCTTGCGGTAATAGGAAATGACACCTTCTGTTAAATGCAAAGGACTAAAAAGTAATTTGGATCTAATCATCATCGTAATGTGTATGTATATATTCATTAATTGTATCGATACAATTGAATGAAGAAAAAAAAGGTATGCTAACGAAATAAATCTTACAGTAAAATTGCTTGTGATTGTACTTCGAAAACAGTATATGCATATTTTACAAGGCTTTCACTGAAAGTTGCTTCATTTTCGGTTGATTTCGTTTCTGTTGGCGTTTTTGCTCCTTTTTTTCCCAACGGCGTTGTTTTTCTGGATCATCTTCGGCCATGACGCGCTCTTTCTCCAATTTTCGTTTTTCTTCACGACGCAGAGCGGCGGCCTCGGCACGTGCAGCATGTGTACTTTTCATGAATTCTTCTTCGACACGTTGACGATTCTTTTCAGCCTTTTGAACACCTTCCTTCGACAAACGATAACGCTTGATTTTTTCGAGCAAATAGAATACGAGAACCATTAGCGGTTTTGTTGATTCCATATCGTTTGCATTTGGCAAATTGAATCCGAGCGACAATTGTTTTTTGACGTCGGGCATTTTCAGTTGCTGGCTTTGGTCTTCCTGTGAAATGACACCGTTATATTGATCCGATACGTAAATGTAATCGATTAGGTGGCCATATTTGGACATCATGGCTGTGACACGGGAGTCGAGCATTGCAGATGAGGCTTCGGGAATTTCACTCAGCACACTCATACCAGTTGGGACATTGTACTTGGTTTCAGGATTATTGACTAGAATACAGAATTTACTCTGCGATTGAGAGAAAATACAAAACATGTTAGCCAAATAGCTTGATAACAATGTTTACCTCGGTTCTTGAAAAGGTAGAAAAAAAATCCTGATGTACTCACCAAATCATACATTTCTTTAAAGAATTTCGATGCTGTTTTCTTAGTTGCCACACAAAATACAAACGGATCCATGATATCCGATGATAATTCAATTTTGATATGCAATTGATCTTGAGATGGTTTCATTATGTCTGAAATGATAGCTACCAAATCTTGACGACGAATCAATTTCAATTCGACCAACATTCCTTCGCAGCAAGTGCGGCCGCTGCACCACAAAGTGTACACACTTTCACTTTCTTTAATAAAGCCATCGGGTCCTTGGTTTTCTTTTTGCGTATCATCGCCGATCATGGCGAAATTCTCTTCGAGTAAAGTACGATGTGTTTGAAGCCAATGCGAAGCGATTTTCGAATTTTTACTTCGACCCACAAAGTAATTTCCAAAATAGGCCAACAGTCCGGCTATCATAATCATTTCCATCCAATACGATTTCCAATGGGCGCTAAATTGATGATGGGAAATTATTATTCATAGTCATACGGCGTACAAGGCTGTTTCAAATATGTCAGAAATCATATAAACATTCCCAAAATGCTTACCTGAAATGTAAAGGAACATTGGCCACTGTAAGTTTTGGTTCGCCAGTTTTCTCAAAAGCTGGTGGAGCTGATGTGTCTTTATTGAAGCCTTCAAACTCCTCTTCGTCGGTGAAATGATCAAATTCACTGTCCTCATCTTCTACGACTCCATCATCTTCGGCATCTTCACTTTGAAAAGAAGGTACCGAACCGCCTGGACCTTTCAATTCACTTCGATCGCTTGACACCTTCACAAAGTCATCATCCGTGTCGAAGTCTTCGAATTCCGAAAAATCATTGTCGTCCTCTTCTTTATCACAGTTTAATGATCCAGCCAGTAAAAAAATGACAAACAACGTTCCAATCGAAATGAGTTTCATGATTGGACCGATTCAAACCTGAAATGAGTTCTGTGAGAAATGAGAAATAAGAATATATGTTATTCAAACACGTAATCACAAACAAAGGTTAACAAAGTTAGAAACAGCCACGTCCAAACAAATCAAATCAATATTGATTTTTGTCGCGACGGCCATGTATCCTTCGATTTGAACACTTTAATTAGATCAGCTGAATTTATGAACAAAAATTCCCACCATACACTTTATCGTTCACTTACTTTTTCAATTTTTGACTTTACAAATGAAGAAAAAATAATAATATATATATAATTTCTTGATCGTTTCGGCAAATACTTTATGTTTTTCAATTTAACCTATTACAAAACGATTAATACCGTTAATTTTAATTCATAATAAATGAGTACTGATTAAATGACGATTTCGGTCGTACGAATACCTAGTGTAATGTGTTAATGACGAAGAAAAACTTGCGGATCAAATGACGATTTGTACGTGATGAATTAGACTAAATGACAATCCAGCCGACGTCAAATAAGTGGAGACAATGATAAAACATAGTCTACACAAATTCACATCTGACATTTTGTTGGCAAGTATAAATCACACCGACTGCTCACACCGAGTCATACATATTAGTTTGATCATTTTTTTCGATGATTCTGTACGAAATCGATGGAATTTTCAAATAATTTTGTGAATCGAGAACACTTTCAGTCAGAAATAATTTATTTTCATTCAAAACGTCTCTGCATTTTTGTCGACTTTACCAATAGGGACGGAAGAGTAGGGGAATACAATTATCAGCTGTTCTGTTACATCGCGTGATATATTTAATGTCAGTGTTTTGTCTCTTTCAGCCACACACCAGTCATTTGTACAATTTGTTAATTGAGACAACATCGATTGTAAAAAAATGGTTCATGGTGTGTGATATCAAGGAAGTAGACAGTGTCTACTAGACACTGACTTTAGTGTTGGAAGTCACTTTGAAGTAGACAATCGTGTCTTTTATTCTCTGTTTCTTCTATCGCGCTTATATTGCGTTTTCAACGTAAAACTGTCACACAGTGTGAATTGATTTTTGATGGAATTATAGTCTGAATAAGTGTTAAATTGCGTTTGATAAGAGACGTGAATCAGACGTGAATCAGACGTGATAAAGTGTCAGTTTTTTATCGATTTTGAAGTGATTAACGTTTACTCTCACTCAACATTTCAATCGTTGTGATGAACATCTGAATTTGAGAGAGCAGTGTCCGCGATTTTTTTATTTCACAATAAACAAAACCGAAATCAAGAGAGCTTTACATTGTTTGAAATTGAGATTAAAATCCGGATACGATATTTTTATAATTAATTTTGTTTTGTAGACTCATAATTAAGAATAGCAAGTCATGCCTAATACGAATGTGTTGTCATCGAATAACGTTGATGAATCTAACTCAACGACAAATGGTGATATCCAGCAAAGTAAGTTAACGAACCAAAAAATTATACAAAACTTTCGAATAAATTGTCAATCGGTTGAATTACACAAGCAAATTTCCATACACAAAACCCAGCAATAGAGCACACAAATAAACGCACTATATATTTTCTTGTTTACTTTCTTTTGTATGCAGAGATATACGAATGACGAAATGAGCATTGACCTTCATTTTCAAAGTTCAATTTATTCGCGTCAGTTTACATCAGATACTCGTTTTTTTTCCTTGAAATTGTTGAATGAATCACAGAATGTTGAATTGAAGTACAAACCGCATTTCATATTTTTCATTTCTTTAAAATCGGCCCATTGCCAGAGATTTTTTATTTTATTCAAAATAATTATGGTTAATTTACGAATCCAAAGGTCACAAAGTGCACGATTTTATTTATATCATACAAATATGGCATCGATTTTCAATAATTTGCCATGTAGTTATTGTAGAGATTGCTTTGAGTAGTGCAATTTAGATAAGCGCTATAAACATCTTTATTGACGTCATCACAAAGAACTTACATCCACGTCAGTTTGTCCATTTCTAATATGCGTTTTACCGAATAAAATGTGTTTATTCACTGTGCATGGTTCATGATTTTTATCTACGTACATAAATACATGTTTTCATTTTTATATAAGGTCATTATGATGGTGAAAAGCAAAAAAAATTGATATGTTCGTTTTTCGTTTTTTTTTTTTTTCAAAGATGAATTAGAAATACCACATCGACACTGGGAAGAAGTGACATTTGAGGTTCCATGGGGCACAGTCGCCGGAAAATGGTATGGCGATCGTGATAAACAGCCCGTAATAGGTAAATACACTGTGATGTCACTGTTAGGATAGAGGTGTTAGCCAACGCTTTCGTAGAAAGAAATGTTCGTTCGTATAAAAAAAATTGGTTCGCGTTCGCTTGCGTTCGTAAAGACCCACACTACGAACGAACGTGTTCGTTCGAAGAGTCGGAATCTATATTCGTGTTCGTTCGCGTTCGTTCGCAGGGTGGAAATTGTTTTTCGCGTTCGTTCGTGTTCGCAAGGACAGCCACTACGAATGAACGTGTTCGTTCGCAAAGTAGAAATCAACATCAAGAAAGTGACGAACACGAACGAACACGAAAATGAGCGTTCGTTAATACCTCTACTGTTAGCGCAAATCATTTCTTAACAAATAGATTTTATTGATGGTTTGATGTATTGACGTTATTACGAAATTATAATTAAACAGCCCTTCATGGATGGCAAGACAACAGGTATGTTTTTCTTTGTATTTAGGTACAAGGTACAACATATTCAAGCAATTCCATTTCAATGATATTTCTTATATTAGCGGAACTTTCGATCGCCTGATACCCCTTCTACCTAAAACAATAGCAGTGTGGTCAATCGATTTACCAGGACACGGATATTCATCACATTTTCCAACCGGAATAAACTATCATGTTTTTTGGGATTACATTCCATTGGTGCGACGTATAGTGAAACATTTCGGATGGAAAAAAGTGAAATTGATGGGCCATTCTCTGGGTGGCGCAGTAAGTCAAGAATTTATCTTATCAATTAAAGTACAACGTTAAAATCTAAAATTAAAATTCATTTAGGTGTGTTTTATGTATGCTGCATCGTTTCCCGATGAAGTTTCGCAATTTATCAGCATTGATTTGTATGGTCCAAGTGTACGTGATCTGAAGAAAAATGCTGCCATGACCGGACACTGTATCGACAAAGCTTTGGAATATGAAAGGTTACCAGCTTCAAAACTTCCATGTTATTCGTACGACGAGATGATTACAGTGGCGAATGACGCATATAAAGGATGGATTGATAGAGACGCAGCCAAAATTTTAATGATTCGAGGCATGAAAGAAGCCCCCAAAAGTCATTCAAAAGATGGATATTTCTTTTCAAGAGATCTTCGATTGAAGGTTTCTTTGTTGGGAATGTTTTCATTAGAGCATGTACTTGCGTATGCCGAATTGATAAAATGTCATGTGCTAAACATCAGAGCGGTGCCCGGTATAGAACTTGAAAAACCAGAAATATATCCAATGGTCCTCGATGCAATGCGAAAAAATGCCACACTTGAATATCACGAGGTACCCGGTACTCATCACCTACACTTAATGACTCCACACCGAATCAGTGGAATAATAAGCGGATTCTTATTGAATCCAGATTCAAACAACGATGATTAATAAATCAAAAAACAAACCCTTATTTGATTAAACTTTGCCATCGATTTCAATAAAACATTTCACACGCGAGCAATTTTAGTATTCCATGCAAACACACAATCTATAGATTTCATTTCCGTTTCATCTTGAATGCAAAAATAGCTTACTCATTTTTATATTACTATCGCTTCATGCAATTCTAAGAGAAATTCGAGGACGATGTATAAATCTCGTGGGGAGTTCCATACTTTGGCATTGTTATTTATTCAAAAAGAAAAAGAAAACGACATAATATTCAAAATATTCAAGACCAACAAATTTGTTGTCAAATTGAACGACACTGAGTGTCGGATACTCACCGCAGTGAAAAAGATACACAGAATTATTATTTATTCAAATTATGGAATTTAGGACAGGACATTTTAAACAACAAACATACGAAAATAAACAAATGAATTATGTTGAAAATAAAAATTATGTGATCTATAAACCATTGGCAATCATTTTGCCGACACTTTGCAGTGCACATCTTATAAAATTTATTAAATGAGCGAGGCAACAGGGGAAAAAACACAGAGAGACAAGTACAAATGTTAAATACGAACAAAGCACAATAAACAGTAAAATACATTGCATTTGTTTTGTTTGATTTTTTTATCATCTTGAATGGAATTGTATAGGTTATGATAGCCATAAAAGTCAGCTTCTTTATTTTTTAAACATTCAATAATTATTGACAAGTCTGCTGTTTGGATCGAACAAGACTTCAAATAAACAATTGCACAGTACTCTAGTATGTAAGTATATTTCATATAATTGACATTTATTGCTTTTCGTAATTCAAAATTCGAGTCTATTACTAGTCGATCCATACTCAAGTCTACTTAAATTTGATTGAAAATGAGATCGCAAATTAAGCCTTCGGCCAGTTGCGCATTGAGGAAAAAATAATTAAATGTAATAATATTATGATTTTCGATATTTTTATTTACCTTTTAATATTTTGCTCCTCACTGTTCAACGATCAGTGATCATGCGATCGACTTTTTTGAATATCAATTGGAAGTATTTCTTCAGTTAAAAAGCAAAAAAAGCGCAACTTAAAAATGCAAATGACATGACTCCGAAAAATGGAACACATTTTGTGAGTTACCGCCGAATAATTATTTAAGATCAGTATCATCTATAATAATAGACATGTTTCATTTAAAATTGGTCTATGAAAATACGAAAATTGCCAGACGTTCGATGAATTCCACAAGAATATTTATTTTCACCCAACGACAGAATCCAATCCCGTGGGAAATGAATTAATTTCTTGCAACAAAACAACATATTATTTTTACGATTCATTTAAGAAGAAATTACTAATGGATGCGAATTAGGGTGGCCCAAAAAAAAGTATATCATTTTTAACATTCCAGGCCGTTTTTAGCATATTTGAGGTCTAAAAACACGATATGGACCATTGGTTTGTTCAAGTAGGAAACCATGGCGCTACAAATTCATTGGGAAGATACCTCGATGGACCCATTTTGGTGACTTTTGAGAGATTTCTATTTCCTAAAAAAATTATGTAAAATATACGTAATAAGGGGTTTTTTGGTGCGAGAAAACCGAATCTGGCGTTAGTTTTGCGATACGATCAATGGTTAACACATTTTACATACAAAAATGTGAAAAAATCACCAAAAATGATGATTTTGTATGGGACCTATACTTTTATGGTGTCGTAATGTCGTGAAACTTTGCACAGGCTATAATTCATAAAAAATAACATTCTGAAAGTTTGAACGAATTCCAAAAAAAAATCAGGGGTACCTCCCATACAAAATTTTTGGAATTTCTTCAAACTTGCTGAGATTATGTATCTTGGTCAGGGCTGTAATTTTCACCCTGTCAGTGCACGCACACAGTAGTGTGCACACTCACACTCAATGTGCGTCGCACACAGTGCTTGTATTTTGAATGTGCACGCACACTTAGTTACAAATTTGCCAACCGCCAAAAATGTCAAACTTGTGACTAAGTGTGCGCACACATGCAAAATACAAGCATTGTGTGCGACGCACATAGAATGTGAGTGTGCTCACTACTGTGTGCGTGCACTCACAGAGTGAAAATTACAGCCCTGATCTTGGTAAGAAAATAAGATTCACACGTTTTTATGGTGAATAAGTTACTGAAAATATACATTTTGGAAAGAAAATAATGCAATAAATCTATGTTTGTCATCTTTGTTTTCTCCACGTTGTGCGTTATTTTCATAATCTCTCTCGTTTGTATGCACTCACATTCAAATGTGCAGTAGAATAGTGGGCCATGCTCAGTATTACACACAGCACACGAGTTAAATAGCGCCTATGAAATAGTAGCCGCTATATCCATAGCTGAAAACCATTGACTGGAAATTAAGTTCCAGAAAAGTGAGCAAAGAACAAACTTTATCATCTAAAAAGTACAACTTTAAACCAAATGAAAGAAATATCAGTAATGTTGTTTTTAGCTTAACATTAAATAAAAATAAAATTCAAAAGTTACCATCATCAGCTACAAAACTTATGGCAAAGATTGCAATGCATAAGCCCACTTAAATGAATATGTTCACTATAAAGAACAAAATTACCAGTTTATAAGCATGAATCAGTCCTGAATTGTATATTTCATCATGTCTCCATTACCGCCTTTATTGAGAATAAATTGAACATATGTGAGATAAATTCTAAGATAATAATTAAGAACACATCGTTGTGTTTCGGTAAATATTTTATGAAATTATTATTGAATAGATTCCTGCTTTCATTATTTCACCTTTATTTTATCGATTTTTTTTCATCCCAAATTGTGAATTTTATTATGTTGTTTGTTTGTTTTGTTAAGAGAATGGACATCAATACCATAACACATTGAAATAATGGTACAAGTAGATATGATTTATTATTTGCGTGACTTAAAAAATAGTTGAGTGTTACAAAAAAAATGTATCATTTTCAAATCAGAAATGAATATTGAATAAATAAGTGTGACAAAAACAATGTTAAATATAAGTACAAATTGAATATTGAATTAAATATTAAAGAAGCGCATGGCCAAATCTTTTGACTAAATCATCGATTACAAAATCAAGCTTTTCTTCCGAAAATAGAGATGATAATGTTCAAACAAATTGATCTAATAATGAAAAATTTTCATACAAAATTAAGACAAACATCGGAACTAGTTTGAAAATTTGCAATGAAAATTTGGTGTTTCTTTTTTTTTTAATTTTATTTTAAATTTCCTGTGATTATATCGATCAGTTCTCGCGCTGGTAAGTGTTTAATTTTCCAAATATTCTAGATTTGTCTAAATCAATACCATTTTTGTTTGGTAATTTCTAAACAACATACATTGTTAATTTTATCTAATATGTTTAAATGCAATCATAGTTCGGAAGCGTTGCCAACTTATGCTACAGATATTGCCCAAAAAAGTAAAATTCCAAACATTGAATATAAAAAATTTGTTGTTATTTTATGTCATCAGGAAAATGTAATACAATATCATTTCAGCCAATTGAAGTATTTGTCGCTGGCAATAATATTCGAAATGCCCATGATTCACTAAAACGTATCTAAATACTTGATTTTTGAATACTTTTTTTGTTTGTTTTTGTTTAAATACACTTTTCACGGTGACGCTCAATACAGAGAGAAAACTGCGTCTTTCTTAAGAATACCTTATGTTTTTATAAGCGTACTTATAATTCGCACAATCTTATTGATGGTCTACGTTTGCAATTTTTTTTTTTTAATTAATTTCTTTTGTTCAATTATTTATTCTTGTCTTTGCTTTTGTTAGTATTTTGTTGTTGTTGTTTATTCTTGTTGTTCTCTTTTGACATGAATACTATTCACGAATATATGAAAAATTTAAATTTATTCGATGAATATTTGTATAATCGTTGTCGTATTTTCTATTATTTCTTAATCATTTTTCTCTCTCTTTTTCACGTTTTATTCATGAATCAGTTCCCTAAAACGGTTTTCTAAATATTTTGTTTTGACGGAAGCTTTTTTATACAATCAATAAGTTTTTTGTTTTATAAATTAATTTATTACTTCAATTGATCTAAGATGAGATGGGTTTGTTTTTCTTTCTTTATTTTAAATGAGCACCTTTGTCACGATTTTTTTTGTGTTTAGTTTTTTGTGTATGTGTTTGTGTGTTGTGTGATGTTAATCAAACATGTTCTTGGAACTTTTCATAGTTATAAAATTTGAGGTTTTTTCTCTCATTTTTCTTGTCCTCTATTTTTATTTGATTGACAGAGAAATATAATTCTCCTTAGAATCGAAAAAATGTAATAACTACTTTATAGGATTGCACAAGATGTTATCAATGTAATTCTAAAAATGGAAAATGGAAAATGGAATAAAAAATATTAATTATAAGATCAAATGCTACACAGTACACATATGTTTATTTAAATACTTTGTCTTTAGATTAATGAAGCACGTAAATGAATTATTAAAAATCTCGAACGGTCTATTTTGTGTATTATTTCATTTCATTATTTTATTTTTATTTCATTTGGAAAGCACAGGGTTTTCTTCCATTCGTCATCACTATTACATTGTCAATGTAAATGTCAAAAAAGAATATAGGTGAATGTTAAGGTGTCTGTTTGCTACAATTAAATTTGTTGCATATCCTGGATGTTCATTTTTTTTTCGTTTTAAATATTTATTGAAATAATCTGTGGGTATTTTGACGACTAATTAACTACGTACACATAACACAATTTATAAAGTTAATCGATAGTAATCTTATCGGTAAATATATTTTAATATTTTATAAAATCTTCTCATGTTAATATATATGCATCATAAGTTGAAAAAAATTCAGTATTTACGGATAAAGTGTGAGTGTATGTTTGTCAGCCCCATCGGCCATTTATTGCGAATCAAATTTAAATTTTTCAAATATTTGTGGGTTTTTGTTTTCTCTTTGCAATAATAGCTTTCTGTTTTTGTATTTCAATATATATATATGTATGTGAACGATTGTGCGTTAAAATCGGTTTCGAAGAAAGAGAATTAAGAAGAAATGTTTATTGTATGCGTTGGCATCATGAGGAAATGCATTATCTACCGATAAATTCAACCAAAAAAACCAATTTATTTAAACAGAAACTAATAAAAATCAATCTTAAACGAACATGTTTTTTGTTTATTTTTGGATTTCAACTGTGTCTAAGACTTTTGATACAAAAATAAATGTTATTTCCATGAATTTTTATCAAGAGATAACACGAAAACGAATCAATTGGAAAAATGTCTTGTGCATTGGTGTTTGCGTTTGTAAACAAACAAAAAACACAACATTTCGAAAATTCAATTATAAAATTGTTGATATTTTAAATTTAATGTTTAGTTTGTTTTTGTTTTGTTGGTCTTAAAACTGACTTGTAATACACGATTGCCCAAAGTATATCCATTTAGTGATTGAATTGCAACAACAGCATCCTCGTAGTTAGTCATTGTCACAAATCCAAATCCTTTGCATTTATTCGATTGCAAATCTCGTATGACCTGCAAATAACAAAAGACATTGCGGTGGAAATATTATTCTATAGCTTCTGACTTAGAGTCCAAGATGTTTTCTTTTTTTTCACTTTGTTCCGGTCACCGGTGTTAATACTAGTAAGATAAAATGGGATTTTGAAAAAAAAAACACTCACTTTAACTGATTGTACGGCGCCAAAAGGTCCAAATAATTGCCAAAGAACATTTTCTTCGGTTTCTGGTGCTAGGTTGTATACAAAAATGCACCAGCCTGATCCATTTATTGGGTTCGACGACAGCATTGAGTTAGCCAAAATATCGTTAGCCAATGGCGAATATCTAGAATTCAAACTGTATCTAACAATTGTTAATATTTTTCAGTTAAATGGAATAGCTATTATAAATGTGAATATTTGATTTACCTAAATCGTCCGGTGGCATGATGTATTGGACCCGGAAATCCACGTCGAGTTGTTTGCGGTGTAAGATAAGCGGCTAACGGGGCCATTGTTTTATTACTGCTGGGATTGTTTGCAAATTTCACGGTGATTGCTTCATTCGAATTTTTCGGTATCGTTCCATTCAGCTCTTTGATGGCTCGTTCGGCCTCGCACCGCTGATCAAAACGTATGAATCCAACACCTTTTGATAAGCCTAAAAATGGCATACGTTATAGGGGCTTTTATGTATTTTCGAATTCAGATTCGAATTTTTTAATTTTCTATTCACATTTTATCACTATTTTAAACAATCATCAACCAAATCAAAAGGAAGAAATCAAAATTCAAAAACTTTACAAGACTAAAAAAAAACTATTAGTTTTCTCGCAAAAAAATCGTAATCTTCGAAAATAAATTGTAAAATGGATCATTTTTACCGGTTATATTGTCGCATAAAATACGTGATGTTATGATACGTCCGTATGGGCTGAATAACGATTCCAAATCAGGTTGTGACATATTTTTTGGCAAACCAGACACATACAAATTAGCACCTTTGATTGATTCCGAGCTTGGTCGAGCGAACGACACCTAATTTTAAACAAATTATTATCCTTTCAATGTTCACGATTGTTGTTATGTCATTGATAAAAACCTTTATAGTTTTGTTTTGTAAACGCAAGCCGTTCAAAGTATTGATGGCTTTATCTGCATCTTCAGCACGTTGATAGTTTACGAAACCGTAGCCCAAACTTTGCCCTATTGAAAGTATACATATATATAATCTCTGTCTTCAAAATGTATGAAGTAAAAACAAGTTATATTTAAATTCAATTCACCGGTCACTTTATCACGAATCAATTTACAACTTTCAACATCGCCAATGCTTGAAAACAGGGATCGAATTTCTTCTTGTGTCATTGTTTGTGGTAAATAATTGACGATCAAATTAGTTTTTGATTCGTCTTGACCATTTCCACTACCATTTTGTTGTCCGTCTAACGCCATTTTATCACTTATTGTTGCTATTCGTCAATTTATGCTGAGATATTGTTCAAAAAATTCTCCTCTCACTCTTTATCGGTACAATTTAATGTAAAAATCACTAGCAAATAATTTTATTTCTTGGAAATTTTTGCAGTATAAAAGTTGATATTCTTTGTATTATATTAAAGTTGGTATTTTTTCTGAAACAAACATAGAATCATAGCAAATTCATTTTCGATTATTCTAGGCTATAAAGCTTGTACAATTTTTCTTACTTGTTTCTTATTTGAAGGAATATTGCTTTGGTGTTTATCGAGCCTATAAAGAGAACAAAAAAAATTGAAATAAGATACGGATGTACCAACCGTTCCATTCAATACTTTAGCGGCTTATAAGATTACTAGGTATAACTTCAAGCAGATTTTTCTTTGCATCGAAGTCAGTCGATGTGGGTGCACGTGATTTTTGAAATAATTTCTAGTATTTTAACCATTTGATTCAGCTAAGCTGCGAAGCTTTATTGTGCACGCGATGTAAACACCAAAATAATACTAGGCAAACATAAACACTGACACTTTCAATTTCATTGCAATGCAATTTATGAATATTTTTAGCGTAGTCTATATATAAATCCTTCTCATTTAACAACTATTATTCGTCGCGAGTGTCAAATGATAAAACATCTTGGTCAATGATGTACCTATGATCAATAGAATCCATTGTATTTCGTTTTAAATGTTCAAACAAAGTTGCTTGTCAATTCTTCGATGAAAAAAAACTAGCACATCATCCTTTCGACACTTTCAAATTGTTTGACTACAACCGAATGCTATCAAGCAATAATTTCGTTTGATGAAATAATAGGTATTTAAAAGACACAATTTAGAAAAGTAGTAAAATTTGTAAAATTAAAAGTAAATGATAAACGAAAATAGCCCGAAACGAAATTCCCAAAAAAGAACTTTTACGTTTGAAATCGCATAACATACTACTGGCGTTCATGCATCGGTTTTTTTTTTGTAAAAATAATTTCGCTTGTTCGTGCGCAGTAAGCTCTCCTTGCACTACACACAATACATTTTTGATAATTTTGTGAATAGAGCATATAGACGAAGCGAACAGAAAAAAAACCGACTAGAAATACATAGTCAAAATACTAATAACACCGTACGGTGCATGTTCACAAGCTAGATATACGCATAAAACTGTCAAATATCAAGAACTTGCCGCAAAGCAATTGTAGGGGAATACACACTTATGTACTATGTTGTGCTTTAAATTTTGTGCTCAAAACGGATTCCATTGTGGAAATTGCACATTATTGGGAATAAAATTCAAAACGATTTTTTTCTTCATGGAAAAATGGAAAGATTTTTTTTTTAAATTGGAGCACATTTTGCATATGGGTAATTTTTTTATATTATGGTTGATTTTGGTCGTGCGGTATAGTAAAATTTTACGACAACTCCTTATGATTGAAGCACATTGATTTGTTCATTCATAAGACGAGTGTGTTTTAGTGAGGTAGTTCAACATTTGGGTTCCGCTTTCCAGCGCTCTCGAATTTCGAGTTACACACATAAACACGCCGACAAACATTTATCTCGTCAAGTGTGAGTTTGCGTTGAGTTTAATTATGCTCGAGCACTGAACTCACCTAAAAATGTGTGTATATCTATAGATATGAGCGTGGAGTATATATATAAGTTTTATACATATATACGATACGCTTTCTGCTTAAACTGCATTTGAGGAACCACCCAATTTGCTTGGATTCTAGACGTCAAAAAAAGGGAACCTTATGCAATATTGTAAAAGTGGTAATTTTCAACGGGAGGGTTACGCCAATTTTTCAACAAAACTTTACCTTTTCGATTTTATTTAATATGTTAAATTCAGCTTTTTGCGTGAAAAAGATGCCAAGCGTCGGCAATCGAAAATAAAGTCTTACACGTTTATTATTAATTTAATTCGATCGAGATAGAGAAAAGGAAGCTATTAATAATGTAAATAATCTTTGAAATTCTTTAATAGGAAAATATTGAATTTTTAACAATTTTTTTTATTCGTTTCAACTAAAGTGACCATTCCATCACACACATAGATCGCACTAATAATCTTTGAAGTATAGATTTTTCGTGGTTGATTTGAAATATTTCGCGTTTTTTTAAATATTATTTCACTTGTAGAAGAATTCTTTGAAAAATATAACATTCACAGTGGCAAATAACACACATACACACTAGGAAATGAAATACAAGGAACCAAAAAACTGAAAAAATTGGAGAAAAGGAACAAAACGTATTTTTGCTAAATGCAAGCTATATGGAAAACTTCACTGTATCACACCGTTTGTAAAATTATACTGTTGGTGAAAATTGGGAAAACCGATGGAATTGGTTTGGCTCAGTAGCTTGGATGGAGAGACATACACGAAGAGAGAGAGAGAGAGAGAGAGAGAGAGAGAGAGAGAGAGAGCATAACAACGCATTGCAGCACACAAACGTATCAGAGTATCAAAGGACATGGAGAGTGCACAGACTCGAAGCCGCTCGCTCTCACTCGCACACACAAAGCCGAACGCACCCACACAAAATGAGAGAGAACCACTATATATGTATTAAATTTATATATTTAGCTTACTTATGAGTAGAGAAGTGGAACCAACAAGACTACGAAAAAAGGATGATTTCAAATGATCCGTTCATATCTTTATAGCTTGCCGTGCAGTCTCTTCTCCTGACAATTTCCGTATTCCTGGATATGTATATTGTTTGTGTGTTTCGTTCGTGGTTACATAAAATGCCGCTACGATGGAAGCTTTTTTTATACGTAGATATTCCGGGAACTGCAAAATATGAATTAAATAAAAAACTTAGCTTTTTAATTCGATGCTAAAGAATTGAAATTTTGTTATAATTTATTTACACAGACACTTATTGCAAATAATTGGACTTTTGTTCTAGAAAGAGCATTTGAAAACTCTGAATTTTCGGGGTGGGTAAATGTAGTGAAGAGAACTAAATGGGATATCTTTTGTATGCAAGTTTATTTTATGCGTTTGATATCGTTCGAAAATGCACTGAATATAAACACAGATTCCATTTTCCATTTGCCGACGAAGGATTGGGCGTTAGTGTGTTGCACAACTACACCGAATCAATGTGAAACGCATAGGTATCAACAATGATGATGCGATATAGACATATATACTATATAACATTATATTTTATAACAATCGATACATCAACTCATATATAAAAAATTATGTGCAGCATTTCCTTGTACACTAAATCATGGAACGACTTTTTTTTTGAATATTATACAGACGAATCGGAGCCTAAAGTCTATGTTATCTCCGATAAATTCAGGAACTAATTTAACATATTTAATATTATAAATTGTTTGTTAAATTCAAAGCAAATTCGAACTTAATTCTCGGTAATTGTTCGGCTTACAGGAAAAAAAACCGACTCAAAGTATTCAAAAAAAAAACCTCAAGTTTACTTGTATTGTTCGGTCGTATACCGAACCCTGGCTGTGAATGTGGAGTATAACGCATGTGCTGTATTGAAGTAGGAAGTTCATTCCCGTCCAAAAGACCAAAACTTCCAAAATAATAAACGAAATCGCAACGATTGAAAGCAGACGTACAAGGGTGCGGACAACAGACGACCCTTGATTAAATATTATATATTGAAATGCATGTATGTGTGTCTCATACTATTGTCATCGTTGCATCTATAGATACAATGCACTTTTTAGATCGAATGATGGGCACTCTTTTATAATATTATCTGCCTCAAATTCGCTCGAACAATCCGCATACATTTCCTGCAACGTTTTAAAAATGGCATTTCTTTGTACTTCAACTTTACATAATTCTCGTAAATACATATATATATAAATACCACGAATTGGCAAATAAATTATGAGAGCACAGCCCAAGTGATAAATGGATTTTGGACTCAGCGGTTACAATTCATTCTACATTAAAGACAACCAATCAATTTTACGTTTAAGTCGGAAATTCGAATTATTTATACATTTACGATAAATAATGGCAATTAAACGGGAGCATATTTTGAAAGTAGAATCCATGACCAAAAAATGATGCAACTGAACATTTTTTCAGCTCAATTGCCGGCCAAACATACATCTTATCTTGTATAAAAGACTAAAAAGTCTCTTCTTACCGATGCTGTGGAAAAATTTCAATAAAATATTTAATCATGTGGAGGAGTGGCAGCATACAAGGGTACCACTTTTTTCTTTAAACTCTTCCGCTATAATGTTTCATTATACAAATTTTAAAACATTTTTCATCCAAATTCGAAGTCTTTTTTTTCAAGCTAAATTCGTATAAATACAATGGTAAAATAAAATAATGACAGCTTGATTTAATTCGAAGTCGTTTTTGCTGCAAATACATAAAATACTTACAAATTGGATAGGTCAACTTATTTTCAAATGGGAAAGTCTTCACGATGCTTTTTTAAGCAAATTTTCTTTATGTACTACGACTGGCATCAACGGACACAGTAAAACGTACAATACTACAATATCATTGAGACCAAGAAAATCACATCTAGTGTTCAGGTTGAAAAGTTTAAGACAAATATTGACATTTTGGGAGTTTAATTTGTTGGAAATGAAATATTTTTTTTGCAACATTTTTCAAATTTACTCTCAACTATTGACGTTGTTAACAATCAAAAAGTTTTTTTTAGCTAAGGACACATTTTCCAGGCAAAAAGTACAGTTTTCGGCAGACATTAAAACCTCAAATAAATAAATGATAGGGTGAAACTTTTCTTTATATACGTGGATAATAGTCATCATTCATTCAGTATGTATCAAGAAGCATAAAAATCTTACGCCGACGCTATTCAATATATATGAGGTTGTAGCAAAAACTATTTTAATTTTCTCAAACAAACGAAACCATTATGTCTAAAGCATTTTTTTTGGATTTCAACGCAAGGAAGAAAGAAAATGGAGAAGGAAAAGAGATAAATTGATTTTTTTCAATTTTTTCTAGATGAAGAATGCATTTTGGATGCATTCAATCCGAGAAAAAAAAATAAAAAGTAAAATATGAATTACTTACATTTTTCTACAAAATTGAAGTATCTATTCTTCTGTTATAATATTGAGTAGCTCGTTGCAAATTTTTAAATGACTTTAGTATGTTTTTTTTATGAAATTATTATTAATACTGTTTATAATTTAAACTTTTAATGAATTAAAAATTTGAATATTTATTGATCACCAAGTTTTTAAATGTGTATAATTACTCGTATATTATTGATCTTGTCCGTCGTTTCTTATTAAAAAAGCAACAAAATATTTTTCACGAAAAAATTCAAATAAAAAATGTGGAATAATACGTTCCGGAAGTGTGAAAAATATTTAAATATGAAAGAAAAAAGTTGTTTGCAAATGAAAAACTGAGATTAATTTATGAAACACATAAACACCATAAAATATTTTGTGTATATTTGTCGCTGAAATCGACTATTTGTTTCGCAAAAAGGGCCGTCATTAAACACTAATACATTAAAAAATTTTGTCACTGATACTGAAACTGAACGGAACTAAAATTAAGGATAAAAACCGAATAACGTACTTTATGACTGAATGGCAAAATATCAATGAGCTGATATTACTGGGTCTCTCTTTCACATCATCATCCAATATGGGCACAATTGGAAGTGGAAAATAATGGAAACCATTTAATTTCAACAAAATCCAATGCACGAATGTGCAGTGCATGTATGCAGTGTGCATTTATTCCATTCTAGCTATTGGTCTATTGGAAACAGTTCCACGATTCAGACTCTTTATTTGTTAACTTATGTACGTTCGGTACTTTGACCCTATTCAATTCAGTTGCTTGAAAATGCGCTACGGCTGCTCTCTTTTGATTTGATAGTATCGGTATCCATATCTCGTAGTACCGAATTTCCCTGTTTTGGTTTGTTTATGTTCGATTTAATTCGGTTCAAACTTACAATATGCCGCATAGCATTTACTTGTACTACGATCATATGTCCGCTTCACGAGTCTGCGTATTGGCCGTTGCATGTCTACCGAAATTACTTCTTTTTTTTATTACAAAGGAAGTCATTGTATACAGCGGAGAAAGAAGAAATTTTAATACTGAATGATTTCGAGTTTTCAGCTATATCTTTTCCAAAAAAGTATTTTGAATTGACCAATTTTTTTATAAATTTCTTCAACTATGCAGCAATCTAAGCCCATGCATTATGCTTTGCATGGTACGCTTCAAAAAGTATTAAGATTATAATTTGCAAATTACCAGAGGTCGGGTTTTAATGCAGAATAAATCATTTCCCGGGCAACATTTCCTTTGAAAGATTCACAGTCCAAATCTCGATGCACTTATCCATCACCATGTTATTGCAAGGCTTTATTTACTTGCCAAACAGTTATTGTTATATATATATAGTACAAATGCACACCAATAAAATATTTCTTACAAACAAGATTACAACCATCCCTTTTAACTACAGAGTGCGCTGATTTTGATTGCACAACGTACCTATTAGATAGGGTGCATCGTACTTTTTCATGATGAATACGACACGAAAGCAAAATTTGACATCCATTTATAAATATAGCACTCCTCTACAGTCTACACTTGTGTTTAAATTTGAACTCGACAAAAATTGACCATGGCAAAATTACAACTCCGTTCAGTGTGATAAAACATGTGCACTCTTTTTCATTTTTAGATAAATCTTATGATTAAACATGCACTTCAAACTTTATTTGCCACCAAGCCAGTTTTCATATACCATCATAGGTGATGACGAGGGTTCGGATAACCCCCTTCTAAAATATTTTTAGGAACCCTGAACAATTTTGGAAATGAGGACCTTTTTTGGCTCTTCACTTTTTTTGGCCGAGAAAATTCTTCCGATTTGCTAGGGTTTTTCGTCAAAAAAGTGAAGAGCAAAAAAAAAACGATTTTATCCTCATTTCCGACAAATTGTTGACTTCGTCAGGGACCCCCTACGGAATTTTTCCATTACCCCCTAAAAAAAATTTCGTCATCATCTATGTATACCATCAAGAAGTATGGATGAAAGTATACTTACTTATTGTTGACTTGGCTCAAAGCACGTATCTATTTCTTCGTGAAAATATTTTAATATTTTCATATTCTGCTCATGTTCTACAACGGTATTGACGCCCGTTGGCGACGGCGACTGAAACAATGTGTGAACAAAACATACGTTCTTTTTTAACTCACCGACGTTCTAGGTGTTTATCAGCTAAAAAAATAATCAAGTGTTTTCTGCGTGTATTGTCAGTGCTGTAAATGCTTTGTCGTTATTGAAGGTATTGTTTTACAGAAAAAATCAAAAAAAAATAAAAAAAATATTTTACGTAATTTTTTCTCCAAAAAAGGATCCACAAATGGCATTGAGCATTTTATTATTGTGTCACGCAATTTGCGTTCGAATATTGCTTATCGCATACATGTTTAGATATTATTTCATTGGATTGTTTGCAAACAGCTTCAAGTTCATGTGTGGATGTCAAGTCGATTAATACTTATCTCTTGTGATAATTCTTGACTCATCTCAAATATTTCCGTACAGTATTGCTCAAGACTGTTAAAAAGGGGAGAGAAAAATAGCTTGACAAGAAAGTTTAAAATAATATGAACTTTGTTATTTCATTTATGAAAATTGAACTAATCGCAATTCAATTCGTTTATTTTCTTTTAAATATAAATTGAATTCAACGAAATATTTACATAATAATTCGTTGGCATTGATATACAAAAACTTCAATATTTTTGATTTAGATTTAATCGAAATGTTAAAAATGAAACGATAAAATTTTCTTTATTGTTAACACAAATGTTAATAATTAGGTTGTTTTATGATAATTTAAAAAAAAAAAGAAAAGAAAAGAAAAACTTTTCAGCATCTATTCCCGTTCGTGGAAAAAGAGTGCAAACCCAATGAGTGTGTGTTTTTCATTTTACGGCCGGTTTTACAAAGTTTTACATTTGCATGTTTAACAAATTTAACAAATTTATAACGCAATTATAAAATTGAATATCTTTTTGATTTTTTGTGTTTGATAAATAAAATAACTTAAAATACTAACTAATAAGTCTAATTGATAGCAGAGAGAAAAAAACAAAAGGAAAATAATAATATTAATAATAGTAATAATTTAATAATTAGTTTAATGCTATCTATCTCTTTTTTCCTGTGATTTTTTTCCCCATTTTTGTGTTGTCCTTTGTGTAATATTTTGGTTTGTTCTTCCATTTGCCGTTTAGCATTGAGTTGATTTGGTAGTTTTACATACCCACACAAATTGAAATTATTTATTTAAATAAAATATATTTACTTTTTTAATAGAAAAGAATCTCCGTGAATTTGTAGATATAACAAAATATCTTCGCGAAAAAAAATTCAGTATTTTCTTTTTGCTTTTGAAGTTTTACAATTGTTTCAGTTTCTTCAAACCGGCATGAACATATTTAACCACTTTGCTGAGAGAGCTGTGCAATGTAATTGGTCCGTTATCGTGATCAAGTTCAACGAAAAATTCTAAAATAAAAAGAAGAAAAGTTTGTGTTTAGTTGGATGCCACTCAATGTCAATGTTTTAATGTAAAATACCTGTATGGTTTCCTTTGAGAACGGTCGCATCGGCCAATTCCCATAAATCATGACACATAACCAAACGGTTAAAGAACTTATCTTGTCGCTGAAACGCATTATGGACTTGAATTGGAACTAATGAACAAGGCGGCGTATTTGAACCCGAACCCTTAAGAAAAAAATAAATAGAAAGCGGCATATTAGTTGATTTCATTCATTTTATAGTTTTATCAAAATTAAATTCAATTTCATTTTGTGACGTCTCTTACCTGTGAACCAACTGAATTCGTTGGTGATAATGGTGATGGCGTATTACCATTTGGCACTTCGGAAAAGCCACTTTTCGTTAAATATTCTGATATTGTTTTTTGGCATTCTTTAACTTCATGTCTTCGCATTTTGTACAGTTTTAAATGTGTTAACGATTGGCATCTTAAACTGCAAAATAATGAAAAATACGATTGATTAATCATAAAAAAAATCATAAAATTTTGACAAAAATCAATTTTTAACTTACCTTAAAATTGCTACTTTACTATGAATGCTTCCTTGACGAGAAGGATGCTGTTGTTGGTTTCGAAACTTTGAAGAGATATATCTGTAAAGAGTAAATGGCATTGGTTATTTTAAATTCTCAATCTGTACCTATACTCTTGGTATACATACTCGTTTAGTTCTGATACATACTTTATTAAACTAAGAGTGTCGTTGTACATCGTAAATGCTGCCTTCTCTGTAAGCGGATCCCGTTCCATTGCAACACTGGTTAACAAAAAATATACAGCTGCTTCTAAGTATAACATAGCTTGGGACAAATGGTCCGTTTCAGCATCTGCTGCATGTTTCAGTCTCTTTGCCTCTGATAACGATCGATGATGATCTCTGTTTATTGAAAGATGATTTATTAATAATATTTCTTTTCATAATTGAATATCATATGCAAACGTTAAATACTTACTTCAATTCTCTTTCGTCCCTATCGTCGTTTGTACGCTCAAAATAGGAATAATATACCTTTGTAACAATTGGTTTTTGTGGTGGAGGTGGTAAGATACTAGAATTCGTTCTATCATGATTTGTTGGTGCTAAATGATGTTGATCTATTGTTGAGTCATCAAACAACTTTTTCCTCTTTTTATCCTTGTACGGACTACTATTCGCGCTAGACGCTCGCTTCTTTCGATTGTTTGTTACTATGTCATCGCCGCTCATTAATTTGTTGCCATCATCGTTGCCATTTTCTAATTTAATTTTATCGTATTCTTTTTTGATATTGACATTCGCATTTTTTCCATCACAGTTGTAACCCAGTTTATCGAGCGATTTATCATCGATAAACACTTTTGGTGATTTTATTGCCCGATTACAGGCATTAAATTCCGATGCTGAAAATTCAGCTTTTAGACCTTCACGTTTTATCTTATTTAATTGCTTCTCTTCTAATTTCGGTGAACGTGAGAATGCGGTATTGTTTCGTATCGCATGTAGATCGGTATTATCAGCACGACAGTCGCTTAGATTTGTATGGATTATGGTATTATACGCAGAATTGTGAATGTCTGGTATGTTGCGAGTAAGTTTTTGATCGTTGATTGAATTAAGCTTTGAATTAGCTTTAAGATCGTAGTTTGATCCACCATTTCGATTTGTTTCATTGATTGCTTCTGGATCCGCACTATCGTCATCGCTACTGTTTTCACTGCTTGAACTTGTGTCACGTGGACTGGTCCAGCGACCACCATTTTGAGGTCTTCGTCGTCCTCCCTGCGAATTATAAAATTTTTCCCCAATTTAATATTTGAAAATATGGCATGTATGAGCATTTTTAATGTTTACCTTCAATTTCGTATTGGCATCCATTGGACTCTTGTTATTGTTGCTCGAACGACAATTTTGATCACCTGAAACCCGACTTAATCGTATGAGATCTAAGCGTTTGATATCGATTTTGCAAACGATTGAACTTGGTAAAAGTTTATTGTTGTTGATGTTTGTCGTTGGTGCCGTGCTACAATTACGCTGAGCAATTGGTACTGCCTTGGGCACATCTTCTGATTGTCCAACGATCAACACTTGACCCTTTCCTTTGGCACCGCCATCATTCTTTGTCATTCGAAATATATTTCGCACAATACTACTCTTTATTTCACTTTTCGCTGGTTTGTTCACTTTTTTATTATTTTTAATACTCTCTTCACTTTCGCCCGACGATGAGTAATGCGAATGATTTTCTTTTGGTACATTTCGTTTTCGGCGTTTTGCCTGGAAATTAAAAGAGTTGATTTGTTAGATTGAATCGAATAGATTTTCATTAAGTCACGAAAATATAAAAAGAAAGAATATGTATTTTACCTTTGATTCTTGTTCTTCTTCTTCATCATCATCGTCATCATCGTCATCTTCTTCACTCGAGCTCGCCACTTTTTTAAGAACCGTTGATTTACCACGAGGAGATATTGAATTTCTTAATTGAATGGGAGATAAAAGTCTTTCGGACCCATGGCGTATGGGATTTTCTTTGGTGGCCGGTGATGCAATTTTGTTGACGGTTTTCTTGCGGTCAGTCTCTTCATCACTTGAGGATGGATCAGTTGATACAATCGGACGACTTTTTATATTTGCACTTTGTTTCTTAGTTTTCGCACGAGCATTGCTCTGTGCACGTTTTGCATTTGCTGCCGTTTCTTTTTTTGGTGTTGTTCGGAGTGTTGGTGACATTATTTTCGATTCAATCGCACTAAAAGAATTAAACAAAATTTATGTTAGTTTTTTGATCGGCAAAATCAGAATTCTAACACTGTGTTACCTCTTTTGCTGTACATTCTCTGAGGTGGTTGGTGTTGTTGGATTTTTTCTTGGTCGGCCACGATTTCGCTTCACTTCAGTTGACTTTGATCGACTTCTTCTCGTTTTTGTACCCGTACTTTTCCCATTTTCATTGTCGCTACTTTCACTTAGCGTTGACTTTTCCGCAACGGTTTGTCGTTTTTGCCGTGTTTGTGGTTTTTTCTTATTTAAAGCTTTCTCAACTTTTTCATCATCTAGAATCAAATACAGTCAACATTTAATAAGAGTTCTGCGAAAAATGTCTACACTTTCATCAGATTTTATATCGAATGATTTGATAAATCAACAAATCATTCAAAAAAACATGATTTGAGATGATGCATTCAAATAAATTGATTTGATTGACTTACCCATTGGTTCTTGTTTGATTTGTTCATTGGTAAAGCACTTTGGTGATATAAATGACTTCTTTTTAGCTGATTCAGCGGCATTCAAATTATTCGATAAGTCTCCTGTCACTTCCGTTTTAACTTGAGGCACTATATGCGATGGTTGTTTCTCGATTGGTTTTGGATCTGGTTTTGGATCTGGTTTTGCAAAATTTGCCAAGCTCCATTTGTCTCTTTCAGTATCTGGTTCATTTTTCGAACCATCATCATCACTTGACGAATCCATTGAACTAGATCCTTCGGAACCACTCTCTGTTGAATTGTCATCATTAGCATTCCTAGTTAAAAGAATAAAGTGATATTAAAATGATATAAGCATTTAAAAATGTCAACATTATCATAATGATCAAAAAATGTGTATCTTACGTTTTATTTGGCTGTTGTTTGCTTTCAATATTTTCGCCTTCATTGTCATCGCTTTCTGATAAATCCAAATCGTGTTCAAGTTCCCTGTTTGCAACAAAAGAATCATTTTGATCAATTGGTATATATAAAAAACATGTTCTCTTTCGATAATTTCGAATGTCATGTACTCACGTTGATTTGTTGGGAATTCCATCGTGCTCTGGAAGTGAATCAATCGACTTTAAATGTGTTTTGTTCTCATCTATGTCAGCTATTGGTGTCATAAGTGATGATGATGGCATTGGATTCAACGGAGCCAATGGTGCCAATGGAGCTAATGGAGTTAATGGTGCCAAAGGTGCCAACGGTGCCAATGGAGCCATTGGCGATGTCAACGGAGCAAGTGGTGCTAACGGAGCTAAAAAAATAAAATTATCAATTTTATATAGTATAAAATAAGATGATAGTGTGAACTAAGCAAAAAAAAATGAATTCAGTCATTAATAACATGTGATGAACTTACTTGATGAACTATTGTGTAAGGAATGGAAAAAAGGCGGTATGTTTGCATAAACATGAGACTTATTTGGTTGCTGTACTTCAATTTCAGTTCTTGGTGTAGCAGCAATTTCGGTCAATGGTTCCATTTTTGGATTCTTCATAATCTTCAATATATTGTGAACATCCATTTCGATGCCACCTTCTGTCGGCGTTGACGGTGTTTCAATGCGATTTGAAACGGATCTCGTTTTTAAATGCGCTTGGTCATGATTCATGGGAACTTTGAATGGTTTTGCAAAGGTGGGCGCTTGGAATCCTTTATCAAAGAGATCCGCATTCTTCTCGTTACAATCTTGAATCTTATCATTTATTCGGTCCATTTGTGTGTGATGTCGTCCATTTGGCATTCCTAAATTGCTCGGCATTTGTGAAGAATATTTGTAATTTGACCTTATTCCGTTTGGTAATTGTGATGGTTTCGCTTGTTGTTGAGGCATTGCAGCTTGTTGTTGCTGAGGAGAATTCGATAATCCATTCATATGTTGTTTCACCTGAAAGTATACAAATTGTTTAGTACATTTAAAGAACGATTTAAAGTCAAATGTTAAATGCTGCTTTTATCACAATTCAAAATCACCAATCGTGATTTGAGTTTTTTCTATTTTTCCCGAATGAACTATTTCTTTAAAAAATGTTTCCCGCTTTTTTTCCAAGAAAGTTTTTTGTCAACATTTTATTTCATCGAAAATATTAATTGAAACAAAAGTGAGAAGGGTGTTGATAAAGAATACAAGACTGAACGAGCACTTTAGTAAAAGTTTTGCCTTGTCGCCACCCATGAAAATTGTTTGTGAAATTTTGTGCTTACCTGTTTAACACTGTTACGATTTTGTGATGGTGGAATTTGTGGTTGAAGCTGTGACTGAGATTTTGGCTGATTTAGGACCGGTGGTGCTTGCGGTGGAAAAGAAGGCTGCTGTGAACGATGAATTTGTGATGAGCTAACACCAACCAATAGCATATTATCGCCATCAATAAGATGTTTCACACTTTGGAAATCACCCAATTTCGATTGTATTTGTCGCTCCTTCTCCGTTGGACTGGTTCTCTGTAAAATCAAAATATAAATCATTATATAAAATTAAAATTTTCTTTGGTTTAGATGGTCCGATTGGAAAACTTACACGAAAACAAGGTGCTTGAAATAAGCACGACGGCATCACTGGTTCAGGCTCTGGATTTTGTGTTAACGACATTTTCGCACGTTCACGTTTGTCCCTTTCACGTCTTTCCTTTCGTTCGGCTTCTTCCATTCTACTAAAATACACAACAAAAAAAAAAACACATTTAACAACAATTCAATCCACAACAATAGAAAAAAGGGAAGAATATTAAATATTCAAAGATTTTTTTAAATTTTAAATTAATAGAGAATTATTGATTTTCACAGTAAAAATGCATTTAATTTTTTAACACAACTTAAAGTCGGTAAAAAATGCACGTGTTTAAATTGTGTGGGAATTAAAAATATACTTTTAATAATTTGGTTAAAAAAAACAATTCTTACAATTTAATCATTTTTGCTAACTGTTGCTGTTCTTGAATCTTTCGTTAAGAATATTTTCAATAAAATGTGTGGTTTCACAACTGTAAAAGTCATATATATATAATATATTCGGCCAAACTAATTAAGGCAATGACAGTAAGTACTAATTACTAATGACTACCACCACAAATGAGACACAAAATGTCAAAAATTCAATTGAGTTGTAGGCTAGGATATGATGTTTAGGCTATTCTTCTCCCCTTATTATTTTTATTAATTATTAATGAGTTTATGGGCTTACCTGATCCTTTTTAGATCATCATTGTTGCCAGTGGAATACATGTTTTTTCCACAATTTAAAGTATTGCCACATTCGGAAGTGCTGTGCTAATCGTTCGCTGTTTTTAGATTGAATAATTTCACTTTTTATTAATGGTAAAATGCGTGCACCTTTTGATATTGTTTTTTTCTTTCTCTCGCTCTCTCTCGCTCTTCCCCTCTTGTTAATAAATAGATTTATTGTAATTGGTAATGATTTAGTTGATTTGCTTATTTTACTTGTTGATTAATGTTAACCAAATTTATGTAAAAACACGGTAAGCAAAATGATACAAATTGTAAAAATAATATTGCAAAAACAATATTGCATGAATATTAAGTTTCTTTTTTTGTTGATCTTGGATTTTAAAGTGTTCGTTTAGTTTTGTTTATTACGTTTTTATTATAATATGTGAGTCTGTTTTGGTTTTTGAAACTAACAATTCACTCATAATCACCATTTTGTAATAATAATATTTTTTTTTGTGTAAAACACATGTGTGTCGTGGAATTTTTTTTTTACAAATGTAGTTTAGATTTTTTCCCACGCATATTTGATCAGTCTAGAATTAAGTTGAAAATTGATTTCACTGCTTAAACACAATTGTCGCACATATCAAAAATGCTATCTTGCACCAAATCGAATATTTAGCCCCATCATTGGAACTTATATAGAGATATATTTTTGTTGCGGAGTTTTGAGATTGTTGCTCAAACAAGCTTCATTTATTTCCATGTTCCATTATTGTTTTTATGTCCATGCTCTCACTTTGTATCATTGTTCACATAACAAAATATTCGACGTTACATCGTTGGTTTTTATTGTGCATCATCTTCGGTGTAGTTCGGATTGAAGAGATTTTTAAATGTTTATCCAGGTTTCATTCTGAATAAGTGGATCTGAAAGTATTGTAAATATTTTCAATTATTTGAGCATTCAAGAAATTCATATACGTATATAAATTTACTACAAAACGTGTTGTGAAGAAATATCAGAGAAATGACAAAGAAATGAAATAATAGAATAATCAAAAATTACAAATTCACAGTCGATATTTGAGATGAAAAAAAAAAAATTGGAATATGTCCTTTCCAACAAAAAAGAAATGATATAAAACAATCAACATTCAAGAGCGCACAAAATCAACCGCACCAGTTATACTCTCTTTTACTCTCTCAGTATACATCCATTTATCTCATTCTCTCACTGTCACAACTGTTTTGTCAAATGTATATACTATATACATAATCGCGCCAACTAAACCCATACACACGTACGTAGACGAAAAATGCAGCTAAACGAACATAGACACACACACATACACACAGCAACACATTTACACACGAACAGTCTGTTTGTTGTTTGGAGTGCAGTGTTGAAAAATCACTTGCAAAACCTCTTGATATTTTTCACATATAGATTATTAATTGTATATATATAAATATTAGCAATGCTACAATGCTATACGATTTTACGTACGATGCTAAGCTAAGCGTAAACGTTCGTTGTTGTAATGGATGGTTGTTATGTTTGTGTTCTCGGATCTATTTCGGTTGAACAAGAGAGACGACGAGGTAGAGCGAGAGAAAGAGACACAACGGGAGACAGAGAGAGAGAGAGAAACTGAGATAGAGATAGAGATAGAGAGAAGGGAGCGTAATGGAAATTACTATAAAACGACGGATGTTCTCAGCATTCGGTAATATATAACATACTATTACCTTATGAAAATCAAAATGATACGTGTTCATCGAGGAGACAAACAACCGCCACTGAATGAACAGAGAGAAATGAAATGAACGAGTCAAACTTTCGACCAAAGTGAAACTACTGAAATAAATTAAAATACAATAATGCTTGATAGCTGAGCTTGTGTGAATGGAATAGATATTTGATGATCTCTATATATATGATTCTATCGCTGTATTCGTATATATCTATATACGTATATATGTTTGAACAGTTGCTCCACAGCTTTGCATTCATATTGAACTCGGTTGTATGCGATGACTAAAATAATTCCTATCTATGTTGTTTTGACAAAAAAAAAAATTATTTCAACAGACTTTTGCTTGGATACATAAACAATAATTCTTATTTTTAATTGACAAATGTCGACGAGAAACCTCACAAAAAATATATCCCATTCTGTGCAATTTAAAACATTGATCACGTCGCTTTGATAACATGATTATTTTTTCTATATTCTTTGATGCAAATAAATGGCCAACTATATGGCTTTCTCGATTGATCTTTTACTTTAATTTGACATTTAAGTCGAAGCTACTACATGCAATGAGTTGCTGCGCCACTTTGTACTTTTAGTATCAAAATGATTTCGTAATCATTGTGATTGTGCACTTACGAGATTGCCACAATGTATGATGGATTTTTGTATATACGTACATCGTTTCAATTTGTCTATATATATCAATTTCTTTTTATTTATATGTATCACCCAAACTACGATTCTTTCTCGGAAATTTCACATTATTCAAAAGAAATTGGCATCAACTATTTCGCATCCAAATGCCGCTACCACATTTCACAAGCCTATGAATGTTTTTATTTTTTGGTTATTACAGAGATGAGGCTTTGTTTTTACAAATTTGAAACACTTTGAAATGTAAAAATATAACCAATCACATTATTATTTTGTTTGGCAAACTTGTTGTTCGATATGTAGTTTCAACAAGTGAATTTTACAAATGGAATGAAAATGATATTTGTCTCACATTTCTAATCGTAACTTTTATGAGAGCGAAAAAAATACACAGACATACTTCCATGCTCAATTTCGATTATTGTTTTCTTCACATTTCGTCTTTATTGTAATTAAATTGGAATTGAACGTCGCTCCATCAAGTTAATTGTTAAAATTTTCGTTCACAATTAATCGCATTCGAATAATTCGATTCACATTTTTCCACTCGGCATGTAAAATTGTACATGGCGTTCATTTCTCGAAATTATTTTCAATTGAAAATCCGAATATTCGGTGATAAATATCAAATTAACCACATCTGGATAGTATAGAATCGATATCAACTCTTTATATCTCTCTCTCTATCACCCATGTTCGAATCAAAATGAGATTTTTTATCGGCTAATAAAACCATATTTTGAACAAAAAAAGGCAATAATTATCACAAAAACTTGTACATTGGCTTACATTAAATTTTCGTAAAAGATTACGTTGCCGATTTGATGAGCCAAATCCAAGGAACATTGATTGGGAGACTCATTGGTAATTTCCCATATTCACATGAATATTCACCGAAATTTGAATTAAACACACTTATTAAATGCAAATGATTACAGACACACATCGAATATTTCGATTAAAATTATGTTCATGAACCAAGTCTACATCCGAACACATAAAAATATATATATAGATATATATATTCACTTGAAAATTTTCTTGTTATTCATATTCAATCTTTTGCATATTGGAGTGACACTCAGCACAGTGAATATATATATTCACATTTCGTTTACTTGAAATTGTTTATGGTTTTGTTTATTATTGAATAAATTTTGGTTTTATTATTGAGAAAGAACGTTTGCAAGAAATTTGTTTAAAATTGAATTGATTTTCTACAAAAATTAAAAAAAATATTTGAGCTATGCAAAATGTACATCACACAAAGTTCGCCATTTTCTTTTCAACATACACACTCTGAGAGTATCAAGAGAAAAAAAAATATACTTATTCGTACAATACTATATTTTTTTTTTCTGTTCATTTCTGTTGTCGTGTGTTGCTTTTCCTCCATGTACGTACCGTTTGTGCATGTAGTAGAAAGAGTGAAATAGAGAGCGACTGTACTAGACGCACGTATACACAAGTAACTTGTTATGCTTGCTTATTCACTCTTGCGCACTCGCGCCATCTTTGTATAACAATGTCTCACAAAATTCCGTTTTATTTTGTTATTATTTTTATTTCGGACGATGTCTTGACAGAGAGTTCATCTATCGATGTATTGGTTGTAGCGCCGATGAAACCGTTTTATTCTCATCGTTTAATTCATGCTTTCTTACATAGTAATTATCGGGCCTATTGTCTTTCAATTTATTTGTAAAAAAAACATTACCCATTGATTTATTGATGTGTTCACATGATGCGTGGCGACCGTTGAAACTTTGCTGACACGGCCGAAACTCAAAACATCTTTGTATTTCTTTATGACCAGAATTATGAAAAAAATGTCGTATTTTATTTACGAGATTCTGAAATGAGCGAAATTCATATGATTTTTGACGCAACGAATAAAAATACATGGTTCAGGATTATTTTTCTCTTTATTACTTCTATTTGATATAATTTTCATCTTTTCATAAAATAAAGAAATCATTACACACCGAAAATGGAACTTAATATTTATTTCTTTTCTAATATTTTTAAAGCAAATGTGAAAAATACTTCCACCTTCGAATTTATTCTTTTTACTAAGAACTTGTTATGATTTAACTTTCTAGATTAGACGAACGAAGTTTGTTTTTATTGTTTAATGCAAATTTATAGAGAAAAAACTATAGCAAAGAGCCGTATTGAATGCATTTGAAGTCTTATTTTTTGCAATTGAATACAAATTAATGAACAAAGAGTTTATTTTTACTTTCAAAATATGTAACCGTCTGAATTTTCTTCGTAAATTTACTAAAATGTTCAATCTACTCTTGTTATTTTTAAAAAAAAGAAGAAAAAATGCATTTGAACTTCAAAATGTTTGTGTAACGAATGTATATATCATAATCCCATTTCAATTATTGTCGATTGAAATAAGTTCATCATCGTTTCCACATAAGGTGAAAAATACTCCGAATCCTAACAATAATTTGTGTGGCGTAACATAGTTTGGTGATTTACACAAATTGAAAAATGGCTCTTATTTAATTTTCGTTTGGTTTAAGACAAAAGTATACGAAGCTGGTCGCTAAAATGTGTGGAGATGAAACGTGTCAGTTCTAATCATTAGAATTTGTCTAAAAATTAATGTTGGTGAAATCGTGTTTTGTTGGTTGATTTTTTGTTTCTTCATTTAGTTGGTCGAATGTTGTTTTTCTTCAAATCTATGTCTAAAACTTTGACTTCAAGTAAATTGCAGATGAGTCGTGCTCCGAGTAACCAGTCCGTTTGGCTTGCTTATAGATTTCGTTGATGGTCGCTGTGATTGGGAGTGGATGTTCGAGCGATTCGGACATACCTAAGGCGAGTCGAAGATCCTTTTGCATGTGTGATAGTGGCTGATGAGTTGGAAATTCACCCTTAACCATAACTGAAACCGAACCGTAAACAATTAAATAAATATTGAATGACATCATTTTGATGCTACTTTGGATGCTTCTTTTCATTGATTTTTCAGTTTTATTTGGTGACACTTTCTAAATACAAAATCTTAAATTGTGCATTTAAAACCAAAAGAGATGGAGTTTTTGTGTGTAGATTTTTGTTGAGACGATGTGTGTGTGTATGCGTGTGTGTGTGTGTGTGTGTTGTCATAATAATCTCCGTCATAATTTCATACGTTTGAAAATATAGTTTTGTTTTTGTTTGTTTTTAGTACATATGCGATTTGGTTGTACATATGCGGATTACGACAGAGGCTGGCTGTTTGTTAAAATTTCGATCGTATGTATACGGAGCTTGAGTCGTGCTCAGCATATCCCAAGCGTTTTGCATGTTTGTAAATCTCATTTGTTGTTGCCGTTATTGGAATTGGGTGATCACACATTTCAGACATGGCTATTGCTAAGCGAAGGTCTTTTTGAATGTGGCCTAACGGTTGCTTGGTCGCAAAATCACCGTTTATCATTGCTATTTAAACATTTGTAGCGCGCAAAAAAAGAGATATGCAAAAGTGATAGAGAAACATGTATTAGACATTTGGATTTTGTCAGGCAAAACATGACTAGAGAACAACAAATGAAATTCAAAAATAACAACTAAGAAAATTGATACCAAATGATAAAAAAATCGAAATTTTTAAGGAATTATATTCGTCTATCGATAGAAACAAAGATGCTATAAACACAACAAAGCCAACAAAAAATCAATTGAAAAGAAGCAATTAAACAAATCGTATAAAAAAGTCTATTTTACAAATTGCAACAATGTTACATACCATTTCCTTTCTCAAGCATCAAATTTGACGAAATATTCGTAAGCTCCAGTACCTCGAGGACGTCTTTTTGCTGCAAACCAGCTTTGCTTGCTGTTTATTCAATGAAAAATTTGCAAAAATTAATAAGATGCCAATGAATTAGCGAAAATTGGTTTAAAAAAAATTCGGTTGTGTAAATACTGACCCAAAGATAATGCTTCAGCAACGGCTGCGATTGACACACCAGCTAACATTTGTAAAATAAGATTCATCTTTGATGCATTACCAACATCGCCCAAATAGAATGAATTTTTGCCCATTGCCTCGAAACAAGTCTGACACTCCTCGAACAGTGTTTGTTCACCAGCCGCCAAAATGATCAATGTACCTTCTTCTGCTTGATTCTTTGACCCTTGAATCTATACATAAAACAAACAATATTACAATCAGTGAACAATGTTCAACATTGGAATCAGTCCAACGGTCAATTGGTTTCAACCTACCTGTGCTTCCAAGTAACGGCCACCTTTTTGAATGATACTTGTTGCAATATCTTGTGAGGTCTCTGCGTCTATGCTAGTCATTTCAACATAGCCTTTGCCATCAACCATTGAATTTGACGATAAAACACCGCAATTTCCGAACACCATCTATGTCAATTTGGAATATGAAATTTTAATAATTTTTGTCGAAAAAATCATGTGTAAATTGTCTTACCTCTTTGGCAACCCATGGATCTGATACACAAGAGAATGTAATGTCCACGTTATCAACAACGTCACATGGTGTTGGCATGATTTCAGCGCCAGCTTCTTCAAATTTACGACATTTTTCAAGTGTACGATTCCAAACGACGACCTTGTGCCCTGAGTTCAACAAGTTCTTAACAATACCACCGCCCATGATGCCCAAACCAAGGAAACCAAACCGCAACGGAGACGGATTAATGTTTTTCGATTTTAGTGTTTCTGATACGGCTTGCATATTGATTTCTGGTGGATCCTGTCAATTTTAATCGAATACCGATAAGTAACAAAACACCGAATGTCACTTTGATAAAAAAAAAATATAAACGTTTCAACTTACGGGACGTTGCACCTGCACCTGCGGTCGGTTCAAAAGTTGATTTACAGCATCGTTGCGGCGGGGTGTTGTTGAAAAGCTAAGATCATGGTCACCATCATAATTGCGATCACCCAAAGTGTGTCGGCTGCGTTTTGGAGCCGGTGCCAATTCATTCTCATCTTGAAGTTTATTTTTGACTACAGTCAATCGTGCTTTTGCTGGCTTCTCCGTTTTTTCCTACACACAAAACAAATCATGTTCATCACCACCGATTGCTTAAGATTCTTTGACAAATGTTTTACTTACTATCTTTTTCTTGATTGGTTTCGGTGATGGTTCAGCAACGGCCGCTGCAACAGCAGCAGCAACTAATTCACCTCGATCGTTTTCTTCGTGGTTTGCTTCCTCCAACTTAATCTTATCGAAAACACTTTCAGTTGTGTCATTGTTCACATCTTCATGTACAACAGCTGGTTCGGCATTGCAACGGAATTTCTGTGTGATAAAAACGAAACATATTGTTGAAACTGACGAAAAACTGATGAAGATAAGCGAAATCAAATCTATCATTACCACTGGATCCGAGATATATTCTTCGATTTTTTGGACCGCCTCTTTGAACGCTGCCGTTTTGCTCGACTTTATCAACTGCTCCTTGAATTCGAGATAATTCTTTATGTTGTTCTCTTCAATCCATGCGCTACAAATAATATAACGGTTTGATATACATTTTTGGCAAAACATTTTTGACATTTCTTCAGAATATAATCAATATACTCACTAATTGCATGTGCCAAAGAAGAAAATGCAACGCACTGGTCCTTTGGATTTCTTTGGTTTTTGGCCTAATTCTGGAGGCGGGTAGCAGATCTACGATTTTAAAGTTACATTTAAATACACACTCTTTGTATTTCTAAATCAATTGAAATATGTGGCAAATGAATACTTACACGTCCTGGCCACGGCGAAAAGCCCTTCATTTTGGCCCTAAAATAAGAAACAATACGATTTATTCTCTATTTGTTCGATAATAATGTTCTTGTTTAAAACGTTGTTCGTTTGTTTATTATTTCATTTGTTTGAAAAGATTTCGAATGTTGGACTCAATCAAAAGCAAAAAGATAACGATGTAAATAAAGAATGCTATTTTATATAGATGTCGTTCATTAGTACATTATAAACTATTGTTTTTCTTTCTGGCAACCATCACAATTAATAGCCGAATGACACGAAACACCCACAAAATGCTTTTATAGTTAAAAAATGTATGATTCGAGCGCGAAGAGTATCCAAAGAAAGCCAACGCAATTCGGATAAAAAAGGTGTTTGTTGTAAAGTGTGAAAGTGACTTGAAGTATAAAACGCGGAATATGTAAGTTAGGTTAGAAAAACAATAACAATATCTCTTCGTTTGAACTAAACGATTTAAATGTGTTTCGACTGACTTAATGAGATAATTTCATAATATTGGTCGCATTGTATCGATTATACAGTTCAAACTACTCTTGTAATTCATATTTTCTCCGTAAATCACCGAAAATATTGTCGATTTACAAATAGAATGATTTTTTCCGCCATTTTCATTATACACATTGGTTACATGCTACATTTGTCCGTAATTAAACACAACATTTCTGGTCAAACTTCATGGGCTGGATATCAAATTTGTATACAATTTTTTCGCGCTCAAATTAATAAATGCAATAAATAAACTCACCAAACCAAATCTTCCATATTCTATTCGGCACGTATTTTATTGTCAGTGCGCAAAATGTTTCGTCGTATGAACTTTTCACCGTCGGCTTCTCGGCACTTTCTCAATTTTGATCAACAAACGAAATTAATCACGTATTTTTTTGATTTTTTTTGCGTTAAATTCTAAAACGGGAACTAACAATTCGAAGAAAAAAACACCAACCGAGTGTAAATAGAATATGCACGAAAAAAACACACAATTATTTTGTGTGTTGTATATGCGATTTCTTATGCTTCACCTACAAGACTGACGCTCAACACAAATTTGTAGAGGCAAGAAATGGCGGTCGCATTTTGTACTGCATTTGTCAAGACAGTGTTGCCAACATGAAATTCATGAATGCCACGATATCGCTTGCCTTTCATCACACCGCCTATTAGGTGATAGACTCATTTGAATTTATTCAGTTAAAAATGGGAAAATTGAAAATTATTTTGAAATTTGGAAATTCGACCAATTTTTTATCATACATTTTTGCAATGTATTTATGATTTTCAATGAAAAGATGAGCTGCTTCTGGAATATAATTTTTTTTCTCAATTTAATGCAATTTGTATGAACGTTCGAATATGTATTTCCAATAGGCCTTTTCGTTTGACACATATACGACGTTCAGTTCAAATGAACATTTATATTGAATAGAGCAACGGACAAGTTGCTTCGTTTTGTGAACAAAAAAAATTGTTTCTTAACCATCAAAAGTACATTTTGTTTTTAGTGAAATTGGTATATGTTTTTGTAGAAAGGTAAATTGAGAATCGGCAGATTTCTCTCACAATTTTATGATTTAATTGATTAAACTTGTGTTTTTAATTATTTCTTGTTTGTTTGTTTCTTTGACAGTCCAACAAAAAAAAACCATTGAAGATGAATGCGAGCGAACATTCGATTTTGTTCAAATCAAAGTCTGGTCGTCATATTGGTATTTCCAGCAATCAAAATCAAGACAGAAAAGCAACGAGTCAATATCGATCTGATAAACGGCATGCAGCATATTCCAGAAATAGAATTATTGAATCGACACCAGGTAAACCATTTGATGCCGTACCGTTGGCCGATGACAATGGAAATGAGCACTCAAATGAACCGAAACTCAGTGTTGTGCCGCCAAGCGATAAAGATAGTATTAGTCGTAAAAAAGCATATCGCGACAAATTCAAGGAATATCTTGAGAAAAAAGCCAACGAAAAGAGAGCAAAAGCCAAATCGAAGCCATTCTTATGCGCCGTAGCAAGTGGTCGTTTTGTGGCAGTTAATAATGAGAAAAATAAAAGTGAAACAAAACAAAAAAATGTTGCAAAAGAGCCAGAGTCAATTATTCCACAATGTTTTACACCACGATATTCGCCGATTAATACGCGATCGAAAAAGTTAGCTCTTTTGTCGCCGAAAGATCAAACGCCAAAGCGTAAAAGTCGAAATGCGAAAAGCAGTGAAAAATTACCGAAATTTGAAATGAAACGTAGAGTACCGATTACTACAAAGTTTAAAACAACCAATTCAATCAAAAAGACTGTAGCTACGGTCTCAAGTAGTTCCACGAAAAAGACTATAACTGCGGCACCAACTATTGCAATTAAAAAGACTGTAAGCTCGGCACCAACTATTGCAATTAAAAAGACTACTGTCAAAGTAAGCTCGGCACCAGCAAAGGCACAAATTAAAAAGTTTGATGCGCCCACCACAACTCAAGGATTGCCAAATGTCAAACCAACTGAGCCATTGAATCAACGATTTCTGAACATGAAAAAAGTGGCCGCCGCAAAATCGAGCCACGGAAAGATTGGTGCGGTGCATAAGTTTATCAAGCCAAATGTGAATACAAAGTCTACGGATTCCGAATCGAGTGTCAACAACAATTGGATGACATCAACTGTCGTCAAACTAAAGCATAAGCCACAAACCGCTGTGTCGAAGAAAAAATTGAACATATTCAATGACAGTATCAGCCCAATTGAAGACGTACTAGTCGATTCCAAAGTGGACCTGGTGAAACCACTCACGCCAAAACAAGTTCGAAAACTCAAATCCGAAACACCGGTCGTTGGAAAAAAGGTTTCACCATTTGTAAGTCCATTTGTTGTCATAAAAAAAGGTGTCAATATACAAACGACACCAGTGAATGCTCAAAAATCCGATGAATTGTGCGTGACGCCGAAAAGTTCACACGATGCAGCCCCGGCAGTTACGAACTATGTCAGTCCTTATGTGACAATCGGACGTGGTCGTTATTCAAGCGGTCGTAAAGAAAAAGAAGCAAGAGAGAAAAAATATACGCTTGAATCTCGTAAGTCATTGGATTTGAATCAATCAGTAGAAGAACGTCAAAACAAAGAAGCAGCTTTATATTTCCATCAGCAAGTGGCAAAAGAAACAGATCATTTTAGAGAATTAATCACGGAATGGCAAGAATATTCAAAAGAACATCCGATTCCCAGTGAATATAAAGACTTGGTGGACGTAGCTGTTGGCCAAACACAACTACTCATTACAAACAAATTCAAGCAATTCTCTAATTTAATTAGATCGTGTGAAAATAATGACGGCGACAAGCCAATCAAACCAGAGGATTTGGAGGGTTTTTGGTCGATGATGTACATTCAAGTGGAGCAGCTTAATCAGCGTTTCGAACGTTTGAAAATGTTAAAGGAGAATAATTGGGAAGATCCAGCAATTAATGTATCGAAACAGAAGAAAATTCGGCCGGATAATGCAATGGTAGCGAAATTTAAGCCGGCCAAAAAGCGTGTGAACAGTGCACTTGCTGCAATGCTGAAAGAGGCGCGAAAAAAATACAACGAATCCAAAGAGAACAAAGAAATGAGCAATCAAATAAATGATGTTGTGTTTATGAAAAAACGGTTGTCATCAGCCAAATCGACACCGCAAAAGACTCCATGGATTGTAAGTGCTTGAAAACAATTGCAATTACGTTCACAGTGGAATTAAATACTCTTGTTCGTTTCAGGTCGAGGATTGTGTTGTCAATCAGGTCCAAACACCAGCACGATCAATTCTGAAAACGCCTGGTTCCATTCGAAAGAAGCGAATGACGCTCACATTCAAGAGAAGTCCGCAAGTCAAAGTTTTCGAAAAGGAAGATGGAAGCATCCCAAGCTCTTTCGAATTGCATGAGAATGAATAACAGCAGTTTTTGTTGTCATAAATGTTATATTTAAGCAATTATTTGCAAAGCATTAGAGATTATTTTGATATTATATCATTTCATCAGTCGTTCGACTACCTTATTAGATTTAAACATAACTGCACTTAAGTCATAAATTCAAAAAAGAAATCATCGTCGTCATTTGTTTAAATATGAATTCGTAATTTAATTGCATCGCAATCAAAAGACTGAAACCAACAGCTTTTAGTAGATTAGCAAATATATGTTATCAGATAAATAACGACTATTGACTTTATTTGAAATTTTATTTTGACAGAAGCAAGAATTGCTAGCAACAAAGGTAAAAAAAGTAGAAAAAATCGGATATAAAATATCATTTCGACTGTTCTTTATCTTTGTCAGTTGTTGAATAGTCTGAATAGTTGTAATTCACGTACGTTTTTTCAGCATCACATTATTCCCAAACACCGTTACGTAAGTATTTTAAACACATTGACGACCTCTGGATCTACCGTCAGTCTCTGATATTATTTTCCTCGTGTATACACAGTAAATAGAGCAAAACCCTAACTCTGAGTTCAGCATAGGAACATGTTTGAAATAATTGAAAAAGACCTTAGACGATATTATTCAATTCGCAGTTCATTTAATGAGGTATAGAAAATATTACTCTGAAAAATACACATGTCAAAACTCTGAAGTGCACGATAAACTTCAATTTGTGGTATTCAGAATTTCTGATTTCACAAATACAAATTCAGTGAGAATCGCAGTTGGACAACACTATTTCACAATCAGTCGATGACTTTGAGTTTTGACATCTGAAAAACTAAAGAGCACTGTTTGTAAAAAAAAAATCACATCTTCGCATCGCGATTCAGAATAATCAAGAGCAAATGTTCTATTCAATTCCATATACCGCTATGGATACTGTGAATTGAAATCATTTTCCATTTCATTATATTTGTGAATTGTGTTGGAAATGCAAGCATATTTAAATTAAACATATGCATTATTAATTATATGAAACTAATTTATTCGTTCACAATTTCCATATCAAACTCCAAAAACACCCGAAAATTCCAGAAACGAAGATAATTTGAATGTCAATACGAACTCACGGAGAGAGAAAAAATGCGATACCAAATTATGTGCATACATTTTGAAAACTTTCTTAATTTGCTCCAACAACTGAATTTATTCAACCACAATACTTAAAATTCCTTAAAACATGTGTGATTTTGTATCGCATTGTCTTGCGTTTTCTTGATATCTTGTCGTACTTGTTTTTTTTTTAATTTGTTGCATGTGCTTGAAATCACCAACAAAACGCAAAACAATTAATATGGTACATGAAGGAGCATTCGTACATTATTCGTGTAATTCAATTGAATAAAGTATTTGTTTAACAAATTCACCTTAATAAATTGGTTTACCCTCTTCTGAATCGGGCTGTTATAATATGGCATGTTCTTGACGTTTTCAAAATGCTTACCGATTACAACATTTTCACATGTGTGTGTGGCCGTGTGACAGCGGGGGAAATATAAAATAAATGCTATTTTGTCATGTAGAAAAATATTTGAAATAATTTTGTGAATGGCATGATAAGAAAGGTGTTTTTGTAGCAGCGATTTATGTCATCAAGCATAAAATTGACATTGGTTCCACAAAACACAAAAAGCACATATCCATACGATGGATTTATGTATGCATATAGGAAAATTGAAAGTCAAAACATTTTGAAGTGTTTGCTGCAAATTGAAGATATAGCAAAACTTATTCAATTAAAATAACCAACTTTGAGCTTAAAATGCAAATCGAAATTGGAAGGTGGGTGTGTGTGTGTTTTTTCGCTTCATAAAACTAGACTCGGGGTGATGTCAATACTATTATGTTCATTCGAAAACTATTCAGCTTAACATGGGATTCAACAATTTTGAATTTATTTGAACAACTTGCACTTCTTTTCCAACATATAGTGCACGTAGGCCAGAAAATTCTAAAGAATAAAATGCAGATTTGATTTAAATCCGATCAAGTTGCAAATAATAAAACAAATGAAAATCTGATTTTAGAATAAATTCTTGTGTTTGTTTCGTATAAAGTACAGACTAAACCATGTTCTGTGTCTCTTTTTTATGAAGAATGTAAAATAAAATCACACGAATTCAACACAGAGTTGATATAGACAAGCTCCAATAAAAAATAAATAAATTCAGGGATGATTTTTTTTTTCGATTTCTGTCTACTTCAGAACTTTCGACGGACTATTTTTGGCTATCAAGTCATTTTTTGTAATATTCGGTCAGTGCACTTATACAGTCAATATTATGTAAATTGTCGTCATAAACAGAGGTCGCAAGCGAATGAAAAAAATTGGTTCTATATTCGACCAAATAATATAAGTCTATGCTCGAACCTGAACCAAAATCAAAAGAATTCCCTGGTACTCGAAAAACATGGATCACTAAACAGGACACTCGAACTCGAAAATTAATGTTTGAGTAAATACTATTTGTTTACCGCTCTACTCGGATTTTTTTCGGGACGAACCCGGGCGGTTGTCGTGATTCATAGCAAACGATTGAAACAATGGTGCAATATACTTAAATTGCAATGTTTAAATCTGTCTCGCAAAAGGTAGTTAGAATCATTATCATCATCATCAACGAATGATTTGACGATTCAATACGTCGTAGATACCGATTAAAAGTTACCTGTATGTGAGTTACCATATGAGGAATGACTTTGAATGAAGTAAAAAAAAAAACGAATTTTCTCTTCGGTTCAGATATGCGAAGTAAAAAGAGCTTTTTCAGAATGATCGAACCGAGTTTCCAGCCTGAATATATCCTGGAAAGTTGGAAAATTCCAAAAAGCATGCGCTTGAATGGGGAATATTCGGTTTCATATCTCAACAAAATTTCTCTTGTTATTCATTGAAATGTGAGTATATGCGGTTTTGCCGCACGAAACTCAACAAACTGTGCTTATTGACTGGAAAATGTGTCGTTTTATATCGAAATAACACCGACTATATCATCGATGCGACGTCATCGCCTGAGTATGGATGCTGTGCCGCTTTTGATTTCTTACGCAAAAGTTTGTTTGTATTTTTAGCGGCAGTCCCGTATGCGTATGCGTAACATTTTCTCATTCAAGAGTTAACATACAAATGCTTGTTTTCCGTTTTATGTGTATGCGATTCGTACCGAATTTTATACGAGTGAATCGCATGGATGAATTGCGAGAGTTGTCTTTTAAATTGTTTGCCGTTTCTATGCACTCCAGTTATTTACACAACGTTTACGAGAACGGTTCGTTTGTTCGTTTTGTCCATAACAATTGTTGTTTTCTATTTTGTGTGTTTCGATTTATGAATGGTACAATACAGTTGGTATTAAGTGAATTGCAAAATAAAAAAAAATAAACATTTGTGAGTCAATGCAGATAGTGCAAGTTTGGACATTTTAACAGTTCGAAAACTAATGCAGTGACATTAAAAGCGGTTAATTTATCTTGGACATTGCTTTAAGCACATTCAGTTGATTCTCTCGGTTTGAGACCAGTTTACATGGTGAAATGATTCGAAGAAGTGGAAAATTCAATTTATCAATTTAATAGCTATGTGGTAAGGATAACAAAAAATTGAGCCTTTTTATGAAATCGTTTTTTTGGGTTATTTTTCATATTATTAATGTCGTTTTTTCATTGAACAATGTTTATTAAATATTACAATAACAAATGAGCATGAACAAAAAAAATTAAATTTTACTTTAATGAACTGTTTGGTGACGATCTATATAAAATCTCTTTGGAAAAGTATGTTAAAGAAATGTTTCAATTACGTTAAATGGAGTCTTGATCGTTTTTTTAAACCATGTGAAACATGCGAAAAATATAAGAAAGTTTTATATACTCAACGCGAAATCCGTATTTTATCCAAACTCTGTATCCACGACCGTAAGGATAGAAAACACATGTTGTCTTCAAAAATGTAAGCAATGACGAATTGAAACTTTTAGCTGGTTAATATTTTAGTTGAATGTTCAAATAAACCATTTACGTTGTTTATAATGCCGATATCTCTATGGAGGCGAATCTCTATGGAAACGAAAAAGGAATTTTAGAAAAAAAGACGTGAAATTGTTCCCTATTTTACTTTTCAATGAAAAATTACAAAAAATAATCGGATTCACATTTGGTTTCATAGAAGAAAATAATCACTTCAGCAACAAAATATATTGTTGCTGACATTGTTATGTTCAGGACAATGACGTATTCGAAAAAAGGAGCTTTCGAATCAAAATTGTCCAAATCAAATTCGTTTCCTTCAATATGGGCTTAGTGACCACACAATAATATTATATAAAAGCTTCCTCCAACAATATGATGTAAAAAATCATACATTTATTGGAACTGTCTACCTATTATTATTCTGTAGGGGAGATATCGAATAAGAAAAAAACAGAGATATGAGTGTTAAACAGAGTGTTTGTATCAAATCGATGATTAAAAACTTCAAAAAGTGATGAAAATTCGTACAAACGATCTATTTCTCTATGTGTTTCATCTAGATCAAAATACTTATTAAGATCATGTTTCTTTTACATTACTTCTGTGAAGTAGTAATCATAAAACCATATGGATTTGTTTGGTAAATGTAGCGTGTGTGAACTGGTGCTATAGAAAGCATTCAGAACAAATGGAAGTGAATTTCTTTTGTACAAAATGCAATGAAGACATTCATTGAACAACAATCAGCCATAATCACTTTGCCAAACCCGTATTTTTCTGCCAAGAATGAGAAAGTCACACAGTGCCGAACTTGCACATTTGTCCAATCAAATAATAAATTTTTGATACGTAAAAAGTTTTAATTAGCCCATTTCGAGAAATAATTACTTTGATTGCAAAAACTATTTATTATCGCATTTTTGCTCGGTTCGTGTTTATTTTTTTTAGCAAAGAAACAGCTAGTATGAAAGTTGCAAGTTCGTCGAATCGATTGGATTAAGACAAAAGAAAGCATTCCCCACATCCAATGATTTCCGTTTTGAACATGGCACTAACATTTGAATACTGAATTAATGAATCTTTATTGCAGCATTTTAAAGACGAAATGTTTTTTCTCTAAGATCTTTATTCGTAATGCGTCGAGTGTTGAAAGTCTTTTGTTGTCAAGAATGCACAAATTCAGCATGAATGGAAGACTCAGGAATTAAATCCGCTTTCACAGCTTCTATTGATCCGTAAAAGTTTTGCTCTCAATCGATTTTGTTTATTCTTTAAGTGTTTGGAGCATTTTAGTTACATCACTACTTTGTGATGCTGTGACTACTCAAGTGTTAAGTTTGTATTTCATCTCTCATTTTTAGGAACACATTTCATGTAAAAATGTCTAATTCCAACGTTTTTCTACACGTATCATCACTCCAACGAAATATTATACCATCAGAACATTTAAACGATGTACAATTAAATAAAAAAAATGTTCGATACTTTTCAGATGTTTTGATCGAATCGATGGCACATTCTTTATTTCTTCATAATTTAATTATGATCCAATATATATACATGTGTCTAAGCCATAGTACATGACATCGACCAACTTTTGGTCGCTATATCAACAGCGAAACATGCAGAGAGTCTAACATTGTACGCTCTGTACTTTCTCAGCGACAAATATTTTGTCTTTTTTCGATATAGCTAAAGTTGCGAATTTATCGATCTTGTGTAAAAGTAGATAAGCATCATGTTTCTATGTCATATTTATCGCTTGGTCATCAAAATAATTATTCGCACTATTTCACAATTCTCTCAGAAACATTTCTGCGGCAATAACCATGTATAAGGACATTTCTAGAGACAGTTACTCTTATGTTGCAAACAGGCGATAATTTTTTATATATTTTGCATTTTAGTTCACAAGTTCATATGCGTAACGTAGAAAATGAATATCTGATATATGCTAAAAACATTGTAACATTCGAAAGAACTTCGTAAATGTAAGTCTTCCCAAAATGTACAAAATGTAAAAAAAAAATCTTCAATGTAATGCAATCTAATAAATTAAAGAGTTGTTGTTCATTTTTTCATTATTAAATATTCTGATTCTGTGCATTCAATCAAATAAAGCTGAAATCGATATATTACGATAAAAAAAAATTTAGTACTTAACAATTTGCTGCTTTAATTCAATTGGAAAAAGTGCCGACTTCGGTGCATTTTCCGTTCAATATTTGCTTAAAAGATTCCGAACGAATACAAAAAATGTATAATAACGGTTTTGATTTCGTTTTCACAATAAACACCGCATACATAAACCAAATAAATTTATTCAGCCGGAATAATCAAATTATTGCATCGAATTGCAAAATTTGTTGGAAAATATGGTGAAATAAAGGATAAATGCAAACAAATTGGATATTATAAAAAATCACACGCCACAATAAAGTTAATGACATCGACACTTTAGTTGAAAGTGGTTGCAAGAACTCATTTATAACGTGTAACAATTCGAAATTGTGTTTCTTTTAGTAGTCTTCTAACATTCATTGATAAATTTTGTTTTTGAAAAGATGCATCTTTATTTTGTGAATCATATTTTTGTCCCTCGTAGTACATTTTTATCTGACGACATATAGCCATTTGGAGTAAGCTCTAAAAAAACGAAAATTCAATACAGCCGCTATTATTGCGTATATGTGTTTTTGATCGAAAAAAAAAAAAATTAGCCGAAACCTTTTACAACATAATTATATTATAATTTCGGCAATCAAAATAACAAAGTGACTCACATGAGTCCATTCAAACACGCACGGTTCTTTCAGGCCGTATTGAAACAATTGTAATATGGTCAATATAAAATGTATATTTTTTTTTATTTCACAACCGAAAAAGACGTGTTTTTTCCTATTGTATACAAAGACGGATGATGATCCCAAGCCAATTTTACGGTCATCGGAAATTTAAATTTTTGTTCGGGTTATTTTATACATTCTCTTTCGATATTAAAAAAAAGTACCAAACCGATCAGACACATATCTAGGTGTTCCATATTTTCCAGCAGATAGACCGAAGTGACACAAAATGTATCTCCATAAAAGTTTCATGTATATTTTCTTAATATTATATCAAAAGAAAAAAAAAGTGGAAATAAATAAATGCTTTCGTTGGCGGTGCGGTGCGACATTGAATGTAAAAAAAGGAAATTTTGGGTGTCATAAAACATTATTTGGAAATATAAATTGGCTTACAACAATGCACCGTAAATAACCGTAAAAAGGGGAAAACACCGACGCAAAGATACAACGAATGATAAACTGAAATAAAGTTGGAGGTAACAAAATATATACCTGCTACAAAGATGGTCGTTGCGCACATTTTCACAACAACAACAAAAACTCAAAATAAACAGAATTAAACTCAATATTCGAATTATTATTATTCGAATGCAAAAAATGGTGGAAAAGGTAATGAATGATAACCGAAAATCTGATGGAACGGGAGAAATGTATAAAATCTTATAAGTGGGTCTCAAATTAAAACGTTCTTAAATGTAAAGAAAACTCTTTTTTTTTCGTCATAGAAAAATTATGATGACTTGAAAAAGCACAAATGTTACCTTTTCAAGGTTGAGTATACAACCGTTTTTTAACATTTTCATCTTGACTTAAACAAATTCAAGCTTCACCGGCAGCACTCTACTGATAAGCAGATGATGATAAAATGTAAGAAAGCAACTTACATTGGTTTTAAAAAAAATATGCTTTTTTACACGGTACGATGGCGGTGTTTAAATAATCACAGAGAATCCATTTGCACACTTTCCGGGTGAGAGATTCATTTTCATATGGATGATTTTTTGCAAGTTCAGCTTAGGGAAGTGTTCTTTTTTCTTCGTAATACCACAATTTAGACCTACGCCTAAAAGATATTTTCAATGACTTCAAATGTTTCGAATTTTCAAAACTCACTGCGATAACCTTGATCTCAAATTGAGATTCTCAATGAGGAAAATGAAGAAGAAAAAGAGAAAGAAGTGCAGGGTGGCACTGAATGTTGCTAATAGGTGATGGAACTGATTCAAAAAGTTAAGCAAAGAGCGTTAGGTGTCATTTTGATTTGTACATTCATTTGAAAGCTGTTTGTGATGATCCAATTTTGGTGTAATTCGTTCAAACATTGAAATTATGCATGACACGCGTTGCGTATTTGTGCACATTGTTGATTTTTCATTTAAAACAACATTGTCCGGCAGCTGTTATTTTGATGGCCCACTAAAAATGTCCTCATAAACTGAATGGCTGCTTCGAGTTTACCGGCAAAAAAGTCTTTCTCAAATTGGCCTGATGAAGTGATTTTTAATTGAACCAAATATCATTGCCAAGTGTTTTTTTAATATGATTTTGCAAATCATTCAAAGCATTTTCATGTTTTTTTGCCTTGAGAATCATTCAACAACGCTTCTTCATGTTATTTTCACGAGAAGAAATTTGATCTCAATTGAAAAACATCTTTGGCAACATTTTTTGGCCATAGTGTCAAGAATAGGTTAAATCATAGACACTTTAGTATGGTAAATACGGCGAGTAAATACCCGCTTTTTTAGACGACGGGTCCATTTCTGTTTAAAAAAAATGTTTGTATGGAATTCATTAACACAACAACTGTTTTATTGAATTAAACTTTCAAAAAAAAAAACGTGAAAATTATGTTTGTGTAATGTATTCTTGATGCCGAATACTCTTGTTGAACTCTTGAAACATCTCCCATTTCGAAAAAGTTTTTCTGTGCTCCGTGTTCCATTTTTCAATTGGTAATCAAAAGTTTTTTTTTTGCGCTGTAGTTCTTCATTACAGACAATTCAAAACCTAAAACTAGTTCAAATGTAAAAAAAAAATCACAGCGGTTGCAGTGTCAATGTGTATGCAATGATATTAGTTTGCAGATTTTTTTTTTCGCTGCATGCATGTTGCTACGTGGTAACCATTCGTAAAAATAATGCTTCAGTTCATTTACAAATGTCGACGCACCGAGAATGGTATATTGAATGGGTATCAGACATATTCACCCTCGTTCGCAGGCATTGAAATAAAATATGTTTTTAAACGTGATTGAAACTGAACGGGGTTTCCTGTGTATACTTCTGATTGTTATTCGTTCTGCAATTTCATGGAAAACTTTATATTCAAACTGAAACTAAACGTGTTACATATAATCCAGCTAAAACTGTACGAAGCTCGGAGAACCATTTTACATATGCAATAGATCGATTTGCTATCGATCTAACGAATGTTGACGAAACGAAGAGATAGCAACTGAAGAAGAAAAAAAAGGCGTATGCGTTTGGAATATTCAAGTTCTCCCCGAACGGCAAACACTCGACATTAGTATTCGGTGTGCAAAAACAAAAATTGTATTTAAAAAGTAGTTAAATTGTATTTGAAAACCATGGAAGACGTATTCAACATGAAATATTAAGACGCGATGATGTTTTGCTGTAATTTACATTTTGGAATTAAAGAACTTAGAAGATTCTTGAAATTACCTCTGTGCCACACCGTCCAATAACAAAAATTGAAGAAAAATTGCAAAAAATTCACTGAAAATTATGCAAAATCATTATTTATGCTTCATCGTTGTTCTTTTCAAATAAGTAAAATCTTGAATATTGTAAGACATAATCATGATGGATGAAAAATGGGAATTGTATTGCTTAAATTTGTTTTGAAATAAATCAATGGCATGGCATGTTCAAAGAAAAACTAAAACCAAAAACTCTCCCGAAGAACATGAATTACTTATTCACACAATCATTTCTCCCCTTTCGTAAGACACTTATCATCGATCAAAGAAGTCAAGCCAAATATCGAAAAGTATATTTATGGCCTTTGGTATGTTTATAGCCTTTAACACTCCGATTAATAATCTCTGTTTTTCTCTAATGTATTCTGTGATAATAGATGTTTTTTGTTGCGAAAAACTATGCATCAAATTTCAAATTCACAACTATTTCGAACGGTGCCTGGTAAAATGGGCGCTTATTTTCATATTAAGTCAATATTGTAGCTGACTTTGGAGAAGGGATGATAGCAACATTTTCGAAACAATGCATAGTGAATTTAAATCTTTTTTTTCGTTTTTTATTCCTTTTTTTTCACTCATTCAGTCTCTCTCTCGCTGTCGCTGCGATGTGCCACATTCCTACAGCTTTTATGGGCTCGCATTTTTTTCCCTCTGCCATACAATGAAATGTGTTTTGTATGGACTGATACAAGCGAACAATCCATTTGTTATCCAGACATTTTTTTTAGAAACAGCTGAAATATCGGTAATGTGTTTCGTCGTTTATTTGGTTTTGTAAAATTCAGTAGTCGATTTGATGTGTGTGCGCCAGAGCGTAACTGTTCACGTATTCTCGATACTATTTCCAATTTCAATTTACCTCATCCGAGATGCAAGTCTATTGTTGATGTGATGAGCACAACTGATATTTTACACATAATATATTATTGTCATGAGTCAAAGACTCAAATTAAATTGTGCATGAGAATCAATATGAAAACCGAGATGAATAAATATTTCGTTTAGAGTGGATCTACATCAAATATACTAAAATCTAATACATCACATGCTTTACAATTTATTACTATGCGATGTTTCACGTTTTCCATTGGAAACGACACACATCACAATGAATCAAAGACAAGAAATGATTAAATATTTGAAATAGAATGAGAAAAATAAACGTACTAATTTAATCCAAGTAATCCATTAATGGTTTTCGTTTGTGGTTTTTGTCTTTGGATTTTCATGTAAGAGCAGAAAAAGACTAGGAAAATTCTACATTGTATTTTTCTGATTTTATCAATGTATCGTTGAAATATTTGCAAAGGAATATTGTTTTGTTAATTCAAGCATAAACCGCATAACGTTCACATTTAAAATTAATTCGTCCAATAAATGACAAAATGATATTCCAATTGAAATTATTGATTTTTTCACTTTTCATAAATAACTGTTTTGGTAAGCTCAACTTTTAACTAAATATTTTAACTTTAGAAAAACTAAAAATTTCTAACAAAAGTGATTGAAATTTAGTAAGTGTAGATGGTTACGTTTGTCATGAATGTGGACCTTCAGACAAATGTGCAACCGACCCAGACAGAAATGAAAATTGTTATAACTCTTACTGTGAAACTATTGCAAATGAAACTGGAATTAGCCGAAAATGCGGCTTCTGGCATGATATATATGATCGCGAAATAGATACAGACTATCTCTACCGTTGTGTTGGTCCTGATTTTTGCAATGACAAAAAGTATGAAAAAGAGCATTGCTACAGCACCACATATGATTCGGATAATTGGAAACCGCCGAGTGAACAATCACGGATAGCATGTGCATTTAAAACACTTCGAAAGAAAGGATGCTACCACTTGGAAGAATATAATACCGTCAAAAAGGGATGTATGACTGATTTAAATCAACAAAATCAAACAAAATGTGAACAAAGTAACGATTGCGAAATTTGTCACGGAAAAGATTGTAATTCGAAAGTGGTCCGTCATCGCCTTTGTTATCATTGCACTGATGCTTCTAAAACCAATTGTGCCGAACCGACAGAAGTGCATGATACCGTGAATATTTCAAATTTTTCGTATTCATGTTTAGTTGGAATTGACCAAAATGGGCTAACGCATCGATTGTGGAAAACAAATAAGACGCATGACAACAATTTATTTCCGAATGGATTCGAAACTTGCGATCGTAATTCCTGCAACAATATGGTCTACCCAAGTGGTCGTCTGAAGTGTTTTCAGTGTCAAGGAGATTCTGATTGCAATGATGTTGAACAGAAATTGAATCCGAAAGTGTGTAGGATTTATTCCAGCAAAGATCAATGCTACACTTATTTCGCTGAAGGTAGACTTATTGCATTTTTTGTTATTTTATGATTACTTTGATTTTTTTACCAATTTTAAAAAAGGAAAACATTTTCGTGGCTGTTGGAGCGATCAAACCGAGAGTCAAATGTCGTGTGAACAAAACGAATCAAAGTGCATAAAATGTGAAGGAGACGGCTGTAATACAGCAACGCAAGCGCCTACACAAGCACCTACCACACAATTACCTACTACAGAAGTGCCCACCACGCAAGCACCGAGCACGGAATTACCTACCACTCAAGAATCTACCACAGAAGTTCCAACCACGCAAGCACCGAGCACGGAATTACCAACCACAGAAGTACCTACTACGCAAGTACCTACAACACAAGCAACTACAAAACCACCAATTAAACCACCATCCACAAAACCCCCACCCATCAAACCATCCAGAGAAGAACTAAAATGGAAATTTTTCATTTTTCTTGGAATGTTATTGTTATTATTATCAGTATTATTGTATTTTATTTTACCAAGAAGACGAAATTACAATTAATTCGGTTTGCTGTGCTATATTTCTGAACTGTACTCAAATTTGCGAAAAATAAATAAATGATTTTGGTGGTATTAGTACAAAGAATTCATATTTTCAAATATCGAGATTATACAAAGTATGTCCGCCTGCCATGGCTGTAAGTATTCATAAAAATCATCTTCACTTCGTTTATCGCAAGATATCGAAATGAAATTGAAACACATACAAATTTTCGTTTGTTAAATTCTATTTAATATTATATCAAATGCATTTCGGCTGTCAACAAGGATACAACAATCTTCAGCGAACGCTAAATAGTCACTGAAAAAGGGCCACAAACACACACAAAGAAAAAACTAATACATATGAGAGGCTGAGAGTAAAAAACAAATAAGTGTGGTTAGAATGCTACGCAAATACGAATCTTATTGTTATACACAATAAGGTTCAAATTTGCACAGCATTCTAACCCCACTTATTTGCTTTTTACTCTCATCCTGTCATATGTAAAACCGAGAAATACGATATATCTTGTATTTTCACATTTTAATGAGTTTTATTTGAAGTATGAGGGAAAACTCGTTATTTACAAAGCAAATCAATTATAATTACGTCTTTTTGGTAAAGTAGAATACAATAATACTGATAATGATAACATTAATATTCCAAGAAAAATAAAAAATTCTAATTTTTGTTCTTCTCTGGATGGTTTCGTGACTGGCGGTTTTGGAAATGGTGGTTTAGTGGATGGTTTTGTAGGTTCTTCTATTGGAAGTTGTGTTGCAATTTGTATTAGGACTTCTGTTGGTTCTATTGGTTGCGGTTGTGTAGGAACTTTTGTGGTAGATTCTTGAGTGGCGGGTACTTCCGTGCTTGGTAATTCCGTGCTCGTTGCTTGCGTGGTTGGCACTTCTGTGGTAGATTCTTGAGTGGTAGGTAATTCTGTGCTCGATGCTTGCGTGGTTGGTAGTTGTGTCGTTGGTACTTGCGTGGTAGGTGCTTGTGTAGTAGTTG